TCTGTTGCCCAGGCTGGAGTGCAGTGGCGCGATATCAGTGAGCCGCAACCTCCGCCTCCCAGGGTCAAGCGGTTCTCCTGCCTCAGCCTCCTGAGTAGCTGGGATTACAGGCACCCACCACCATGCCTGGCTAATTTTGTATGTTTAGCCAGGCATGGTGGTGGGTTTTCTCCATGGTGGTCAGGCTGGTCTTCAACTCTCGACTTCAGGTGATCCGCCCGCCCTAGCCTCCCAAAGTGCTGGGATTACAGGCATGAGTTACCACGCCCGGCCCAATTTTTTGTATTTTTAGTGGAGACAGGGTTTCACCGTGTTAGCCAGGTTGGTCTCGATTCTCCTGACCTTGTGATCCGCCCGCATCGGCCTCCCAAAGTGCTGGGATTACAGGCGTGAGCCACCGCGCCTGGCCCAGTAATTGTTTAAATGTCTCAGAACATCCACCAAGTCCAGGCTGTCCTAGAATGACTGGATCGGAGTCTGTGGAGGACTGGGCTTTTTGGTTCTGCTGTTCCTGAGGTTCTGATGCTTGTTGCTGCCTGTGTGTTTCTGGACGTCGGGCTGGCAGGACAGGATCGGAGGCCGCGTAGCACTCTTGGCAGGGATGGGGCCGAGGTGGGGGAAACTTGCGGGTCAGGGACCCCAGGCTCCCTTCTGGTCATCAGTAGTGGAGTCGTACCTCCTGGCAGGTGAGACCTTTCTGTGCTCCATGTTGGTGACAGGACCTTGTTCTTTGTTTCTCAGGGCAGTTGGGTGAGAAGCAGGTCCCATCTTCAACCTCGGATGATCGGGTAAAAGACGAGTTCAGTGACCTTTCTGAGGGGTGAGAGAAGAGTGGGTTTAAATAGCCTAACATTTCTCCTTCAAAAACCAAACAGCCATCGTAGGGCCAGCTGCCCGTGCCCTGGTACCAAACTAAGCCGTCACAGGGGCCGGCTGTCTGTCCCTGGCTGGGACGCGCCTCCTCTCGAGGTGGGAGGAGAGGAGGGCTGGGGAGCTTCCGAGGCTTCTTGTCTCTGATTGGTGGTTTCCTGGGGGCCAGAGGGCACCCCCAGACCTGAGGCAGCTCCAGAGGGAGCTCGATAGGGTTTCTGACCTGGAGCAGCCTAGAAGTGAGTTTGTTGAAACCACCTTGTGGCTGGGTCCTTTGTTTCTGCTGCTGTTTTCTCTTTTAGGGCTATGGTTTTGTGTTCGCTCCAGCTGTTTCTGGAGTAGAGGAAGCCTGACTTTAGCCCTTGACTATGACACTGTTCTGACTTGAAGCAGAGGCTCCGTGAGGAGGTGTTGGAGGAGGACAGGCCTCAGAAGGGACCCCATCAGTGTCTGCAAACTCCCTGGGCCACCCCTGCCTCTCAGCCAAGCGCCACTCAGGGCAGTTGTGCCAGGCTGGGGTTTGCACCATTTCCACCCTCTCCTGTCAACCTTGGCTGCAACACAGACGCACCTCATCCAAATGAGGACAGCCCAGTTTGGGGGGCAATCCCAGTGGGGTGTCCAGTGATGAAATCGGGCAGGTGCCAGGAGGCACCTGGGCTGGCTAAGGCTGTCCTCAAGACCACCAGGAGACGAAACCACAGCTCAGGTTTCAGCATAAAGGCCACAGTCTTTTTCTTTTTTCTTTTCCTTTTGTGAACTTTGTTTTTAGACTGAGCCTCACTCTGTTGCCCGGGCTGGAGTGCAGTGGCGCCGTCTCAGCTCACTGCGACCTGTACCTTCCGCTTTCAAGCGATTCTCCCGCGTCAGCCTCCCAAGTAGCTGGGATTACAGATGCCCCCCACCACGCCCAGCTAATTTTTGTATTTTTAGTAGAGACAGGGTTTCCCGGTATTGGCCAGGCTGGTCTTGAACTCCTGACCTCAGGTGATCCACCTGCCTCAGCCTCCCAAAGTGCTGGGATTACAGGCTGAGCCACCACACCCAGCCACTTGCGTCAACTTAGAAGTGGCTCGTGGCAAACCCATCAGCTGCATAGGGGTTCGCAGTTACGGGGTGAGGTGGTTGATTTTTCAAAGTCTGCTTAGCAGGAAGCCACCTTTGAGAGCCTCCACCCCTTCTGGGCTGCTGTGGAAAGTGCTCTTTCCAAGTCCAGTGTCCTGGTGCCCGGAGCACATGGCTTGTGGGGGTTGCTGGCTTGTGAGCCTGGTCGGTCCTTTGAGTTCGGAAATGAGATTGGAAATTTGGGGATTCTAGATTTAAGACATTTTCAGAAGAACTCGAACGTGGGACGTGGGGGTCCATGTGGTAATCTTTAGGAAGGGGTGTTGTTGGAACTGTTACTGCCCAGGCCCAGGGCTTTGCTGAAGATTCTGTCTTCATTCCTAGAGACGTCTTGAGTGAAGACGAAAATGACAAGAAGCAAAACGCCCAGTCTTCGGATGAGTCCTTTGAGCCTTACCCAGAAAGGAAGTAAGTGGGTAGCCCGGGATCTGCTGGAGGCATCCGCTGGGTGACCTAGACACCCGCCTGTGCCCCAGGGGCTCTCACTCCCCGCTGTGCGTACCCTCCTGGTGGTCTCAGCGCTGTGAAATGACCAGCAGGCTGGGGTAGGGCTGCCTCAGAGTCCCAGCAGTGGACGGCAGGTGTCTGTTGACAAAACCCAGCCTCATTTGAGAACGAGGCTCTTAGGACCCTTCTGCCAGTCCTGCTCTGGGTTCACACCCCAGTGTCCCCCCTGGAATTCCCCAACCCATCGCTTCTGCTTTGTGTGCATCCTGAGGCCCAAGGACCCAGCTCTGTCATCCTCACAGTTGTGACCCCATCACTGACGTCCATGGCCAGGCAGCCACGGTCCACTTCCTTGTTGAGTCACTTCTGTGGCCTTGTTTTGACTTTGTTTTTAGGGATTTATGTTTTCTCTCTGGTTAGAACACAGGCCTTGGTGGTGAGGGCTAGTTTTCACTTGTGCTGTCTTCTTTGCAACCCTGTACCCAGGAGTACCCAGAACACTGCCAGGTAGTTGGCGACTGACCCGGTCCCTGTCCTTGAGCATTTCAGTCCAGAACAAAGGTCCAGAGGGCCGGCGGCTGTGAGTACCACAGTCAGCCACTGGAACCCTGCAGTGCAGACTGAGAGGTCAACTGCCTTTTTCATTGAAGTTCTGATGCTGTTAAGTTCTGAAAAGAGAAACAGGAGCAGAGGAGGAGGCCGGAGAGGGGCTGCAGGGGCCTCAGCATGAACAGAAAACTGGTCAGGCCCAGAAAAGGTGCACGGGGGTCCCTACCCTCAGGTTTGTTCCCAGGAATCATGGCTGGGGTGCCGCCCGAGGCTGCTGATGAGAAGCCCCCACTCCCTGTGACCCCCCCAGGTTGAGTCCAAATCCCAGGACACCTGAGAATGTTTCTGTGCCTTGCTGTCCAGAGGGTCTGGGGATGCTGGTGAGAGGAGGGCTGGGGGCTGGGATGGGAGGGGCCAGGTGAGCCTTTTCCAGAGAGGCAGATTCAGGAGGGGAGGGTCCTCTCTGCTGAGCTCCTGCTGCTGTGACAGGGACAGCACATCAGACTGTGTCTCTAGTTCCTCTGGACCCCAGGAGTGCAGACAAAGACGTGCTTTGGGACGGAGACACAGGAGACATGTTTTCAGAGGCCTCTAGTTAAAGGGGTGACTTCAGTGGGACCCGCGGTGTAGGAGGCAGGACTGGGTGGTAGCAAGCATGGCCTCCTGACTACGGCGAGTGCCAGGGGCACTTGGTTCCTCAGCTGCTACAGTGAGACCCCCCTGGGAACCCAGAAGGGCCTCTGCACAGCCCCCAGCCCATGTGCTGCCTCGCAGTCGTCTTGACTCGACCTTCGCGTTCTAGCAGGCAAGCTCGCCTGCACCCTCAGCTGGGGGCAATGATGTGTTAATGAGGGGTCAGTGGTTCCAGCCAGAGGTGAAGACCAGGGCCTGCGCCCTCGTGGGGAAAGAACTGACAAGCAGCAGTGAGGCCTGAGCCCAGCCCACCCCGTCCGCAAGGATCCCCGTCCCAGACACAAGGGCAGAGAGACTGCGGGTGCTCCGAAGCCTCCTGTGCTGAGGAAGAGAGCGGTCGGTGTGGGAACCGTATGGCCAGCCACTCAACAAACAAGGGGCCACCCAATCCAGGCAGGCAGGGCAGGTGGCCAGATCACGAAAACCAGTTATCAGGGACGGGGAGAGAAGGCGCAGCCTGTGCAAAGTCAACACAGTTCTTTTCAATGATTTTTTTTTTTTTTTTTGAGATGGCATCTTGCTCTGTCGCCCAGGCTGGAGCGCAGTGGTGCGATCTCAGCTCACTGCAAGCTCCGCCTCCCGGGTTCAAGTGATTCTCCTGCCTCAGCCTCCTGAGTAGCTGGGATCACAGGCGTGCACCACCACGCCCAGCTAAGTTTTATATTCCTAATAGAGACGGGGTTTCCCCACGTCGGCCAGGCTGGTCTCGAGCTCCTGACCTCGTGATCCGCCCGCCTCGGCCTCCCAGAGTGCTGGGATTACAGGCGTGAGCCCCGCGCCCGGCCTCAGTGCACTCGTTAAAGAGAAGGGCAGTTAGCGATGGGATTACAGGCGCGAGCCCCGCGCCCGGCCTCAGTGCACTCGTTAAAGAGAAGGGCAGTTAGCGATGGGATTACAGGCGCGAGCCCCGCGCCCGGCCTCAGTGCACTCGTTAAAGAGAAGGGCAGTTAGCGATGGGATTACAGGCGCGAGCCCCGCGCCCGGCCTCAGTGCACTCGTTAAAGAGAAGGGCAGTTAGCGACGGGATTACAGACGTAAGCCCCTGCGCCCAGCCTCAGTGCACTCTTTAAAGAGAAGGGCAGTTAGCGATGGGATTACAGGCGTGAGCCCCTGCGCCCAGCCTCAGTGCACTCGTTAAAGAGAAGGGCAGTTAGCGACAGGGTCTCATGCTCTTGCCCAGGCTGGGGTGCATTGGTACGATCACGGCTGATGGCAGCCTTGTGCGCTCAAGCGAGCCTCTCACCTCAGCCTCCCAGAGTGCTGGGATTGCCAGTGTGAGCCACTGGACTCGGCAGCGTAAATTACTTTTTTCATGCTTTTGCATATGGATTTTTCTTTTAATTTCCTTTTTGGATTGTTCATTGATAATACAAAGAAACATAATTGGGTTTTGTGTATGGATTTTACACTCTGCAGCTTTGCTGAAATCATTTATTCGGGTTTTTGTGTATGTGGAGCTTTAGGGTTTTCTACATACAAGGTCATGTCATTTGTGAACAGGGAGAATTTTTGTTTTCCTTGCCCAGTTACTCTGGCCAGGGCCTCCAGTGCTGTGCTGAGAACAGTGGTGAGAGAACCCGTGTCTTTTCCTCATCCTGGAGGAAGAGCTTTCAGTCTTTCACGATCGAGTGTGGCATGTGCTGTGGGTTTCACGTCGAAGCTTTATCGTGGTGAAGTTCCCTTCTTCTCCTGAGGGATTTCCTTCCCTATCCTTACTGGATCCAAAAAGGAACCACAATAGACATACACTGGACGCTGCTGCATTTGCTGGTCCCTCAGGGACTTGCCAGACCAACTAAAATGCGCAACCCCAAAGTTCTGGAGGACAAGGTCTCCTGCCCACCATGGTCCCAGTCAGCAGCTCCAGGAACACAGGCTGGGCTCCCTGCAGCGGGGGCAGGGCTGAGGAATGCGGGAGTGGCAGCTGCTCACCTTGTGCTTCCGGGGGAAACAGCACCTGTTCCTCCAAAGCCCAGGCTGGGGCTTGAGCTTGAAATCAAGCTGTCCTGGTTTCAGCGAGTGGATTCTGAGCGTTTTCCTAGCGTTTAAGGTCATTTTGATGAAGGGGTAGCCCCTTTGTCTGTTCTGCCATCTTTCCTGATATCTCCAGTGTTGGGTTTCATGTGTAGCACAGGATGAAGCTTCAGTTCTCAGAACTCACCCCTGCTGTGCCTGCGCCTTGCCCTCTGCTGTGTTTGCCTCTGACCCTGCTGTGCCCTGCGCCCTCGCCCTCTGCTGTGTTCACCTGAGGCCTCCTGTCCAGAGTTGCTCTGGCTGTGGTGGCTTCAGGTAGATTTTGAGGGTCAGTCAGCACAGAAGCAACTCAGGGAAGCTTCAAAAACATGTCTCCTGTTAAAGACAAGAAATCTTTTTCAGATGGAGATCAGAAACCACTGAATCTGGGAACCTCTTTTTTTCAGGGTCTCTGGTAAGAAGAGTGAAAGCAAGGAAGCCAAGAAGTCTGAAGAACCAAGAATTCGGAAGAAGCCGGGACCCAAGCCGGGATGGAAGAAGAAGCTTCGTTGTGAGAGGTGAGGCCTGGAGCTTGAGGCTCGCCCTGCCTGTCGGGGCCGGGCTCCATGCGTGCTCTTTGTTGCAGGGAGGAGCTTCCCACCATCTACAAGTGTCCTTACCAGGGCTGCACAGCCGTGTACCGAGGTGCTGACGGCATGAAGGTGAGCACGGGCTGTGCCGGACCAGGCCCCGCAGCTGTCCCTGTGAGCCTGGGGCCGGCACCAGGTGTTTCCGCAGAGCCTGACGCAGACTTGTGCCCAAGGTGACTGGGGACCTGGGGTAGATGTGGGGCCAGACTTTCACTTGAGACACCCCCTGGGGGTCTAGAAGTGTCTTGGAGTGAAGCTGTGGAGGAACCAGTGGTGGAGCTGGAGGAGCTGGATCTGCCTTCCTTCCAGGGGCGTCAGCTGCCACCCGCCGAGGGTCCGTGCCGCTCGGCCCGGGTGAGGCTCTGCGGGTCTCTCACTGAGTTTCTCCTGCAGAAGCACATCAAGGAGCACCACGAGGAGGTCCGGGAGCGGCCCTGCCCCCACCCTGGCTGCAACAAGGTTTTCATGATCGACCGCTACCTGCAGCGGCACGTGAAGCTCATCCACACAGGTACTGCCGTCGTCAGCGTCACCCGTGTGGTGACAGCCAGGGGCACGTGACCTGCTTTCCCATCTTCCTGATACCCATCCCCACCCCAGGAGTTGGGGATCGCGTGCAGGTGGCTGATGGGGCCTCGGGTACTCACAGTCATGTAGGTGGATGAAGGCTAGAGTAGGGCATCAGTGTGAATCTGCCCTTCCCTGTGATGGGAGGAATTCCTGACTTCCCCAGGATCTAGGCAGTTTGTCAAAACCGAGAACCAAGCAATCTTGGTGTCCCTTTGCAAATTGGTCACTTTAGTTTTTAATTTTTTCTGAGACGAAGTCTTGCTCTGTTGCCCAGGCTGGAGTGCAGTGGCACCATCTTGGCTCACCACAACTTCCGCCTCCCGGGTTCAAGTGACTCTTCTGCCTCAGCCTCCCGAGTAGCTGGGATTATAGGCACCTGCAACCACGCCTGCTAATTTTTGTAATTTTTGGCAGAGACAGGGTTTCACCATGTTGGCCAAGCCAATCTCTTAACTCCTGACCTCAAGTGATCCACCTACCTCAGCCTCCCAAAGTCCGGAGATTACAGGTGTGAGCACCACACCTGGCCCAAACGAGTGTCTCTTAAAAGGGAAGGCGGGAGGTGGAAGGCATGAAGGCACGCCGACTCTGGGGCGCTGCACGCGTGGACAGGCGGGAGGCATGTGTGGTTCTGCTGCTTCACGTGTGTGTAGCTCATCTCACTGAGACCGGAGGTGGATGGGGGAGTTGTGACTGAGGGTGCTGTCTCTGTGCCCGTCTTATTTTTCACAATTCCTATAATGTATAAGTTATTTATAATCTAACAAGGATATGTTTTCAAAATGACAAACTTGGCTGGGCACGGTGGCTCTCACTGTAATCCCAGCACTTTGGGAGGCCAAGGTGGGTGGATCACCTTGAGGTCAGCAGTTCGAGACCAGCCTGGCCAACGTGGTAAAACGCCATCTTTACTAAAAATGCAAAAATTAGCTGGGCGTGGTGGCGCATGCCTGTAGGCACAGCTACTTGGGAAGCTGAGGTGGGAGAACTGCTTGAACCCAGGAGGTGGAGGTTGCAATGAGCTGAGATCACACCACTGCACTCCAGCCTGGGCAACAGGGAGACACTGTCTCAAAAAAAAAAAAAAAAAAATTTGTTTGAACCATGTGGACCCACGTATACGAGGTCAGGGACTCGAATCCCTGGTATTCAGAGGGCTGCCTTTTCATAAGTGCAGGTTCTGTAGGGTCTCTGCAGGGCTAACTTTGGGACTTGAGTATGAGCAGATTTTGGTAAGGGTTGGGGTGCGGGGGGAACCAGCTGAGGACAACTGTATATTGATCCTTAAATAGTTTTCCTTGGTTTTGAACTTATTACAGAATAAGAATTATTTGGCCGGGCGCCGTGGCTCAAGCCTGTAATCCCAGCACTTTGGGAGGCCGAGACGGGCGGATCACGAGGTCAGGAGTTCGAGATCATCCTGGCTAACACGGTGAAACCCCGTCTCTACTAAAAAATACAAAAAACTAGCCGGGCGAGGTGGCGGGCGCCTGTAGTCCCAGCTACTCGGGAGGCTGAGGCCGGAGAATGGCGTAAAAACCCGGGAGGCGGAGCTTGCAGTGAGCTGAGATCCGGCCACTGCACTCCACCCTGGGCGACATAGCGAGACTCCGTCTCAAAAAAAAAAAAAAAAAAATTATTATTTATTCTTATTTGAATTTACTACAGAAAGTCTTTTTTCATTAGGATTGATTTTTACTGCTGGATCATCTCCTGACATGCGGGTTATTTTGTTGTTTTTTTGGGTTCTCCCACATCTCTCCTGATGGCAGCAGTTCCTTGTGTTTGGTTCTTCAGACTCTGCATCTGTCCACTCACTGATGGTCACAACCAGCAGTTCCTTAAAAAACTGAAATCAGGCCGGGTGCAGTGGCTCACGCCTGTAATCCCAGCACTTTGGAGGCTGAGGCAGTAGGATTGCTTGAGGCCAGGAGTTTGAGACCAGCCTGGGCAACATAGTAAGACTGTCTCTACCAAAGATATTTTTTTTAATTTAGTGATTGAGACAGAGTCTGACTGTTATTGCCCAGGCTGGAGTGCAGTGGCGCGATCTTGGCTCACTGTAACCTCCGCCTCCCTGGTTCAAGCGATTCTCCTGCCTCAGCCTCCCGAGTAGCTGGGACTACAGGCATCCGCTGCCACGCTGTTTTTTTTTTTTTTTTTTTTAATGGAGTCTCGCTCCGTCGCCCAGGTTGGAGTGCAGCGGCACAATCTCAGCTCACTGCAAGCTCCGCTTCCCGAGTTAAAGCCATTCTCCTGCCTCAGCCTCCTGAGTAGCTGGGACTGCAGGCACCTGCCACCATGCCCGGCTAATTTTTCGTATTTTCACTAGAGATGGGGTTTCACCATGTTAGTCAGGATGGTCTCGATCTCCTGACCTCGTGATCCACCTGCCTCGGCCTCCCAAAGTGTTGGGATTACAGGCGTGAGCCACCGTGACACCCAGGTAATTTTTATATTTTTACTAGAGAGGCGGGTTTTGCTGTGTTGGCCAGGCCGGTCTCGATTTCCTGACCTCAGGTGATTTGCCCGTCTCAGCCTCCCAAAGTGCTGGGATTACAGGCATGAGCCACCATTCCCAGCCCCATTTTTTTTTTTTTTTTCCGAGACAGTGTGTTGCCCAGGTTGGAGTGCAGTGGTACAATCTCAGCTGACTGCAACCTCCGCCTCCTGGGTTCATGCAGTTCTCCTGCCTCTGCCTCCCCAGTAGCTTGGATTACAGGCGCCCGCCACCTCGCCCAGCTAATTTTTTTATTTTTAGTATAGATGGGGTTTCACTATGTTGGCCAGGCTGGTCTTGAACTGATGTCATGATCCGCCTGCCTTGGCCTCCCAAAGTGCTGGGAGTGAGCTGTGAACCACTGCACCAGCCCCCCATGGTGGTGCACACCTGTGGCCCCAGCTACTTGAGCGGTCGAGGCAGGAGGATCACTTAAGCCTGGGAGTTCCAGGCTGTGGTGAGCCATGATTGTACCATTACACTCCAACCTGGGCAACAGAACAAGACCGTCTCAAAAAAAAAAAAAAAAGTTGCTCAAACCTGGGAGGTGGAGGTTCCAGTGAGCTGAGATTGGGCTATTGCAGTCCAGCCTGGGCAACAGACCAAGACTCACGTCTCAAAAAAAAAAAAAAACAGGGTAGAGTAAAATGTCAAGGTAGAGTTTCCCTCTGCAGGGAAAAGTCTGTCTTGTGAAGTGTTTTGGGGCTGGACAGCTGTGGAGGCAGCACAGGGAGAATGGGTCTGACTAGGAAGTGGTATCTCGTTGTTCAAGGGTGCGAGAAAGGTTTCCAGAGTGAGTACAGCCTTGCATAACCCCCAGCCCTTGTGTATGGACCCCTCTCATATGGAGATGAATTCTAGAGAACAGCCATAGCTGTGACAGTCAGTGATCTATACAGCCTTAGTGATATGGTGTCCTTCAAGAATTTGTAGGCCAGGCACAGTGGCTCATGCGTGTAATCCCAGCACTTGGGGAGACCGAGGCAGGCGGATCACGAGGTCAGGAGTTCAAGACCAGCCTGGCCAATATGGTGAAACCCCATCTCTACTAAAAATACAAAAATCATCTGGGCATGGTGGCGGGCACCTGTAGTCCCAGCTACTCGGGAGGCGGAGGTTGCCGTGAGCCGAGACTGTGCCACTGCACTGCAGCCTGGGTAACAGAGCAAGACTTCATCTCAAAAAAAAATTTGTGTTTAAGGAAGTAGATTTCTGAAGTTTCTTTAAAAATCATCGTCACGGCCGGGCGCGGTGGCTCAAGCCTGTAATCCCAGCACTTTGGGAGGCCGAGACGGGCGGATCACGAGGTCAGGAGATCGAGACCATCCTGGCTAACACGGTGAAACCCCGTCTCTACTAAAAAATACAAAAAACTAGCCGGGCGAGGTGGCGGGCGCCTGTAGTCCCAGCTACTCGGGAGGCTGAGGCAGGAGAATGGCGTGAACCCGGGAGGCGGAGCTTGCAGTGAGCTGAGATCTGGCCACTGCACTCCAGCCTGGGCGACAGAGCATGACTCCGTCTCAAAAAAAAAAAAAAAAATCGTCACATGCACATGGCTGATGAAGCCATATGATAGTATATCAAGTGGTTTAGAGATCTTAATAAATGAGGCCCTCAGAGGCCCCTTGCTTGGGCCCACTGTATGGTGTGCGGAAACTTCTTCCTGGCTGTGATGTTTGACATTGTCGTCGGCGTCCCCCCGGGAGGTTGGAGCATCAGGGCCTGGACTCACTGGACTCTCCTCTCGCAGAGGTGCGGAACTACATCTGTGACGAGTGCGGACAGACCTTCAAGCAGCGGAAGCACCTTCTCGTCCACCAGATGCGACATTCAGGAGCCAAGCCTTTGCAGTAAGTGTGAGCCGGGCCCTCCCCAGGGCTGTGGCTGGCCCACGCAGCTTCTTACCTGCCTCTGTCCCCCAGGTGTGAGGTCTGTGGGTTCCAGTGCAGGCAGCGGGCGTCCCTCAAGTACCACATGACCAAACACAAGGCTGAGACTGAGCTGGACTTTGCCTGTGACCAGTGTGGCCGGCGGTTCGAGAAGGCCCACAACCTCAACGTACACATGTCCATGGTGCACCCGCTGACACAGACCCAGGACAAGGCCCTGCCCCTGGAGGCAGAGCCACCACCCGGGCCACCGAGCCCCTCTGTGACCACAGAGGACCAGGCGGTGAAGCCAGAACCCACCTGAGGACGGCAGTGGGGATGAGCACCTCTAGCAGCCTGGACTCTGCAACGGCCGTGTCAGCCTCACCCTTCGTGCGCACCTGCATGGGAGGGTTGGGGGGTGCTGCCCGCCCTCGGTGTACAGCTCAAGTAGCCTCCCTCTGCTCTGGGACCAGTGGTTTATTTTCCTACAAACACTGAGTGACTTGGGGCCAGACAGTTTATAAACAATTGATTCCTTTTCCCCACTAAAGCAATCGAGGAGATTTGTAATCCACTTTTTAGTGCAACAAGAGCTCCGTGTTATGCTTGTAATAAATTATTTACAAAGGAGCTGGGCTGGTGTGCAGTGGCAGGTCCTCTCAGAAGAGATGAGGCTCCTGGTACAGGTCAGCGTCAGGAGCAGCCTGCTGCCGGCTCCGGAGGGCAGTGCTCACCTCTGGGTCGCAGTCCCCACGATCAGCCAGCAGCTGTGAGAGAGGAGCAGGTCCTCAGCCCATGCTGTCCACTGGGCCTCAGACCACAGGGAAGGGGCTCTGGCAGAAACAGTGGCGTCGCATTGCCAGCCGGGCGGGCACGTGGCCCAGGCAGCTGTGATTTCTCGTGTCCCCCACGTGGCCCAAGGTGGGTGTCTTGACGTTACCTCTGCTATGTGTGAGAAGCTCTTTTTCGGGCACCGAGGTATTAACTGCAGCAGAAAAAGACGAGCTTTTGTTATCAATTCCACAGGGTTGCCCTAGAGAGAAAACAGGCAAAGTCACAGGTTAGAAGACACTGAAACAGGGCTGGTGTGTCCCCCCCCAATCTGCATTATGTGTTGGAACGTTCTCTGGCAGAAGGAGCCTCAGGCTGCGGGGAGCTCCCCTGGAGATGGGACTGGCCCTTGCACCTGCCTGACCCTGGAGCTCCAGGCTCCTGCCGGCTGGAGGTGAAACTGTGCTTGTGTCCCCAGCCACGAAGAGCTGGACCAGCCTCAGGTACATGTCAACGGCAACATGCAGGAAGGCCTCTTCCCTGATGGCCGCGTCGTCGTGGAAGCAGGAGAGAAGACTAGAAGTGAAGACATGGTGATGAGTGGCTACAGACTGCTGGAAAGGTAGCAGGTGATGCCAAGGGATGCTGCTCATCTGTGTGTCAGAGGCACAAGCAACCCTTCCCCTCTGGCGGGAGAGCCAGAGCTGCTAAGATGGGGGTCTGGGAAACACTGCCCCTGCCCTGACCATGCACGGCTGTGCCCTGCTCCCTGAGCAGCCTGTAGGTGAAGGTACCTGTAGAACGTGAAGGGCAGCAGCCTGGTATGCTGATCCGGGGCCACGCGGAGGAGGAGTCGCCCCAGCCTGTCTGCAACACCAAGAGGTGGCTCAGGCAACTCTGGATGTCTCTGCCTGTTACCAGTGCTGGGGGACACCCCTGGGGGTTGGGACGTGTACCCTGGGAGGCCTGGCTGTGGGGGTGGTGCGGGGCAAACAGCCTGAGCCAAGGATACCTGGGCACCCGTCAGCAGCCGGGAGAGGAAGAGGGTGTGGGGCAGAGAGAGGCAGTCCCCACGATAGGCCATTGGTCCTGGGGTTGACCAGTGAGCCAGTAAATTATCTTACACGTTTGTACTTAATCTGTCCCAACTGAAACGGAGCTTATAAACTTAGCAGAAAGATAGTCATGAAAATGAATGAGTGAACCTCAAGGAGGGCATGTTCTTAACCATTTGAAAGTTGCGTCTGAAAAGAGCAGCCCTCTGCATCCGCGCCTCAGCAGTTTCTCACCACTCTCTGTCAGCTGGAAGAGCGCCAGCCAGGATATCTTCCTCTTCTCTAAACACTCGAGGACTGCAGCACAAACGTCTAAAGCCTTCGATGGGTCCGTGGCACTCTGTAAACCGCAGGAGAGCAGCCCTGAGAATGGCCGACCTGCTGTGCTCCCGCGGGTAGGAGGGCACAGCCCTCAGCACAGAAGGCATTTCTTCTTTGCTTATTCAAAGTCTTAAAACTGGTGACAACCTATGGAAGGTAACACTGGGCCTCTGGCCAGAAGAGGCTCAGGTAGGAGGCCAGGGACTTCAAGCACCCACACCAAGGCTGCTGCACCACGTCCTGAAATAAGGCATTGAAAGAAAGGCCCTGCCGGGTGCGGTGGCTCAGCCTCTAATCCCAGCACTCTGGGAGGCCGAGACCAGCCTGGCCAACACGGTGAAACCCCGTCTCTACTAAAAATACAAACAAATCTAGCCGGGCGAGGTGGCGGGTGCCTGTAGTCCCAGCTACTCAGGAGGCTGAGGCAGGAGAATGGCAGGAACCCGGGAGGCGGAGCTTGCAGTGAGCCGAGATCGCGCCATTGCACTCCAGCCCAGGCGACTGAGCAAGACTCGTCTCAAAACAACAAAAAAAAAGCCCACAGGCTGGATGCAGTGGCTCATGCCTGTAATCCCAACCCTTTGGGAGGCCGAGGTGGGCGGATCACTGAGGCCAGTTCAAGACCAGCCTGGCAATATGGTGAAACCCCATCTCTACTAAAAATACAAAAATTAGCCTGGCGTGGTGGTGCACGCCTATAATCCCAGCTACTCAGGAGGCTGGTGCAGGAGAATCGCTTGAACCCAGGAGGCAGAGGTTGCAGTGAGCCGAGATCACACCACTGCACTCCAGCCTGTACAACAGAGCGAGACTCCACCTCAAAAAAAAAAAAAAAATGCTCATGGTGTGGGAGTTCTCACACTTCCGCAACCACAAGGAGCTCCTGAGCCACTCTGGAAACCCTGACTTGGAAACTGGCTGCCCGGTTCCCCCTGCCTGGCCACAGTGGGAGAGGACACCTTGGCTGGTAAGGTCTGACTTACATTTGAGGTCAGATGTGACGAGAGCAGGCCCATCAAGGAGAAGAAGAAAAGGAAAACCAATAGCTGCAAATAAAAACGTGCACTTCTTACTACATTAAAATTACCTGTGCTCTGTCATTCTAAATAAGGCCGAAACGTTCCTCTTTAATTGAAATTTTTTACATCTAGGCCATAAATCCTTTAAGTGGATCTTAGAAAACTTTCCAATCACTTTTAGAGAGACAGCTTAATTGAGAATTAATTACTGCTGGCTGGGTCATTTCATACTTGCCTTTAAACAAAGCTAGAAACAGTTTGAAAAAGTGACAAGAGCCAGAAGGAAGACTGCTGCAGTCTCCTTGGCTGTGCGCAGTCCCAACTCACCATCATCTCCCTGCAAGGCCTCCTGTCAGAAGTGTTTGTAAAATCCTTGAAGATAAACCCACAGGCTCCATCCCAACCCAGGGCCTGACTATGGACACTGTCCTCTCCACACACTAGGGCCTTAAGGCCCTGGAGCCACTAAAATCCCTTCTAACAAAACTACACAAGAAACCTGAAGACGCATCCAGAAGAATCCCTGTAGGGCTGTTATAAACACCAAAACCCTGGGTACTGCTGTTGGCACAGCTTTCAGCTGGTGTAAGTCGTGTGCTGACATGGCACCTATGCGTTGAGGATCTCGGGCTGGGCACAGGATCTCGGGCTGCAGCTCTCCTGTGGGATGCTTGTTTCCGTGCCTGTTCTACACACACCGCCCTGGGCTCCCTGCACAGAGGGCTGTGGGTGTCACTGGTCTTGCGGGGGCTGTCAGGCTTCCCAGGGCACAGCAACCAGGTGGGTCTTAGGCCAGCGTGGGAGCAGCCTCCTCTCCCACTCCTTTCCCCATGCCTGTGGCTGCAGACAGTCGCGTCCTTGCTGCCTCTTGTCCCCAGCACCCCAGCTCTGAGCTGTCTCACTGCAAGCCTATCTGGGGCTGTCCCTCGGCAAGTGAATCGAGGCTACTGCAGCATGAACGCAGAAGGCACCACTTGAAGCTGACAGTTTTTACACTGGGCTGTGATGAGGATAAAACCAAGCTGAAGAAAAGCACTTCAAGCCTGGGCAACATAGTCAGACCCCCATCTCTGTTTTACTTTCTATTTATTTATTTATTTATTTATTTATTTGAGACAGAGTCTCTCTCTGTCGCCCAGGCTGGAGTGCAGTGGCGCAATCTCGGCTCACTGCAAGCTCCACCTCCCTGGTTCACGCCACTCTCCTGCCTCAGCCTCCCGAGTAGCTGGGACCACAGGCGCCGCCACCACATCCGGCTAATTTTTTTTTGTATTTTTAGTAGAGACGGGGTTTCACCGTGTTAGCCAGGATGGTCTTGATGTCCTGACCTTGTGATCCGCCCGCCTCAGCCTCCCACAGTGCTGGGATTACAGGCGAGAGTGACCGCGCCCGGCCTACTTTTTAAAATTATTTTTTTTGAGACAAGAGTCTCGCTCTGTCACCCAGACTGCAGGGCAGTGGCATGATCTCGGCTCACTGCAGCCTCTGCCTACTGGGTTCAAGCAATTCTCCTGCCTCAGTCTCCTGAGTAGCTTTACAGGCTATGGGATTACAAGCGTGCACCACCACACCGGGCTAATTTTTGTATATTTTGTAGAGAGAGGGTTTTACCATGTTGCCCAAACTGGTCTCGAACTCATGACGTCAAGTGATCCACCTGCCTCAGCTTCCCAAAGTGTTGGAATTAGAGGCATGAGCCACCTTGCCCGGACTAGAGACCCCCATCTCAGAAAAAATTATAAAATTAGCCAGGCATGGTGGCACACACCTGTAGTCCCAGCTACTCCAGAGGCTGAGGTAGGAGGATGGCCTGAGCCCAGGAGAACGAGGCTGCAGCGAGCTGTGATTACACCACTGCACTCCAGCCTGGGCGACAGAGTGAGACCCTGTCTCAAATACATACAACCATTTAAAAAAGTGGAATTATTATTACTAGTAAACTTGAGAGTCAAAGTCTTACTCCAAGCCTCATATTTGTCTTTAGAAAAACACAGCTCATCAGGCAGGCCCAGAGAAGCTGCATGGATTGAAACCAAGCTTGCGAGAAAAGAGTCAGTAAAAGAATTTCCTCTCTTGCCTCCTCTCTCTCGCAGTCCAGCTTCGTTAGCTGCTTCCTGATGTTTTCTTCCCTGACTTGTTGAATCGCAAAGTGCAGTGCAGCAGCTGAGAGCCAGGCCGGGTTAGGTGCCGGGGAGGCGGCATCAGGGGAGAGGAAACTGGGACAGAGAAAACGGGGTCAGTGCAGGGCCTTACAGCCAAGTCCTTATTCCCACCTGTCGCCTTTGGGGCTTGCCTTTCCATCAGAGGACACAGAAGGGCTTCAGGACCATCAGAAACTAGGTCTGCATCCCCCAGCATCCCCAGGTCCACTCAGAGTCTGGGCAGGTGCTGGTACTGCCCCTAGCGCATCCTGGCGTTCTGAGAGCTCCTGCTGACAGGAGGCAGCCGGCCGGGTCCTGTCCACCTTGCCCTGTGCTCTTGGGCCCCATCTGCGTAAGTTTTGGAAGAAGAGGCCTTATTTCCCTCAGTTCTCCCTGCCTGGCCCTGTGACTGGATCAGGCAATTCCCTCCTAGAACGGAGAACAAAGGACTACCTGGGTAGCTGGGATTACAGGCACCCACCACCACAAGAACTCGGTTCTTTTCTCCCTGCTCACACAAGACGCTGCCCACACCACTTTCCTCAAGCAAGCCAGGGTGTTTAGGAGATGACCTCGAGCAGGTCCTGAAGTGCATCTGGACAGGCACACCCCGTCCTCACCACCCACACGTACTCGCTGGCAAACTGCCGGCCTTCTTGCAGCTTCTGCAGTTCCCGGGGCAGTGGGCTCTGGCAGTGTCTCCTCCACTGGCAGAGCAGCACAGGCTCCAGGCTCGGCCACCACAACTAGAGAGAGAGCAGGACACAGATGAGGGGGGCTGGGGTGGACACACCTCCGCTGCCACAGCTATGACAAAGCCCACAGCGCTCCTACAGGCCACCACGGGCCCACACTCACCCTGCGCTCTGGAACTCCAAAGCCAGTATCTTTTTACCTCAGTTAAGGCTCAAAGCAGTTCCATGAGGCATTATTACCCACACTCATGGAAGACGTGGAATTTGGAGAAGGAAGAGCCTGGCCTAACGAAACAGTGAAGGGACCACACTGCCCCTGAGCTGGGAATGCCTGGTCCTTTGATGTCCTCAGCTGAGAGCTGGGGTTCTAAACACGGAAGAGTTCATTTATCGTGAATTCCACTAACTGAGCTACAACTCGGTGCAAATGCAGCTTGGGGAGCTCCTTGGGGAACATGCTGTGCTACGGGAGAAAAAGGCCCTCGTGTCCCTGATAACTGAGAAGGGGGGGCGACAGCTGTGGTCTTCAGGACTAAGTGAGCCGTCACGGAAGTGAGGGAAATGCTGCCCCCACCACTCCCGGGACCCTGGGCTGTTAGGGGAGCCTGCTGAGCTCTGGCGGGAGCTGAGGTGAAGTCTCTGCTCCGAAGTCCCACGAAAGCGTAGTCGGGCGCCAGTGGGCCACGGTTATGCTCTTGTGAGGGGCACAGGCAGCCGCCGTACAGCCTCCAGCCAATTCGTAACCCAAGACAGTGAACAAACAAGCCCTGCACCCTGTGGACACGAAGGTGCCGTGGGGTCTGAGCGGGGTCCACAGGGGAAAAGTCCTGAGGGTGCCCATGGCCGGGGCGGTGGGGGCGAGGACAGTTCTAGGAACTCAGGACATGCGGCCCTCATCTGCCGCGAGCTGGCATCTTTAACTGTGGCCTCCATGTCTCCCGACGCATTTTCTCTGAGATGGTAACACCCCGATGGAGAAGTGCTGCAGAGACGCCAGAGGCAGCCGTGGAGTCTCCCACTCATCCCCAAAACAAAACTCCCGACAAGACAGCTGGCCTACCAGAGCAGAGGTCAAAATTAAGGGGCATTTTGTCTGGCACTTGGCCAATATGAAGTCGACCGTCAGGGAGGGGTCTCTGCTCCTCAGACAGGCGTTCAGGAGGCCCTGCAGGAGAGAACGCACCAGGAGGTCGGCGGTTTGCGAGGACCCACAACCAGCGGAGTGCAGGAACTCGCAGGAAGCTGACAGGAGGACCCACCCCCAGGATTCTGAGAAGGCCATGGGAGGGGCTGAGGGAGCAGCTTACCCTGAAGAAGTGGGCAGTGATGTCCTGTGTCAGGGCACCTCCGTGGGAACAGAAGTTTCTCTACAAGAGAGTTCAAGGCAGGTAAGAAAAGGCTACAGGAAGAGAGGCGAGACCAGTGGCTGCTGTGCAGATTCTGTTGTGAGAAAAACACTCACTAAGGCTTGGCGTGGCCACCATGGATAGTGCTCCTGGCTGACCGGGCCTGGAGCCCTGGCTGTGCTGTCCTGAAACTTAACGGCTTCCTGGGCAGCCAGATCCTGCAGCTCAGCAACTCTGGCCCAAACAGTCTTGTAGGCTCCAGGAAGAAGCCAGGGAGGCACAAGCGGCCACAAGGGAAGGGGACGCACCCGAAGCCAAGATCTGTGGTGAGGATGACACTAATACCACGGCCCGACCATCCTCTGGCTCCTCTATCCTTCACTAACCAAGTGCTGTCCATGGTGTTTTCCTGTCCGTCGGCTGTCACGTGCCATTCTGAGAGCTTTCCGAAAAACAGCCTTTCGTAAGAATTCAGAGGAAACCATAGTGATTTTCTTAAAGCTTTTGCTAGTCTCATGTCCTCTGCTCTCCTTGTCACATTTTAAAGTGCTACACAAGCCCGGGCACGGTGGCTCGTACCTGTAATCCCAGCACTTTCGGAAGAAGCCAAGGTGGGTGGATCACGAGGTCAGGAGTTCAAGACCAGCCTGACCAACATGGTGAAACTTCATCTCTATTAAAAATGTAAAAATTACCCGGGTGTGGTGGCGGGCACCTGTAGTCCCAGCTACTCAGGAGGCTGAGGCAGGAGAATTGCTTGAACCCAGGAAGTGGAGATTGCGGTGAGCTGAGATTGCGCCGCTGCATTCCAGCCCAGGCAACAGAGCAAGACTCTGTCTCAAAAAGAATTTCTTTTTTTTTTTTTGAGACGGAGTCTCACTCTGTCACCCAGGCTGGAGTGCAGTGGCCGGATCTCAGCTCACTGCAAGCTCCGCCTCCCGGGTTTACGCCATTCTCCTGCCTCAGCCTCCGGAGTAGCTGGGACTACAGGCACCCGCCACCTCGCCCGGCTATTTTTTTGTATTTTTTAGTAGAGACGGGGTTTCACCGTGTTAGCCAGGATGGTTTCGATCTCCTGACCTCGCGATCCGCCCGTCTCGGCCTCCCAAAGTGCTGGAACTACAGGCTTGAGCCACCGCGCCCGGCCTAAAAAATTTCTTCTTAAATAAATAAATAAAAATATAAAATGCTCCAGAGGTGGCATGGAACCTGAATTCCATCTCTCACATTTGTGCATCTTCAAAAACAAGCATCTGTCTCCCCTGTTCTGACCAACTGGGTCCCTGACGCTGACCCATCCCCACAGCAAGGGCCACTTCGTTTTTTTTGAGACAGTCTCGCTGTCACCCAGGCTGGAGTGCAGTGGCGGGATCCTGGCTCGGTGCAACCTCTGCCTCCTGGGCTCAATTAATCCTCCTGACCCAGCCTCTCAAGTAGGTGGGACTACAGGCATGCGCCACCATGCCCAGCTAATTTTTCTATTTTTTGTAGAAACAGGGTTTTGCTGTGTTGCCCAGGCTAGTCTTGAACTCCTGGGCTCATGTGATCCCCCCGCCTTCCCAAAGTGCTGGGATTACAGGTGTTTAAGCCACTGTGCCCGGCTACTGGTTAACATCATTCTGCAACTCACACTGGGCAGTGTCTAAAACGGAAGACAATGGGGCTGCCTGGCAGGCAACAGCAGTAGTCAGATCACCACAAGGCTTTTTCACACATGAAGCATGTTGAGATTAGAAATAAATGAACTGAGGTACGTGGCACACAAAATGGTCTGTACGATTCCATGCGTCAAAATTATTAAAACTTGAGGGAAGGCCGGGCGCGGTGGCTCACGCCTGTAATCCCAGCACTTTGGGAGGCCGAGACGGGCGGATCACGAGGTCAGGAGATCGAGACCATCCTGGCTAACACGGTGAAACCCCGTCTCTACTAAAAATACAAAAAACTAGCCGGGCGAGGTGGCGGGCGCCTATAGTCCCAGCTACTCGGGAGGCTGAGGCAGGAGAATGGCGTGAACCCGGGAGGCGGAGCTTGCAGTGAGCTGAGATCCGGCCACCGCACTCCAGCCTGGGTGACAGAGCGAGACTCCGTCTCAAAAAAAAAAAAAAACTTGAGGGAAACTAAAGGAACTCAAACTTTGGAGAAGGCAACCTACAGCTGGTTTGGTGACATGCTGGCCGCCGTCCTGGCTGTGGGTAGGGGCCCTCCCTCACACAGCATTCCAGACATTGTTCCCTATTTGACTTTGAACCCTTTCTTCAGTAATTTGCACGGTGAATTCAGGACACGCATGGAGGTTGCAAGAGCTGCTGCCAGTGCCACAGGCACCGACAGATCAGATGGACACATGCACACGGGGCACCTACCATCTCAGAGTTGACCAAGTGGAAGAACTGCTCGCATCTGGCAGTGATGGGCTGTTCGGCCTGGAAGCTGCTGCCGCAGAGGACAGACGAAGGCAGGCGGAGGAGGATCCTGGAAAGAAGGGGCTGTATCTGTGGCGACCGCACAGCATACACTCTGCTCCCTCCCAAGGGCTCAGACTCTCAGAGCAGCAACCACACCCTGAAACCCAACGCCACTGTTGGAACCGGAGCCGTGGCCTGTGTCCCTCTGTCCCATCCAAAGCCTGCACTGTGAGCCCAACTCCCCTTTACCGTCTTGGCCCACTGCACTCAAAACGTGTTACCAAACAACTTTTAACAGTTACATAATAACCAAGTGGATGATGCACCAGTCTGTCTAGTGAAGCAATTCCCTACGACTGTAAAATTAAATGACTTCGATTTAATGACTTCACGCTTATTATAAATGCAGCTGCCATGGGCATTTCTGAACAGTTTTCCCTACTTTGACAGGAGCTCCTTCTGCGACGTCCCTCCACATCTGAGCAGGAAGGTTTTTTGTTGTTGCTGAGACAGAGTCTCACTCCGTCGCCCAGGCTGGAGTGCAATGGCACGATCTCGGCTCACTGAAACCTCTGCCTCCCATGTTCAAGCAATTCTCCTGCCTCAGTCTCCCGAGTAGCTGGGATTACAGGCGTCCGCCACCACACCCAGCTAATTTTTGTATTTTTAGTAGAGACAGCGTTTCGCCATGTTGGTCAGGCTGGTCTCAAACTCCTGACCTCAGGTGATCCACCCACCTCAGCCTCCCAAACTGCTGGGATTACAGGCGTGAACCACCTCGCTCAGCCGGAAGGTTTTAATCAGAAGCACTTTAAACCCTCTGGATCCTCCTCTCCGTGGCAAGTGCTACAGAGAGGGACAGGCTTGGGATGGGGACACACAGACAAGTAAGTAACGGGAAACGAACTCGCTACAAAGAAACTCTAGGACCGTCATGAGATGCTGCCCTGCCCAGGTGGTAGTAGGTATTACCGTTTGTACATGAGCAGCTCCCTCTGTCTCTGAAGCCTGGCAGCCACGTTCCAACCGCTTGTCAGAGCCTGGAGTCGTCGGCAGAAAATCCCAAAGAGGAAGTGCCCCTGGGAAGGGGTGTGGCCGAGAGGCACCGAGGGGTCCTGCTGCAGCTCCAGGTCAGCTACCATCTCCTGGAAAAGAGGAGGATGCTGGCACAGGAAGGCCTCGGGGCTCACTGCCCAGCCAGTCGGGTACCCTGACGGCGGGGGGCGCGGTGTCAGGGAAAGGTCTCCACAGGGCACAGGGCAAGAAGGAACAAGTGGGGCAAACTATTTCAACTGGAAATCACTTTGAAATTGAAATTGCAAATATAGAACAGTGCAGGCCGGGTGTTGTGGCTTACGTCTGTAATGCCAGCACTTTGGGAGGCTGAGGCAGGCAGATCCCTTGAGCCCAGGAGTTAGAGTACTGCTTTTCAATTAAGAAAAACAGCCGGGGCCAGGCGTGGTGACTCAAGCCTGTAATCCCAGCACTTTGGGAGGCCGAGACGGGCGGATCACGAGGTCAGGAGATCGAGACCATCCTGGCTAACAAGGTGAAACCCCATCTCAACTAAAAAATACAAAAAATAACTAGCCGGGCGAGGTGGCGGGCGCCTGTAGTCCCAGCTACTCGGGAGGCTGAGGCAGGAGAATGGCGTAAACCCGGGAGGCGGAGCTTGCAGTGAGCTGAGATCCGGCCACTGCATCCCAGCCTGGGCGACAGAGCGAGACTCCCTCTCAAAAAAAAAAAAAAAGAAAAAAGAAAAACAGCCGGGTGCTGTGGATCATGCCTGTAATCCCAGCACTTTGGGAGGCCGAGGCAGGCGGATCATGAGGTCAGGAGACAGACCATCCTAACACGGTGAAACCGTCTCTACTAAAAATACAAAAAATTAGCCGGGCGTGGTGGTGGGTGCTTGTAGTCCCAGCTACTCGGGAGGCTGATGGAGAAGAATGGCTTGAACCCGGTAGGCAGAGCTTGCAGTGAGCTGAGATCACACCACTGCACTCCAGCCTGGGCGACAGAGCAAGACTCCATCTCCAAAAAAAAAAAAAAAAAAAAAAAAAGAAAAAAAAAAGACCAGATATGGTGGCTCATGCCTGTAATTCGGCACTTTGGGAGGCCAAGACAGGCGGATCACCTGAGGTCAGGAGTTCAAGACCAGCCTGGCCAACAAAATTAGCCATATAAAAATTAGCTGGGTGTGGTGGCAGGTGCCTGTAATCCCAGCTACTCAGGAGGCTGAGGCAGGAGAATCGCTTGAATCCAGGAGGTGGAGGTTGCAGTGAGCCAAGATCCCACCACTGCACTCTAGCCTGGGTGACAGAGCAAGATTCTGTCTCAAAAAACAAACCAACCAACCAAAAAAACCAGCACAAGGACACCCATGTGCCCTCCACCCAGATTAACCTCAGGCTAACATTTTACCCCACACATCATTTTTGCCTCACAAGTCTTTTTTTTTTTCTTTTTTTGAGACAGTCTCAGTCCGGCTGCCCAGGCTGGAGGGCAGCAGTGCAATCCTGATCTCTCGAGCTCAGTTGATTCTAAGTCAGTCTCCTGAGCAGCTGGGACTGTAGGTACACACCACCGAGCAGCTGGGACTGTAGGTACACACCACCGAGCAGCTGGGACTGTAGGTACACACCACCGAGTAGCTGGGACTGTAGGTACACACCACCATGCTCAACTACTTTTTTGTATTTTTAGTAGAGACAGGGTTTCACCATGTTGGCCAAGCTGGTCTTGAGCCCCTGACCTCAAGTGATCTACCCGCCTCAGCCTCCCAAAGTGCTGGGATTACAGGCACAAGCCACTATGCCCGGCCGGCTGTGTTTTTTTTTTTTTTTTTGAGACGGAATCTCGCTCTGTCGCCCAGGCTGAAGTGCAGTGGCCGGATCTCAGCTCACTGCAAGCTCCACCTCCCAGGTTTACGCCATTCTCCGGCCTCAGCCTCCCGAGTAGCTGGGACTACAGGCGCCCACCACTTCGCCCGGCTAGTTTTTTGCTTTTTTTAGTAGAGACGGGGTTTCACCCTGTTAGGCAGGATGGTCTCGATCTCCTGACCTCGTGATCCACCCGTCTCGGGCTCCCAAAGTGCTGGGATTACAGGCTTGAGCCACCGCGCCCGGCCCGGCTGTGTTTTTTAAAGAAGAATAAAGATCAGGTGCAGTGGCTCACGCCCATAATCCAACAATTTTGGAGACTGAGATGGGTGGTTCATTTGGGCCCAGGAGTTCGAGACCAGCCTAGGCAACATGGCAAAACTCCATCTCTACAAAAAATCAGCTGGGTGTGGTGGTGCACTCAGGTGCACACTGTGAGGATTGCTTGAGCCCAGGAAGTCAAGGCTGCAGTGAGCTATGAGCGCACCACTGTACTCTAGCCTGGGCGACACAGCAAGACCCTGTCCCAATAATAATAATAATAATAATAATAATAATAATAATAATGATGATTATTAAGAGGAATAACCAGATGGTCTCACTGAGGAGAAGGAGCCAGGTGGGTCTAGGGAAAGCATCTGGCTAAGGAGTTAGGAGGCCCCAGTGCTCGGGGAGGGGAAGACAGGGGCCTGGCACAGAAGACACATGGGTGGCCAGCACCAGTAAACGCCTGTTGACTGACAGTGAACACACACAGGTACATGCTGTCTACCTGTATAGATCTCAGGTGATCCACCAGCCTCGGCCTCCCAAAGTACTGGGATTACAAGCATGAGCCACGACGCCCAGACTATAATAAACATCTTAATAGGATGCAGCTTAAATGAAGTGAACGCACTGAGTTGTGGCATCCTCAAACTCACCTGCAATCTGGAAATAATGTCCTCATTTCCTGTGCGGCCACCAAAGACCAAATTGGAATTCTCTGAGTGGTCATAACTCCTTGAGCTGAAAACAAAACACAATAAAATCTTCCTCAGTATCGCCTAATAGTGCTGGAGTTCCCAGTTCTCCTCCTGCCTCCAGAGTTGAGTGATGGCTGTGCTTTTCTGACAGTGTGACCTCACATTATTCAACAATAAACAACAAAAACTGCCACAAAATACTACCAACCCCAACCCAAGAAATACAAAAATTATGTACCATGCTGGTCATAACCATGCTGGGGTTTCTCCCAAGAATGCAAGGACAGCTTAACATCCCCAAATCAATAGAATGCAGTTTTCAGTAAAATAAAAAGCAAAAACCACAGGATTGTCTTAACAGATGCAGAAAAAGCACTTGGTGGAATTTAACATCCCTTTGTGATAAAAACACTCAATAAACTAGGAACAGAAGGGGATCTTCTCAATCTGGTACCTGGCACGTATGCAAAACCCACAGCTAACATCAAATTTAATGAGGAAAGACTGAAAGCTTTTCTTCTAAGATCAGGGGCAACAAGGATGTGCTCTCTACACTCAAAGCAGTGTCGCTGCCTCTACTCAGCACTGCACTGGGGCCGGGCGCGGTGGCTCACACCTGTAATCCCAGCACTTTGGGAGGCTGAGGCGGGCGGATCAGCTGAGGTCAGGAGATCAAGACCATCCTGGCCAACATAGTGAAACCCCTTCTCTACTAAAAATACAAAAATTAGGCCGGGCACACTGGCTCACACCTGTAATCCCAGCACTTTGGGAGGCTGAAGCAGGCGGATCACCTAAGGTCTGGAGTTCAAGACCAGCCTGGCCAACGTGACGAAACCCTATCTCTACTAAAAATACAAAAAATTAGATGGATGTGTTAGCAGGCACAAGTAATCCCAGCTACTCGGGAAGCTGAGGCAGGAGAATTGCCGGAACCCGTAAGGCGGAGGTTGTAGAGAGCTTAGATCCTGCCATGGCCCTCCAGCCTGGGAGACAGAGTGAAACTCTGTCTCAAAAACAAACAAACAAACAAAAATTAGCAGCCAGGCGTGGCAGCGGGTGCCTGTAATCCCAGCTACTGGGGAGGCTGAGGCAGGAGAATCGCTTGAACCCGAGAGGCGGAGGTTGCGGTGAGCCGAGATCACACCGCCACACTCCAGCCTGGGTGCCAGAGCGAGATTCCGTCTCAGAAAAAAAACAAAAAACACTGCCCTGGGAGTTCAAGCTGGGGCAATTCACCGAGAAAAAGGAAAGCATCCAGATGGGAAAGGAAAAAGTTAAACTATCTCTGTTCACGGATTATATGATCTTCCTTTTGTTTTTTTTTTGTTTGAGACTGAGTTTCACTCTTGTCGCCCAGGCTGGAGTGGCAGTGGCATGATCTCGACTCACTGCAACCTCTGCCCACTGAGTTCAAGTGATTCTCCTGCCTCAGCCTCCCAAGCAACGGATTACAGGAGCTCATCACCGGCCCGGCTAATTTTTGTATTTTTAGTAGAGATGCGGTTTCACTATGTTGACCAGGCTGGTCTCCAACTCCTGACCTCAGGTGATCGCTCACCTCACCCTCCCAAAGTGCTGGGATTAAGGCGTGAGGCACCGTGCCCGGCCAGATAATGATCTTATATATACAAAACCCTAAGGAATCGATACAAAAACACTCGTAAGAGCTAAAAAATGACTCGGGCCAATGAATACACAAGAATCAGTGGTGTTTCTATACATTAGCAACAAACGATTCACAGTGAAAGGAGACGCTCTCACTGCCCCACAAGCAGCCCTATCAGGATCTCAGCTACTTCTGTAGACATTGACAAGCTCATCCCAAAATGAGATGCAACTACAAAGCACCCAGAAAAGCCAAAACAATCCTGGAAAACAACAAAGTTAGAGGCCTCACACTTCCCAATTTTAAAACCTACTACAAAGCTTCGGTCATCCAAATGGTGCAGTGCATACAGACATACAGACCAAGGTACACAATGAGCCAGAAATAAATCCTCACACGAACGGCCACCTCACTTTTGACGAGGGTGCCAAGATCATTCAGCAGGGAAAGATGTGTTTTCAACAAATGGTGCTGGGACAACTGCGTGGCCACATGCAACAGAATGAAGCTGGACCACCTCACACAATTTTTTTTTTTTTTTTTTGAGACAGTCTCTCACTCTGTCGCCCAGGCTGGAGTGCGGTGGCACAATCTCGGCTCACTGCAAGCTCCACCTCCCAGGTTCAAGCAAATCTCCTGCTTCAGCCTCCCGAGTAGCTGGGATTACAGGCACCTGCCACCACGCCTGGCTAGCTTTTGTATTTTTTTAGTTTCGCCATGTTGGCCAGGCTGGTCTCGAACTCCTGACCTCAAGTGATCCACCAGCCTCAGCCTCCCAAAGTGCTGGGATTACAGGCGTGAGCCACCGTGGGTGGCCCAAAATGTTTTTTGATCCATCAAAATGGATCAAAATCCTAAAGAGCTAAACTAAAAACAGATGATCTGAACTTTATAAAAATTTAAAACCTTTGTGCATTGAAGGATACGATCAAGAGTGTGAAAAGAGAATTAACAGAATGGGACAATATATTTACATATCATATATTTGATAAGAACTTTATCTAAAATATATAAAGAACTCATACAACTCAGTAAGATAAATACAGTCATGAACTGCTTAATGACAAGGATCCATTCTGAGAAACACATCTTTAGGTGGTTTCCTCACGTGAACATCAAAGTGCACCGACACAGATCAGAGCCCTCCGCACACCTAGGCCACATGGCATGGCCCACTGCACAGACCTAGACAGCAGACCCCCCGCGCGCCTAGGCCACATGGCATTTCCCACTGCACAGACTTAGCAGACCCCCCGCACACCTAGGCCACATGGCATGGCCCACTGCACAGACTTAGCAGACCCCCCGCACACCTAGGCCACATGGCATGGCCCGCTGCGCCCAGGTTATGAACCAGCACAGCATGGAACTGTACTGAATACTGCAACTGGAACACAACAGTATTTGTGCATCTAAACATAGAAAAGGTACAGTAAAAACACAACTTAAAAAAAAAGTGACAAAACAACTATGGCTTTATGGGATTAGTGTCATATATGTGGCTCATTGTTAACCAAAACGCTGTTATGAATGTAACCCAGTTTTCAAATGGGCTGAAGATATGAATAGATATTTCTCCAAAGAAAATCTACAAATGGCCAATAAGAAAATAGAAAGATGCTCAAAATCACTACCCATCAGGGAAGTACAAATCAAAACCACAATGAAATAGCACTTAATACGCACTAGGATGGCCACCAGCAAGTCCGGCCTAGCACAGAGGCTCACACCTGTAATCCCAGTACACTGGGAGGCCGAGGCGGGCAGATCACCTGAGGTCAGGAGTTCGAGACCAGTCTGGCCAACATTGTGAAACCCCATCTCTACTAAAATTACAAATTAGCCACCAGGGCCGGGCGCAGTGGCTCAAGCCTGTAATCCCAGCACTTTGGGAGGCCGAGACAGGCGGATCATGAGGTCTGGAGATCGAGACCATCCTGGCTAACACGGTGAAACCCCGTCTCTACTAAAAAATACAAAAAACTAGCTGGGCGGGCGCCTGTAGTCCCAGCTACTTGGGAGGCTGAGGCAGGAGATGGCCTAAACTCGGGAGGCGGAGCTTGCAGTGAGCTGAGATCCGGCCACTGCACTCCAGCCTGGGCGACAGAGCGAGACTCCGTCTCAAAAAAAAAAAAAATTAGCCACCAGGTGAGGTGGTGCCTGTAGTCCCAGCTACTTGAGGGGCTGAAGCAGGAGGATCACTTGAGCCCAGGAGGTCGAGGCTGCAGTGGGCTGAGATCTCACCACTGTATCCCAGCCTGGGTGACAAAGTAAGACCCTGTTTCAAAATAAATATATAAGACAAAGTAAGACTCTGTCTCAAACAAAGTACATGGATAAACAAAATATGGCTGATCCTTCTGTTCTGCAGTGAGCAGCTCTGTGCAAACCTACCCATAAAGGCTGGGGAAGTTGGGAAGCTGGAGAAAGAGGCTGAACAATCCAGTTTCTCAGACAGAAATGTTTAAGGGCTGACAGACAGAAGCCATGTCTTGGGCAGCCTAGAGAGATGATGCATCCCTGCAATGCTACCCCCAGGCGGGGCTTCTATACCACAGGGAAGGATTATTGAAGTCAACCCCTCAGGGAAAAGCAAGAATGCTCTGTGAATCTAACCGCTGGATTTAAGGTGGAAAATTTGTTTTTTTTGTTTTGAGATGGGGTCTGTCACCCAGGCTGGAATGTAGTGGTGTTATCACAGCTCACTGCAACCTCTGCCTTTCAGGCTCAAGCAGTCCCACCTCAGCGTCATGAGTAGCTGGGACCACAGGCACACCATGCCTAATTTTTTTTTTTTTTTTGTGGAGATAGGGTTTCACCAGGCTGGTCTCAAGCTCCTGAGCTCAGATGATCTGCCTGCCTTGGCCTGTCAGTGCTGAGATTACAGGCATGAGCCACTGCGCCCAGCCTCAAGGTTGTTTTGACCTAAGAGTGGGATTTAAGGTAACAGCAGATAAATGGGAAATCTCAGGAGGCATTCTTGGAGTAGGGTTAACGGGAAGTCACCCACGATAGAGGTGCGTCAGCTTCCACACCTTCTGTGAGTGTCAGTCGGCCATAAGAAGGAAGGGTGTGCTGATACAGCCCCCACACCTTCTGTGAGCATCAGTCGGCCATAAGAAGGAAGGGTGTGCTGATACAGCCCCCACACCTTCTGTGAGCGTCAGTCAGCCATAAGAAGGAAGGGTGTGCTGGTGCAGCCCCCACACTTCTGTGAGTGTCAGTCGGCCATAAGAAGGAAGGGTGTGCTGATACAGCCCCACACCTTCTGAGCGTCAGTCGGCCATAAGAAGGAAGGGTGTGCTGATACAGCCCCCACACCTTCTGTGAGCGTCAGTCGGCCATAAGAAGGAAGGGTGTGCTGATACAGCCCCACACCTTCTGTGAGCGTCAGTCGGCCATAAGAAGGAAGGGTGTGCTGATATGTGCTACAACACGGATGAGCCTCAGAAACATTCTGCTCAGCCAAGGAAGCCAGACACAAAGGGCCACATACTATGTGATTCTATTTATATTAAATATGCAAAAAAGGCAAATCCATGAACAGAAAATGGATTCCTGGTTGCCACAGGCAGGGGACATGGAGGAAAGGTGCATACACACTTGCCATCTGTACTGAATGCTGAAGCTGTAACACAATAGTTAGGAGCTGCAGGCAAGAGCTGCTGGGAACAAAGCCTGGACAGCCCCAGGTACACTCCGTCCATCCTTCTGGCCCAGATGCACCACCTCAGGAACTGCTCTGTCCTGAGAATCCCTCTCAGATGGAGAGAGGCCCAGTATCTGCTAGGCCATTTGTGCTGTGCTTCGCACTTGCTCACCTTGAACACCAGGTGACAGAACAGAAAAACGTTGTTGCCATTTTTTTTTTTTTGAGACGGGTCTTGCTCTGTCGCCCAGTCGGCTCACTGCAACCTCTGCCTCCTGGGTTCAAGCAATCCTGCTGCCTCAGCCTCCCAAGTAGCTGTGCCTACAGGCGCACACCACCACGCCCAGCTAATTTTTATATTTTTAGTAGAGATGGGGTTTTACCATGTTGGGCAGGCTGGGTCTCGAACTCCTAACCTCAGGGGATCCACCCACCTCGGCCTCCCAAAGTGCTGGGATTACAGGTGTGAGCCACCACGCCCAGCCCAAAGTTGTTGCACTTAACAAGTCTATACACATAAAGAAACAACCGATTAAGGAAGCTTGCCTTTATTTTGTACTGACTTAGATTTGCCATGTGATATGCTCGAGTGTACTTTGCATAACACAATTGGAGTGAGAGAAAAATGTATTCTTAGAGCTGCCATGATTTCAAGTAAGGCCTCATTGGTGTGTGACGGTTAACACTGAGTGTCGGCTGGACTGGGTTGAAGGATGCAAAATGTTGATCCTGGGTGTGTGTCTGTGAGGGTGTTACCAAAGGAGATTCACATTTGGGTCTGGGCTGGGAAAGGCAGACCCACCCTTAATCTGGGTGGGCACCATCTAATCGGCGGCCAGCAAGGCCAAAAACTCCCCTTTGTATATATCCTATTAGTTCTGTTCCTCTAGGGAACCCTAATACAGTGTGTGCTGCTAACCTGTGGTGGAAATCCATCAGAGCGTTGACAAGAACGGTACACGCAGCCTCCAGGTCTCCGTCACAGCCTCCTGAAGCAGAGGACTTAGGGAGAAAGTGCTCATAGATCGCCCACTGGTGGAAGTCCTGCCTGGAACAGCAAACACTGACATCAGTTCTGAGAAATGCTTCGCGACCAGCAGTTCCCCATAACCAGGGAGTAGGCCCACAGTAAGGAACACACAGCACTAGTGAGAGCTGGGTTGAGACTGGCGGCTCGGGACCTTAGAGTAGGAATGAGACCTCACTGTCTGCAGGGTGGGGTGCCTGGGGCTGTGGGAAAGGCCTGGTCTCAGGAGTGGCCTTTGTGAACCGCCCCCCTTCCACTGATCAAAGGCCACTCAGGATGACATCCCACTGGGTAACTGCTGGCCACATAGCGGATGAGCTTGGTGAACAGAACAGGCAAGCACAAAAATGTAGGCTGTAAAGTCACCTGAGGGCACCTGAGCTACTCACAGGCCCACCGGCAGGGGATGGTGAAGCAACCTGCGTCCAGACTGTGGGCTCTGTGCATATGGACAGGAAAGGGCTCAAGGACACACTCACTCAAAACTGTGGTGGCTACACCTATAATCCCAGCACTGTGGGAGGAGGCCAAGGTGGGAGAATCGCTCGCGCCCAGGAGTTTGACATCAGCATGACCAACATAGGGAGACCCCATTCCTACCAAAAATAAAAAATTAGCTGGGCATAGTGGTGCCCGCCTGTGGTCCCAGCTACTGAGGAGGCTGAGGCAGGCGGATCGCTTGAGCTCTGGAGAGGGAGGCTGCAGTGAGCCATAACTGCAACACTGTACTCCAGCCTGGCCAACAGGGTGAGACCCTGTCTCAAACAAACAAACAAATCTGCAGTGCACAGAACCATCAATACTGCAATCCATTTACACAGAAAGAGCCAAAACCAGGAAAATGCAACCATGCAAATATGAGTGCTAAGGGGTGTGTGCTCTACCCACACTGTCTGGAACTGGCACAGAATGTATCTAAGTATCACTTAAGTAATTGAGAAAAGAAAGAAAATCCCAGGAACACATCTCAACACGACTTCCACGTAGCAGTGACCTGAGTGGTAAGGAGAGGTCCTCATGACCCCACGTAGGAGACCAGTCCCTCCCTCTGACCTCCTTAGATTCCACCCCGGAGAGGAGCCAGGAGGAGAAACGGGAGCGTGTGGAGGAAGCACCTGCAGAGCGGGCTTGGCACAACCCGAACCATCGGCGCCCGTTTTGCCACAGGCAGCAGCGAGTTGTTGTTTCTGTGGCCCCCGTTTTCCTTTTCCTATTACTTCTATTGGTTTCATCCAGAATCGGATGCCAGGATCCAGGCGCAGGAGACAGTGCTGCATGTGCCTGGAGGGCCCCTGACGGCCAGAAGGACGAGGAACACAGGGTGGCTGATGCCAACCCTCTCCTGAGTCTGGGTGTGGCAGGCACCCCGAGGCTCATGTACCCAGCAGGACGCTCCCTGTCTGCAGTGACCACATTCCCCTCTCCCTGACCTCCACCCTAAACTCCACAGCCTCAAACCCAAGGGCCCTCTGGGCTCCCTACTCCTATGTCCAGAACAGCACAACTGACCTCTCCAGTGGTCTCAGTCATCAGCCCTGGGACCTAGGGGGGGTTCAGTGCTTCATTTACCCACTTCCTGGTGCCCCCATGTCAAGGCCAGCACCTCTCCTCAAAGTCTGCACCACCTGCTCCACACCAGCCTCTTCTCCTCCCTGGTCATTTCCTCTCACACGGCCCTGTCTGGTATCTCCAGAGCTCATTCCTACCTTTAATCTACTTCTGTGTCTACCTGCGTGTTGCCAGGGCCAGGACGCAGGTGTACAGCTCCTGGAGAGCAGCCACAGCCCAGCCAGGGCAGGGTGAAGTCTAAGTGGGTGCCCTCGATGTGCCACATCTGCCCTCATCGATACACAGGTGCCATATGAGCAGCCTTGTCTCTTTCCCTCTATACTCCCTGCTTCTAGAACACTCTATAAGTGTCTACCACATGGTAGGAGCTCAGTAAATGTTTCTTAAATAAAGGAAAAACAATTGAAATTGGGCAACCCTCCCGGGTGCCCCCACCACATGGAAACTTTACGTTCAATTTCGCTTTAATAAATCTTTTTTTTTTTTTTTTTTTTTTTTGAGACAGAGTCTCGCTCTGCCGCCCAGGCTGGAGTGCAGTGGCCGGATCTCAGCTCACTGCAAGCTCCGCCTCCCGGGTTCACGCCATTCTCCTGCCTCAGCCTCCCGAGTAGTTGGGACTACAGGCGCCTGCCACCGCGGCCGGCTAGTTTTTTGTATTTTTTAGTAGAGACGGGGTTTCACCGTGTTAGCCAGGATGGTCTCGATCTCCTGGCCTCGTGATCCGCCCGTCTCGGCCTCCCAAAGTGCGGGGATTACAGGCTTGAGCCACTGCGCCCGGCCGCTTTAATAAATCTTGACACCAAAAACAAAACAAAACAAAACAAAAAACAATTAAAATTGTGCTCAAAGATTAACAGTTGGCCGGGCGCGGTGGCTGAAGCCTGTAATCCCAGCACTTTGGGAGGCCGAGACGGGCGGATCACAAGGTCAGAAGATCGAGACCATCCTGGCTAACACGGTGAAACCCCGTCTCTACTAAAAAATACAAAAAACTAGGCGGGCGCGGTGGCAGGCGCCTGTAGTCCCAACTACTCGGGAGGCTGAGGCAGGGGAATGGCGTGAACCCGGGAGGCGGAGCTTGCAGTGAGCTGAGATCCGGCCACTGCACTCCAGCCTGGGCGGTAGAGCGAGACTCCTTCTCAAAAAAAAAAAAAAAAAAAAAGATTAACAGTTAAACAAAACATTAAATTGAGGATAAAATGTCAAAACGTAGGCTTTAAGACAGTGTAGAAAACTGTGTAACATTTTAAAGGGAAGCTCCTTTTTCTTTTGAGATTGGATCTCACTCTGCTGCCCAGGCTAAAGTGCAGTGGTGTGATCTCAGCTTGCCGCACCCTCTGCCTTCCAGGCTCAAGCAGTGTTCCTGCTCTGCCTCCCAGCTGGCTGTGATGACTGGCATGTGCCGCACGCCCAGCTAATTCTTTTTCTATTTTTTGTAGAGATGGAGTCTCCCTGTGTTGCCCAGGCTGACCTCAAACTCCTGGATTCAAGAGATCCTCCTGCCTCAGCCTCCCAAAGTGCTGGGATTATAGGTGTGAGCCATCACGCCCGGCCAGGGTAGCTCTTTTCAACACATACCGTTCAGTATCTGAAAGAGCATCAGCTTCAGGCTGAATTTCCAGCTCCAGGTGTAACCAGTCTTGGTAAGTTAACTGAGAGAAAGGGAGCAATTCAATACAATGAGGACAGAACACACAATCCACCGCAGGTTTATAAAACAGTTTGTCATTTCATCTCATACGCAGCCCTCCGTGTCCCTGTGTTATAATGAAATTGCAGCTGAGAGTTCTACAGGAAAGAAACTTTAGTTTTGTCAAGAATTGTTTCTTACAAGATTTCCCTAGCACAAAGATGTTAGCACTGTAATCCTTTATTTCCAAGTATAAAACGGCTATTTTAGTCTGGGCAACATAGTAACACCCCATCTCATTTAAAAATTGCCTGGGTACAGTGGCTCATGCCTGTAATCCCAGCACTTTGGGAGGCTGAGGCCAGCAGATTGCTTGAGCCTAGGCAACATGGCAAGACCCCGTCTCTACAAAAGATTTAAAAATCAGCCAGGCATGGTGGCACGTGTGTGTGGTCCCAGCCTCTTGGGAGGCTGGGGCGGAAGGATCGCTTGAGCCCAGGAGGTCAAGGCTGCAGTAAGCAACAGAGTGAGATCTATAAAAAGGAAAAAAAAAGAAAAAAGAAAAAAGAAAACGGCCGGGCGCGGTGGCTCAAGCCTGTAATCCCAGCACTTTGGGAGGCCGAGACGGGCGGATCACGAGGTCAGGAGATCGAGACCATCCTGGGTAACACAATGAAACCCCGTCTCTACTAAAAATACAAAAACTTAGCCGGGCGAGGTGGCAGGCGCCTGTAGTCCCAGCTACTCGGGAGGCTGAGGCAGGAGAATGGCGTGAACCCGGGAGGCGGAGCTTGCAGTGAGCTGAGATCCGGCCACTGCACTCCAGCCTGGGTGACAGAGTGAGACTCCGTCTCAAAAAAAAAAAAAAAAAAAAGAAAGAAAAAAGAAAACAACAACATTCTACAGCTATTCACAGTAGCATACCTTCATTTATTTTTGGAAACAGGGTCTGCTGCCCAGGCTGGAGTGTGTGCAGTGATACAATCGTAGCTCGTGGCTGGCTCTGCCTCCTGGACTCCAGCATCCTCCCCCCCTCAGCCTCTCAGATGGCTGGGACTGCAGGTGCACATCACCATGACCAAGTAAGTTTTTTAAAAACATTTTTAGTAGGCCAAGCACGGTGGTTCCTACCTGTAATCCCAGCACTTTGGGAGGCTGAGGTAGGCGGATCATGAGGTCAGGAGATCGAGACCATCCTGGCTAACACGGTGAAATCCCGTCTCTACTAAAAATACACACACACACACACACACACACACACACACACACACACAGGGCTGGGCACGATGGTTCACGCCTATAATCCCAGCACTTTGGGAGGCCGAGATGGGCGGATCACGAGGTCAGGAGATAGAGACCATCCTGGCTAACACGGTGAAACCCCGTCTCCACTAAAAATACTAAAAATTAGCTGGGCGTGGTGGCGGGCGCCTGTAGACCCAGCTACTTGAGAGGCTGAGGCAGGAGAATGGCGTGAACCCAGAAGGCGGAGCTTGCAGTGAGCTGAGATCGCACCACTGCACTCCAGCCTGGGCGACAGAGTGAGACTCCGTCTCAAAAAATAAAATAAAATAAAATTTTAGTAGAGACAAGGTCTCACTATGTTGACCAGGTTGGTTTTGAACTGAGCTCAGGTGATCCTTCCGCCTCGGTTTACCAAAGTGCTGGGATTGTAGGCATGAGCCATGGCATCCGACTTGTGTTAACATGTTTCCTGTCTGTAAATCTTAAAACAGTTCCATGAATCAACAGGGACTAATTTCAATATGTTGATTTGTGGACTAATCTCCAAACCTCACATTGCAGGAAAAGCAGCAACACTCCTGCCGCGCACTCCTATCTGGGTAAAGGCCGAAGCTGCCGAGCTCCGCACAGGGACACCCACAGATGCGGCACAGCCAAGGGAGCAATGCAGGAAGATTCCCTCCGAGCTGCTGGTGGGCACAGAGCTATTCACTGCCTCCTTTTCTTTTTCTACTGCGCCTGGTCATCATTCCTCACATCAAAACACAGCATCATACTTACTTTTGTGTAGCTAACATAGTTAACAATAAAAAAAGCAGAAAAAGTAGTACAACAACCTTGAGGTTTTTGTACTACTAACCTAGAGACGCCACTCAGCGTCTCTAGGCTCACTCCTGTGCGCCTGGCGGGCGCCTGTAGTCCCAACTACTGGAGAGGCTGAGGTACGAGAATCGCTTGAACCTGCAGAGGCTGCAGTGAGCCAAGACTGCACCACTGAACACAGCCAGACATTGTCCCAAAGAACATATCACTAAAAATAAAAAGAGAAGTTTGTGTTGGGAGAAACTCAGAAAGTATAGCAGGGTTTCTCTGTATTTATTTATTTATTTTTTTGAGTCAGGGTCTTGCTGCGTCATCCAGGTGGGAGTAGAGTAGCGTGATCTTGGCTCACTGCAACCTCCACCTCCCAGGCTCAAGCAATTCTCCTGCCTCAGCCTCCCAAGCAGCTAGAACTACAGGTGCACACCACTGCGCCCAACTAATTTTTGCCTTTTTTGTAGAGATGGGGTTTCACCATGCTGCCTGGGCTGGTCTCAAACTCCTGAGTTCAGGTGATCCACCTGCCTTGGCCTCCCACAGTGCTGGGATCACAGGTGTGAGCACCGTGCCCAGTCTCTGTATACTTTTTTTTTTTTTTTTTTTTTTTTTTTTTGAGATGGAGTCTTGCTGTGTTGCCCGGGCTGGAGTACAGTGGCCAGATCTCAGCTCACTGCAAGCTCCGCCTCCCAGGTTTACGCCATTCTCCTGCCTCAGCCTCCCGAGTAGCTGGGACTACAGGCGCCCGCCACCTCGCCCGGCTAGTTTTTTGTATTTTTAGTAGAGACGGGGTTTCACCGTGTTAGCCAGGATGGTCTCGATCTCCTGACCTTGTGATCCACCCGTCTCGGCCTCCCAAAGTGCTGGGATTACAGGCTTGAGCCACCGCGCCCGGCCATGTATAATTTCTTAACAGCTGCACATGAGGCCACAATGATGTCAGTCAAGATTCCAATCAAACCACCTAGGTGCTGCTGTTCTTGCCTCTGAGGAGACAGTCTGCACATACAGGATGTGGCACGATGCAGGGGAAGGAACGGTGACCTACATGAACATCTTCCTCTTTCAACAGCTCTCGGAAGGTTCTGTGTGTCCAGAGAGAGAGGGCAGCTCTCTGCCAGTCTGCGGAAGGAAGGTACAAGGGTCTCCAGGAAAGGCTGGCTGCGTCCTCTTGAGAAAGAGGCTGTCGGGCCTCTGAGAACAATCTGAACACAAGGAACTGAAACTGAAACAGACAGTATCATGCAAGTTTCACTGGGAGCGGTTAAGCCAATGCTCAGGTGGAAACAGACCATCAACAGCCAAGCCACACACACAGCCCCACGTTCAGGAGACCTCAGTCCAGCCCCTGGGAGGGGGCAACACACAACCCCACGTTCAGGGGACCTCAGTCCAGCCCCTGGGAGGGGGCAACACACAACCCCACGCTCAGGAGACCTCAGTCCAGGCCCTGGGAGGGTGCAACACACAACCTCACGTTCAGGGGACCTCAGTCCAGCCCTTGGGAGCGTGTAGAGCCCCTCAGTGGTCATGGCTGTGCACAGCGCTCCAGGGAAGAGACGTTCCTGCCATCTGACTGTTTCCTTGAGCTAAATGTCTGGAAGCAGAATTGCAGGAACAAAACTGCCTCCCAGGGGTAGGGCTGGTTTGGTCCTGGGTCGTGAAACCGCCCATCTCTAGGCCTTTGCCAGGAATGGCGTTGCCACCAAAAGCGCACACCACTGGACAAGCGAGACACGCTATCGGTGCTGCGTGACCGTGTCCATCTCTGCCTCTAAGGAGACGAGAGCCTCCCATGTTTACAACCGGACTGCTCCAAGGACGTGACCGTGTCCATCTCTGCCCCTGAGGAGACGAGAGCCTCCCATGTTTATAACCGGACTGCCGTCCCTGCCCAGTGCGCTGGGTGGGGACCATGTTGCCCTCTCCTAAGCTCCAACACCATGTTTTCTTTAAAAACTTGGCACCAGAGGCAAAGTTCCTCAGAGGAAATAACTGGAAATATGTGCACCCTGGATCCTCAGGGGCTGCTCCCAGATTCTGACTTAATTTATCTGGAAAGGGGCCAGGAATCTGTAGTTTCAAAAGCTTCTCAGGTGATTCCGATGTGAAGCCTGCAGTTGAAAACCACTATTTATTTATTTATTTATTTATTTATGCAAGGCGGAGTCTCGCTCTGTCGCCCAGGCTGGAGGGCAGTGGTGCAATCTCGGCTCACTGGCAAGCTCCGCCTCCCTGGTTCAAGCCATTCTCCTGCCTGAGCCTTCCAAGTAGCTGGGATTACAGGCGTGCGCCACCTCGCCCAGCTAATTTTTGTATTTTTAGTAGAGACAGGGTTTCACCATGTCAGTCAGGTTGATCTCAATCTCTCGACCTGATGATCCACCCACGTTGGCCTCCCAAAGTGTTGGGATTACAGGTGTGAGCCACCGAGCCCAGCCTAAAAACCACTATTTTATACTTGAGGCGTTCATTAAAATCCTATAAAAGGACAACACTGGTTTCAGTGCCATTTCACCTTTGCTTTTGACATTCAGGGTTTCCAATGCTCATCTTTTTTTTTTTTTTTTTTTTTTTTGAGACGGAGTCTCGCTCTGTCGCCCAGGCTGGAGTGCAGTGGCCAGATCTCAGCTCACTGCGAGCTCCGCCTCCCGGGTTCCCGCCATTGTCCTGCCTCAGCCTCCCGAGTAGCTGGGACCACAGGCGCCGCCACCTCGCCCGGCTAATTTTTTTTTTGTGTTTTTAGTAGAGACGGGGTTTCGCCGTGTTAGCCAGGATGGTCTCGATCTCCTGACCTTGTGATCCGCCCGTCTCGGCCTCCCAAAGTGCTGGGATTACAGGCTTGAGCCACCGCGCCCGGCCTCCAATGCTCATCTTTAAATTCCTTTGTCTGGGCCGGGCGCGGTGGCTCATGCCTGTAATCCTAGCACTTTGGGAGGCCAAGGTGGGCGGATCACTTGAGGTCAGGAGTTTGAAACCAATCTGGCCAACATGGTGAAACTGTCACACTAAAAAATATATAAAACAATTAGCCGGGCGTGGTGGCAGGTGCCTGTAATTCCACCCACTTGGGAAGCTGAGGCAGGAGAACTGCTTGAACTTGGGAAGTGGAGGCTGCAGTGAGCCGAGATTGCACCACTGCACTCCAGCCTGGGCTACAGAGCAACACTCCATCTTTTAAAAAAAAAAAAAAATTCCTTTTTCTGAATAATGTAAGGAACATTTACTAGACGAGACGAATGAGTATTCTTCTTTCCAGAGAAAGATACTTTTTATGAATACTGATCTTTTAATTCATCTCTCCTATAAATACCAACATCTGTTTCCTTACAACTACAGACGCGTAGCTGTCTTCATACAACTTCACTTTACACTCAGAGAACAGAAGAAAAGGCAGCGCTCAGCAGTCAGGCTGCCCAAGCAGACAGTAGAGGTGGCCACGACAGCCAGCCTGACTCAGGAGCTGCCCCTGAGATGGGCATGAGGCAGCAGCAGACCTCGGCCTTCCGGTCTGAAAGCTGTGTAAACCTGAAACGTACAGCAGAATGGAAAAATAGGAAATGACTGAACCCACCTTTTTAATAAGGCCTGGAGATAAGCAGCTGTGCAAAATATCTCGTGACTGGGAAGAAAACTTGCACAGAGAGTACGAAATTGCCGCTGTACAAAATCTGAAAACAGAAATTATAACATATAAATGTTATCCATACAAAATAAGGGATGAAGGAAAAAGTTACTTTCAACTTCACAAAACTGAGTTTAGTGCATTCTAAACTGGATGACCTGAGCATTGGTCCTTGGTTTTTTGGTCTGTTTGTTTTGAGACTGAGTCTCGCTCTGTTGCTCAGGCTGGAGTGCAGTGGCACCACCTGGGCTCACTGCAATCTCTGCCTCTGGGTTCAAGTGATTTTCCTGCCTCAGCCTCTCAGGTAGATGGGATTACAGGCTCTCCCACTGTGCCCAACTAATTTTTTCGTTGTTGCTGTTATTGTTTTTTGTTTTTTTGAGACGGAGTCTCGCTTTGTTGCCAGGCCAGAGTGGAGCGGTGTGATTTCGGCTCACTGCAAGCTCTGCCTTCCAGCTTCAAGCAATTCTCCTGCCTCAGCCTCCCGAGTAGCTGGGACTACAGGCACCCGCCACCATGCCCAGCTAATTTTTTTTATTTTTAGTAGAGATGGGGTTTCACTGTGTTAGCCAAGATGGTCTCGATCTCCTGACTTCGCGATCCACCCACCTTGGCCTCCCAAAGTGCTGGGATTATAGACATGAGTCACCGCACCCAGTCAATTTTTAAATTTTTTTAGTAGAGACGGGGTTTCACCATGTTGGCCAGGCTAGTCTCAAACTCCTGACCTCAAGTGATCTGCCCACCTCAGCCTCTCAAAGTGCTGGGATTATAGCGTTAGCCACTGTGCCTGGCCCAATCCTTGGTTTATTTTTTCTTTGATACAGGGCCTTACTCTGATGCCCAGGCTGGAGTGCAGTGGCACAATCACAGCTCAGGGGATCACTTAAACCCAGAAGTTCAGGACCAGCTTGGGCAACATAGTGAGACTCTATCTCTCACTAGCTGGGTGTGCGGGTATGTGCCTGTGGTTTCAGCTACTGGGAAGCTGAGGCGGGCGGATCACTTCAGCCTGGGGGACTCAGCAAGAAATGTCTCATTTACTCAACATACGTACCTACAGTAATACCCATGTGAAAAATTCTCACTTGTAACCAAGAACGTCAGAGTGAGACTCCATGAGGCAATGGAGATGCCAAAGCACTGTCATGGTGTTCTTAGGGGTCTAATGTTTCTGTTTTTCAGATGCATATTTGAGCTGGGCGTGATGCTCACGCCTGTAATCCTAACACTTTGGAAGTCCAAGGTGGGCAGATCACCCGAGGTCAGGAGTTTAAGACCAGCCTGGCCAACAAGGCAAAATCCCATCTCTACTAAAAATATATAAACTAGCTGGGCATGGTGGTGTACACCTGTAGTCTCAGCTACTCAAGAAGCTGAGGCACAAGAACTGCTTGAACCCGGGAGGCGGAGGTTGCAGTGAGCCAAGATCATGCTACTGCATTCTAGCCTAGACGATAGAGTGAGACTCTGTCTCAAAAAAAAAAAAAAACAGAAAAAAAACTGAAAACACCAAATATATATTTCATTCTCCCTTTCTTATGCAAAAAGTAGCATCTGAGACAGAGTTCAGTATTTTGCTTTCTTCACTTGGATATATATCCTGAGGCATCTCTGTGTTCCTGAAAGGGGATGGCCCTGTCTCCCCCAAGTCACCTAGACGCCTCCCTCCTCACCAGCTCCCAACTTCTCCATCGGCCGTGTGCCTCTCATGCCAATACCCAGCACTCAGTGTTTGGGGCCTGGGGTGAGTGGGGACTATTTGGTGGGGCCAAGCGCCTGGGAGGGGCTCTGAACCCCCGGAGTACCCACTGCCTGTTCCCCATGGCCCACGTCTGAGGGTGTGGGATCCACACAGCTGCCATCTGACTTCCTCTCCTTGCTCCACGTACATTTCTTGAGCCTCTTCTAAGTTCTCTGTTGTTCAGACCCTGTCATAATGCCAGCTCTCCCCTTTCCTCACAGGGTCTCCGGCATCACAACAGGGCTTCTGTCCCAACCTCGGATTCCTCTGCCCAAGAGACCCAGGAGCTGCAAGCCAAGCCCCAGAGAGCAATGACCACTGGAGTCTCCCAGCCTTCTGTCCTGGCCTCGGCCTCTGCGTGGCAGCTGCAGGGAGCCCTTGAGGCCCTGAGCAGACCATTCTCCACCACAGGGTCCTTCCTCACCTCAGCACATGGCCCCATCTGCTGAGCCCTAGAGAAATAGCCTGAAGTGTACATGTACACACTGGGAAGCTGCTCACCACGGGGTGCCGAAGAACCTGACGAGAGGAAGCTGGTCCAACCAAGGGCCAGACAACCCCAAGACAAAACAAAGCAGCTCTCACCAGGACATCAAAGAATGCTTAACGATGTAGACAGTTACTATCTACTATTAATTTCAGCAGCTTAGTATAGTATGATCTCATTTTTATGAACAAAAACAAATGCATACATACTATAAACATATGACAGATAAAATTCTGGAAGGATATACACCAAAATGCTAAAAAGTGGTTGTCTTTGGGTGGTATGTCTGCATGTCTGTCTCTTCCATTTTATCAAACGAGCATGCATCACTTTTCTAGAGAGAGGAGAGAAGACACAACTGTGGAAGAACAGCTCACTTCAGGCAGAAGAGCAAGGAATCCCTCGTCCTACAGGTCAGGAGGCTGTCAAAGAGTGCAGGGACAGGAAGGCCAGCATCAGGGGCAGAAGGACCCACATCCACCTCCGGGAGCGCAGACCTGGACTCACCCAGGTGCACGGCCAGGGCAGCCAATCCCAGCACATGTGGGGCACTCAGGCTTGGGCCCTGCAACGAGAACAAGGGTGGCAGAGCAGACTGCCCTCTTCCCAGCTGGAATTTTCCAAGGCACTGAAGACAAGCCGGGAAGCAGCAGCCTGGCCCTCAGAGTGGGCCCCCAAGGGTGGCCCCGTGAAGCAGAGCCTCACCTGGTGATGGAGCAGCTGGCAGAGCCGGGTGAGCACTGCAGGGAGCACGCATCCACACATGGTCCTCATGAAGAGGGTAGCCCAGGGGCCCTGCCTGCAGGGACAGCCGCAAAACCATCAGTACTGGCCATTCAGTCCTGCACATCCCTACAACAGCTAACCCAGGCACCAGCGGCCCAAGAAACAGCCAAGTTGTTCCCCAAAATAACGGTCTTTCTGGAAGACAACCCATCTTCTGCAGTGCTTCCCAACTTCTGCTGCGACCTATTTGATGAAACTCAGCCTCGCCGCGTGCTCCCGCGGAGATGAGCTCATGGCCTGCAGCCCTGGCCAGCAGCAGGCGGCACCCAGAGGAGCCCCACCACCCAGGAAGCCGCCTGCGCCTTCACCTCTCCGGGGGAGCGACACTGGAGGCTGCCATCAGGTTCTGACAGAAAGACGTCAGCAGGAGGTCCACAGCCTGTGGAGACACGGTTCTTGTGAGCGCAGCGTCCCGGGGACGGGAGCAGCAGGAAGGAAGCCGGCCAGTTCTCCCGCCACAGACATCGCAATTCCGCTTTGCAAACAGAACTCCACAACAGGCTTATGTTTGGAGGGCACATTACGATGCAAACTGGTATCCAGGCCCCCATTCCCCAATCCTGGGAACAGCAGCCCTCATGTAATTGCCAAGCACAAAATTCTATAGCAGCGGGCAGGATTGGCAAACCTTGTGTGTAAGGCACCAGAAAAATATCTTAGGTTCTGGGGCCACAAACAGCCTCTGTTGCATGTTCTAAAGAGGCAGCTGAGCCCAAGCTGGTCAACAGGATGAAACCCAGTCTTTACTAAAAATACAAAAATCAGCTGGGCATAGTGGTATGCACCTGTAATCCCAGCTACCCAGGAAGCTGAGGCAGGAGAACTGCTTGAGCCCAGGAAGTGGAAGTTGCAGTGAGCCGAGATCACGCCACTGCACTCCAGCCTGGGCAACAGAGCAAGACTCAGTCTCCAAAAAAAGAAAAAAAAGAGGCCAAGCACAGTGGCTCATGCCTATAATCCCAACACTTTGAGAGGCCGAGGCAGACAGATCACTTGACCTCAGGACTTCTACACCAGTCGAGGCAACACAGAGAAACCCCATCTGTACAAAAAATGCAAAAATTAGCCAGGTGTGGTGATGCACGCCTGTAGTCCCAGCTACTTGGGAGGCTGAGACAAGAGGATCACTTGAGCCCAGGGGGTCGAGGCTGCAGTGAGCCATGATTGTACCACTGCACTCCAGCCTGGGCAACAAAGCAAGACCCTGTCTCCAAAATTAAATAAATAAATAAAATGTAAAAGGAGCTCTTCATACACAAACAGACTAGGGTGGCTGACCCTGGTAGACTGCTGCCTGGCCCTGAACACCTGATACCACACTAACTGAGCAAGTCAAACAGAAAATGAGAGAAGGCTCCTTGAGTCTACTGCTTCTGCCTAATGGAAAATGGTGAAGACCCCCTACTTCGTTCTGAGCCCCCACACCTACCGTGTATTCCCGTGGCTCCAGTCTCGGCGCGTTGATGCTGAGCTGAATCTTTGATATCTCAGCGCTGCTGTCATCCTCATTGTGGCCCAGGGCAGCCCTCAGTCTTTCAGAAATCACTGCTACCTGTGCCGATATAACTGCAAATGGAGAAACTAGTTAGGGATGATGGGAACCCTGACAGGAGGGAGGCAGCTGTGGCCTACAGAGCTCCGCCTCCCATCAAGTGCGATTCCACGGACCCTGCTGGCTGCACACATCCCCCAGTTGCCCTGCAGGTGGCTTGCAGTCCTTGTGGTGGAGCATGTGTCATGGCAAATGGGGCAGAAGCCATCCACTACCTTCTTCTGATCAGCTGAGAGGCGGACATGTTCATTCACCAACGTGAACCTCCACTTTCTATGCTCCCCATGTGAAATCCCATGCCAGCCCTCCAGACACCACATGTGTCTAAGCACGTGCCGGAGGCTCCATGTTGGCCCAGGGTAATGGGCCACACACAGCCCAACTCCATCATTTGAAGGTGAACACCGCTTTGCTTTTAGAAACAGGACTCACCTGACATTTATCAACCTCTTGCTTAAGCCCTAGAACTTTTCCTCAATGTCCCCCACACTCTGCACAAGCACATCACTGAAAGGCTACACTTAGGAATTGGTGCACTTGGTCTGAGTAAAGGCTATCGAGGCACTGCAGCCCCAGCCAGTGCTAACAGTTTTGTGAACATTGCCTCCACGCAGAGCTTGCAGTGAGCCGAGATTGTGCCACTGCACTCCAGCCTGGGCGACAGAGCGAGACTCCGTCTCAAAAAAAAACAATGCCGGGCACGGTGGCTCACGCCTGCAATCCCAGCACTTCGGGAGGCCGAGACTGGTGGATCACGAGGTCAGGAGATCGAGACCATCCTGGCTAACACGGTGAAACCCCGTCTCTACTAAAAATACAAAAATTAGCCGGGTGTGGTGGCGGGCGCCTGTAGTCCCAGCTACACGGGAGGCTGAGGCAGGAGAATGGCGTGAACCTGGGATGAGTGGAGATTGCACCACTGCACTACAGCCTGGGCGACAGAGCGAGACTCCGTCTCAAAAAAAAAAATATATATATATATAGTGGCTCACACTGAAATCCCAGCACTTTGGAAGGCCAAGACGAGCGGATCACCTGAGGTCAGGAGTTTGAGACCAGCCTGGCCAACATAGTAAAACCTGTCTCTACTAAAAAATACAAAAAATTAGCCAGGCATGGGGGCAGGCGCCTGTAATCCCAGCTACTTGGGAGGCTGAGGCAGGAGAATTGCTTGAACCCAGAAGACGGAGGTTGCAGTGAGCCAAGATTGCGCCACTGCACTCTAGCCTGGGCAATAAGCATGAGACTCTGTCTCAAAAAAAAAAAATTGCCTCCATGAGCTTCTCTCAGTTCAAATGAAATCAATTCATAATAAAAATCTATGCAAGTTACTCAATTAAAAATATGGCTTGCGGGCCGGGTGCGGTGGCTCATGCCTGTAATCCCAGCACTTTGGGAGGCTGAGGCGGGCGGATTACGAGGTCAGGAGATCGAGACCATCCTGGCTAACACGGTGAAACCCCGTCTACTAAAAATACAAGAAAATTAGCCGGTCGTTGTGGCAGCGCCTGTAGTCCCAGCTACTCGGGAGGCTGATGCAGGAGAATGGCAAGAACCAGGGAGGCAGAGTTGGCAGTGAGCCGAGATGGCTCCAGTGCACTCCAGCCTGGGCGACAGAGTGAGACTCTGTCTCAAAAAAAAAGAAAAAATAAACTGCATGTTCTCAATCCATGATGAACATTTCACAGAAAACTGTCACATGGAAGCAGGATCACAGGGCAGAGAGCCCGCGTGTCCATGTGACATCTACCCTGGCAGTCAGGATCACAGGGCAGAGAGCCCGTGTGTCTATGTGGCATCTACCCTGGCAGTCAGGATCACAGGGCAGAGAGCCCGTTTGTCTATGTGGCATCTACCCTGGCAGTCAGGACAAGGGAAAACACATATCCTAGCCACTGCAGTTTCTTCTCCATCATCATCCGTCCTACTCAGATGCAACTAGCAGAATGTTCATCTTCTGCCAAGGGTCTGTGACGGCCTGAGTAGGACTAGCCTTCCACCTTGTCTCAAAAAAGGTTCCACACCCACCAGCCCGGGGTCAGTCTTCACCACCAAATACTGGACTACTAGCCTGACATCACTACGGGGAAAATGGCCCAGCCACAGAGCCCCAACCATGGGCTGTGCACACGAGGCACAGCGTAAGCCCCCATCCGTCCTCACCGTCACTCTGGCTGGGGTCTGTCATGGAGGATCTGAGCTCTCCCAGTGCAGCCGTGAGCTGTTCCAGGGGCTCCTCAGCAGAGCTGGGTTCTGCCCTCACTCCCAGAGCTGCATCTGTGAGAAGAAGGAGGAGACCAGATGCAAAGACACTCAACAGGACTCTTCACTGCAAAAACAGAAACTTCACACAGTCAAATACAGAGCTGTGCACTTCCAAGCTGCTGTGTGTGGCAGACAGAGTGACTGGGAGTCTCTGAGGAGGTAAATGCTGTGTTCTCCCTGATGCTGGATGCCACCACATTGGAAATTACATTTATAAACAAGTTTAATAAAAAATTACATTTATAAACAAGTTTAAGAAAAAAAGTGGTTCTGTGTGCACCATTAATACCACTCCACCACTGTGAAAAGCATACACATCAAGGAAAACAAGGAGCGTCGGGGGCTGGCGAGGGTAGGGACAGGATCACGGATAGGTGACCATTTAGTCCCCTGGTTCCTCAATCCCTTTTTTTTTTTTTTTTTGAGACAGACTTCCTCTGTCGCCAGGCTGGAGTGCAGTGCTCGATCTCGGCTCACTGCAACCTCTGCCTCCCGGGTTCAAGCCATCCTCTTGCCTCAGCCTCCCGAGTAGCTGGGTAATATTACAGGCACGTGCCACCATGTCCAGCTAATTTTTTGTATTTTTAGTAGAGGCTGGATTTCACCATGTTGGCCAAGACGGTCTCCATCTCCTGACCTCATGATCTGCCTCAAAGTGCTGAGATTACAGGTATGAGCCACTGTGCCTGGCCACCACTTTCAATATAAAAAGGAAGATACACTGCATGTGTTTTTACAGTAAAAAACCTTCACGTTCTGGGCTTGCTGGAGAAGACACAAGCATGACAATGCACTGCTATGCAGTCACACCCAAAATGAAACCAGAAATCATAGGCTCTAGAGCCTGTGCATAAGCCCTATCAGACAAATCATTAGAAACCATTCTGGAAGCCACCAAAAGCTAAGAACAAGTGGACCCCAGGGGAAGGAGGACCCAGGGGGAAGGAGAACAGCTCTTAAGAGAAGCAAACGCCTCACAGCACAGGGTACACTGCCCTGCGGCCCCTATAGCATTCCCCGGCACGACAGAGCGGTTTCAATGCTGGTAAAAACGGGGGCGGGGGAGGGGGAGTCGGACGAGCACAGTGGCTCACGCCTGTAATCCCAGCACTCTGGGAGGCCGAGACAGGGGAATCACAAGGTCAGGAGATCAAGACCATCCTGGCTAACACGGTGAAACCCCGTTTCTACTGAAAACACAAAACACTAGCCGGGCGTAGTGGCGGCACCCGTAGTCCCAGCTACTTGCGAGGTTGAGGCAGGAGAACGGTGTGAACCCGGGAGGCGGAGCTTGCAGTGAGCAGGGATCGTCCAACTGCACTCCAGCCTGGGCGACTGAGTGAGACTCCGTCTGAAATAAACCACCAACCAAAAAAAAAAAAAAAAAAGGGGGTGGGTCAGGGACCTTTGTCTTTGCCCATTGAAGTTTCCTGGGTCTCTATGGCTGCTGGAAATTTTCTAAGCTTATTGAAAAAAGGAGCTTTGGCAAACAGAACTTAAAACAGGCCTGTAGCTCATTAGAAGAGTCTCATCCAGCCTCCCTGGCCCTGCAGGTGGAATGGGAGCTAGAAGAACACACAGGGGGCCGGGCACGGTGGCTCATGCCTGTAATCCCAGCACTTTGAGAGGCCGAGGCAGGAGGATCACTTGAGGTCAGTTCGCGACCAGCTTGTCCAACTTGGCGAAATCCCGCCTCTACTAAAAATACAAAAACTACGGCCGGGCGCCGTGGCTCAAGCCTGTAATCCCAGCACTTTGGGAGGCCGAGACGGGCGGATCACAAGGTCAGGAGATCGAGACCATCCTCGCTAACACGGTGAAACCCCGTCTCTACTAAAAAATGCAAAAAAACTAGCCGGGCGGGTTGGCGGGCGCCTGTAGTCCCAGCTACGCGGGAGGCTGAGGTAGGAGAATGGCTTAAACCTGGGAGGCGGAGCTTGCAGTGAGCTGAGATCCGGCCACTGCACCCCAGCCTGGGCGACAAAGCAAGACTCCGTCTCAAAAAAAAAAAAAAATACAAAAACTAGCAAGGCGCAGTAATGCGCGCCTATAATCCCAGCTATTAGGGAGGCTGAGGCAGGAGAACTGCTTGAACCCAGGGGGCGGAGGTTTCAGCGAGCCGAGATGACTCTGCTGCAGTCCACAGGCCACAGGGCAAGACTCTGTCTCAAAAAAAAAAAAAAAAGCCCACACGGACACCAGCCTCAGATCTACGCCTTCAGCGCTGAGCGGCTCCCACAGGCAGGTGCTGGCTTCTGCTGGAGACAAAGCCACACTGCAAGAAAAACCAGCCTCATGGTGGCACCTCCCACTGCTGCCCGTGCAGCCTTCACGGACTCCCAGTGAGGGCCTGGATCTGACCGACAGCTGCACCGCTGCTCCCCAGAGGCCAGAGCCTGCCGTCTGCTCCTACCCGAACTGCGCAACAGAAAAGTGCTGCGTGACTCTCCCTGCAACAGGCTGGAGCCGGCGCTGCGGGCCCCGCGGTGGCCGCTGAGAGCGCACCCGAGTCTGAAGCACAAACACACCTCAGCGCGGCCCACGGGAAGATGACGAACGACAAAGTGGGGCTGCGCAGGACACACACTCCTTTCCAGAAGGGGCTGAGGGATTCTTCAGGACCCCCAGGTAAGAGCCTGTGCCACGGCTGGCCCTGGCGTCAGCGTGGTGGGCGGACCCTGCACCCACAGCACCAGCCCGAGCCGGCACGGCCACCCCCCAGCTCACTCGGGCTTTGCTGCACCAGAGACGCTCAAGGTCAGGAAAGCGGAAAAGCACGAGTCCCAGCGGGGCAGCGGCCCAGGAACTCACCTCCCGGCTTCTCTTCAGCAGCGGAGCAGGCCTGGCAGTAGGTGGAGTACAGAGATGGGGGGATTTTATCTGCTCTGGATCACAGGAAAACAATAAAACCAAGTCAGCTATGGCTTGAACTAATTCAAGATTACAATCCCCAAACCTGTTATAAAATAAAAACATATTAAATTTAAATAAATTATAAATACTGTGTACACTATGAGTCCATGTTTAGAAAAGATTTAAAAATAGGGCCGGGCGCGGTGGCTCACGCCTGTAATCCCAGCGCTTTGGGAGGCCGAGGCGGGCGGATCACAAGGTCAGGAGATCGAGACCACGGTGAAACCCCATCTCTACTAAAAATACAAAAAATTAGCCGGGCGCGGTTGTGGGCGCCTGTAGTCCCAGCTACTCGGGAGGCTGAGGCAGGAGAATGGCGTGAACCCGGGAGGCGGAGCTTGCAGTGAGCCGAGATCGCGCCATTGCACTCCAGCCTGGGCGACAGAGCGAGACTCTGTCTCAAAAAAAAAAAAAAAAAAAAAAAAAAAAAGAAAAGATTTAAAAATATATAGATTTAAATAGCACTGTTTCAAAATATGTCGTATTAATCACATATTAATATCTAAAGCGCTAGACCACAAAACACCACCGGTGATTATCCCTGCCAGTGAAATTATAAATTATTTCTATTTCTCCCATTCAATTTTTGGTGATTTCCAAATTCGAAACATGAATCTTTGTTAATTTTAATGAATAATACGAAGAAAAATGTTTAGTTCATGTCATTAAAAATAGGCAAAATTGGGCCAGGCGTGGTGGCTCCCGCCTGTAATCCTGGCACTTTGGGAGGCTGAGGCAGGCAGATCACCTGAGGTTGGGAGTTTGAGACCATTCTGGCCAGCATGGCAAAACCCCGTCTCAACTAAAAATACGAAAATTAGCTGGGCGTGGTGGTGCACACCTATAATCCCAGCTACTGGGGAGGCTGACGCAGGAGGATCGCTTGAACCTGGGAGGCGGAGGTTGCGGTGAGCCGAGATAACACCATTGTACTCCAGCCTGGGCAACAAGAGCGAAACTCCGTCTCAAATAAATAAATAAATAAATAAATATATATATATATATATATATATATAAAAATTGGCCAGGCGCGGCTGCTCACACCTGTAATCCCAGCACTTTGGGAGGCTGAGGCAGGTGGATCACAAGGTCAGGAGATTGAGACCATCCTGGCCAACATGGCGAAACCCCATCTCTACTAAAAATACAAAAATTAGCTGAGTGTGGTGGCGTGCGCCTGTGATCCCAGCTACTCAGGAGGCTGAGGCAGGACAATCACTTGAAACCAGGAGGTGGAGGCTGCAGTGAGCCAAAATTGTGCCACTGTACTCCAGCCTGGGCAACAAAAGAGACTGTCTTAAAAAAAAAAAAAAAAAAAAAAGACACAGCACCAGACTGCTTTGCATCCAAGATTTATCAAACCTTAAAACACAGAATTCCTCTACCAAACAAAATGTTTCAGAGATCACAAAAAGGAAAGCTGCTCGATTCACTGTATGAGGCAATAAGACCCTGATGTTGAAGCAGCCAAGATGCTACAGGGGAATCACATTGATGCAAAAACACGCAAAATACCAAAGCCAGTAGTTTATTTATTTATTGTTATTTATTTATTTATTTACTTTTTTTGAGATGGAGTCTCGCTCTGTTGCCCAGCCTAGAGTGCAGTGGTGCGATCTCAGCTCACTGTAAGCTCCGCCTCCCGAGCCTGGGTTCACACCATTCTCCTGCCTCAGCCTCCTAAGTAGCTGGGACTACAGGAGCCCACCACCACGCCCGGCTAATTTTTTTATTTTTAGTAGAGATGGGGTTTCACCATGTTAGCCAGACTGGTCTTGAACTCCTGACCTCAGGTGATCTGCCTGCCTCAGCCTCTTGAAGTGCTGGGATTTACAGGCGTGAGTCACCGCGCCCGGCCAGTCAGTAGTTTGTAAAACAAAAAATTATTACCAAGCAGGAGATATTTCAGGAATACAAGGATATTCCAACAGTAGGAACAAATAAACGTAATCAATCACATTCACAGATTAAAGGAGAAAAGCATGATCATCTTAAAAGAGGGAGAAAGCATTAATTCAGCCCTGAGTGGTGGCTCACTCCTGTAATCCCAGCACTTTAAGAGGCCAAGGCGGGCGGATCACTTGAGGTCAGGAGTTAAAGACCAGCCTGTCCAACACAGCGAAACTCCACTAAAACACAAGAACTGGCCAGGTGTGTTGACGGGGCCCCTGTAATCCCAGCTACTCGGGAGGCTGAAGCACAAGAATCATTTGAACCTGGGACGCAGAGGTTTCAATGAGCCAAGATGGTGCTGGTGCGACTGCACTCCAGCCTGGGCAACAGAGCGAGACTCTGTCTCAAAAAAAAAAAAAAAAAAAAAAAAAAAAAAAGAAAAGAAAAAAGGGTCAGGCATGGTGGCTCATGCCTGTAATCCCAGCACTTTGGGAGGCTGAGGCGGATCGATCATGAGGTCAGGAGATTGAGACCATCCTGGTTAACACAGTGAAACCCTGTCTCTACTAAAAATACAAAAACAAAATTAGCTGGGTGTGGTGGCGGGCGCCTGTAGTCCTAGCTACTCGGGAGGCTGATGCAGGAGAATGACAAGAACCCGGGAAGCGGAGCTTGCAGTGAGCCAAGATTGCGCCCCAGCACTCCAGACTGGGTGACAGAGCGAGACTCTGACTCAAAACAACAACAACAACAACAACAACAACAACAACAGGCATGAGTTCATGCTAAAAATCCTTAGCAAATTAAGGGGGAACTTTCTTAACAGATAAGGGTAAGCCAGGTACAGCGGCTCCTATTTGTAATCCCAGCACTTTGGGAAGTTGAAGCAGGAGGATTATTTGAAGCTAAGAGAGAGAGAGAAGCCTGGGCAACGCAGCAAAAATCCATGTCCTCAAAACATTTAAAAAATGGCTGTGCGTGGTGGAGCACGCTTCCAGACCCAGCTACTGGGGAGGCAGAGGGGAAGGACTGTTGAAGCCCAGGAGGTCAAGGCTGTAGTGAGCCATGACTGTACTGCTGTGTTCCAGCCTGGGTGACAGAGTGGGACCCTGTCTCAAAACAATTCAAAGAAACGATCCCAGAGAATAAACTTATTTTAAGATTAAAGACATGATTTTTGCAGGGCATGGTGGCTCACGCTTGTAATCCCAACACTTTGGGAGGCCGAGGCGGGTAGATCACAAGGTCGGGAGTTTGAGACCAGTCTGGCTGACATAGTGAAACCCCGTCTCTACTAAAAATACAAAAATACAAAAAAGAAAAAGAAAAAAAGGCTCTTTCTCTTTTTTTTTTTTTTTTTTTTTTGAGGCAGAGTCTTGCTTTGTCGCCCAGGCTGAGTACAGTGGTGCAATCTTGGCTCACTGCAAGCTCCGCCTCCCGGGTTCACGCCATTCTCCTGCCTCAGTCTCCCGAGTGGCTGGGACCACAGGCGCCCGCCACCATGCCCGGCTAATTTTTTTGTACTTTTAGTAGAGACGAGGTTTCACCGTGTTAGCCAGGATGGTCTGGATCTCCTGACCTCGTGATCCGCCCGCCTCCGCCTCCCAAAGTGCTGGGATTACAGGCGTGAGCTACCGCGCCCGGCCTCTCTTTTTGATCTTCTTACAGGTCCCAGAACTTTAAAAATTTTGCTGGAATATAGGACTTATACTTTCCTATTTCTTCCAAGAAATAAGAAGATACTTTTGTGATAGCAACCAACTTTCTAGATAGCAGCCTGCAATGTAAGTGACCCAGGGATACCTTATTATTCTAAACAAGAACTTCCAGGTCTACCCTAAAGTTGTGCAGCATGAGGCTTTCCCAGAGCTCTCTGATTTTCCTTCAGTTCTCCTCTTTGCACAATCATTATGTACTGAAACATTTTCTTTCACTAAAGAATGATACAGCCGGGCGCGGTGGCTCATGCCTGTAATCCCAGCACTTTGGGAGGCCGAGGCGGGCAGATCGCTTGAGCCCAGGAGTTTGAGACCAGCCTGACCAACATGGTGAAACCTGTCTCTACTAAAAATACAAAAATTAGCTGGGCGCGGTGGTGCACGCCTGTAATCCCAGCTACCCAGGAGGCTGAGGCAGGAGAATTGCTTGAACCCAGGAGGTGGATGTTGCAGTGAGCTGAGATCGCACCACTGCACTCCAGCCTGGGCAACAGAGACTCCGTCAAAAAAAAAAAAAAAAAAAAAAGGCCAGGAGCGGTGGCTCACACCTATAATCCCAGCACTCTGGGAGGCCGAGCTGGGTGGATCATCTTCTGAGGTCAGGAGTTCAAGACCAGCCTGGCCAACATGGCAAAACCCCGTCTCCACTAAAAATACAGCAATTACCAGGGCGTGGTAGTGCACACCTGTAATCCCAGCTACTCAGGAGGCTGAGGCAGGAGAATTGCTCCAACCCAGGAGGCAGAGCTTGCAGTGAGCCAAGATCGTGCAATTGCACTCCAGCCTGGGCTACAAAGTGAGACTCCATCTAAAAACAAACAAAAAAAATTAGCCAGGCACAGGCTTGTAATCCCAGCTACTCAGGAGGCTGAGGCAGGAGAATCGCTTGAACCTAAGAGGTGGAGGTTGCAGTGAGCCGAGATCTCACCTCTGTACTCCAAGCCTGGGTGACAGAGCAAGTCTCCGTCTTAAAAAAAATAGTAACCAACTAATTTTGGAGCCAATATTTTATATCAAATTTCTCTACAGAAGAGCCACAAATCTTCGCATTGTCAGAAGAAACCTGGAAGCACAGCTGTCCCCTTCCAGCCGTGGCTGCATACCTCTTCAGAGACTCTATAAACGCCACACGGGAGTCAGGGACTTTGGGGAGCTGTGGGAAGAGAAGAGCCCTGTGAGAGGCTGACAAGCAAAGTCCTTGCTTTCTACACAACTGGTCATGAACTCATGGAGACGCATACTGACCACTCGAGGTGTGAGCAGGGCAGGGAGGAAGTGGGACACGTAGTAAGGCCTCCTGAATATGCTGCAACACAGAGAAGCAGACAGTGCGTAGGTGAGTGCAGCGAAAAGGCAATTCCCACAGACAGTGACTGGTGTTTCAGAGAGTGGACCGCGAGGGCTTGTTCCAAAGCCACGATGCATTACGAAGCCTTCTTGCGCACAGTTCTGGGACAAAGCATGTGTGGGGCAGGACCACATTCCACCTGCTCCCCGGGCATGAACGTGGAGCCTGGATCAATCTGAGGCCATGAGGACCATGTAAGGTCCATTTGGGGCAATTTCCTTGGAGCTAATTTCAAAACCCTGGGAGCTGTAATCAGCTCATCCACACGGGTAACCACCGGAATTCAAGATGTTTTGGGATCACAACAAATTGAATAAAGCTGTGCTATTCAGCTCTCTATTACTGACTCCATATTGGTCACGAAGAAGGCATTGATAAAAAAAATCATCAGGGCCCCACTGTCTTCCCTCCCAGTGCAAGCTCCCCAATCAGCACTTCCTGTCAGCTGTTTCAGCATTGGGGGGCATCACCTGCTTTTACAGAGGAAAACATGTTTCATGGCAAATGTATAGCTCTTGACCTCAGCCCGTATCCCCTCACGGCAGGATCCTCGATGTGACATTTACAGCCCTGACTCCTGTCTCTCCATGAATAGACAGTGGCCAACCTGCCCCATGTGGCTCTGAGCAGACCTGGGACACACTCAGAAGAGCCCCAAGACACTGACAGGCATCAGAGCAGAGTCTGCACACATTGCAGCCACCAGCGGCCCTTTGGGCAGCCCAGCCTACCTGGCCTCCATGACGGTAACTGGGATTTTCCCCGTATGCTCAAACACCATGATGGCCTTTTCAACATCCTGAAGAGCTTGGCTGTGGGGCTGGTTCCCACACAGGGAGGAAGGGAAAAAGAACAGAGGACTTTAAAGAAAAGAAAGTGAGCAGTGAAGGCCACACTCAACCTGTGCTTCCTTGATGCAAAGACTCTGTACAAATTAAAGGTAAAGGCCCACATGGTGTGTCCACAGCAGGGGCCCTGGAGCATTCCACAATGTCCCAAAATACCAGCAAGACAGGGGAAGGGACAACACTGCCGCTTCCACACGCACAAAGCTCAGACCCGGCGATGTGCAGCGCTCATCAAGACAGCTCAGCTCTGCTGAGAGCCTGCCATGAGCCTCTTTCATGCCTCTAGGAGACTAAAGAGTTGAAAGTAAAGATTTCGGCCGGGCGCAGTGGCTCATGCCTGTAATCCCAGCACTTTGGGAGGCAGAGGCGGGCGGATCATGAGGTCAGGAGATCGAGACAATCCTGGCTAACACAGTGAAACCCCATCTCTACTAAAAACTCAAAAAATCAGCCGGGCGTGGTGGTAGGCACCTGTAGTCCCAGCTACTTGGGGGGCTGAGACAGGAGAATGGCGTGCACCTGGGAGGCGGAGCTTACAGTGAGCCGAGATTGGGCCACTGCACTCCAGCCTGGGCGACAGAGCAAGACTCCGACTCCAAAGAAAAAAAGTTCACTTTTCTGTGATTCAGAGAAAAACATGAGCAACCACCTCTCCATTCAACCCCACATGAACCAAGGTCTCCTGAAAGGACAAATTTACTGCAGCGTGAGGTGCTTCATTCCCACACACAGTAACTCTTTCCACACACACAAGGTGGGACAAGGCAAACAAAGGCCCCCAGAGCCTAGTCCCCAGCTGCGCCCAAGGCAAGACCAGACATAAAAGCTCAAGCTCAACTCAAGAGTCAAAGGAAACTGGACTTTGCATGGTGGGCGTGACTGGCTGAGACCCTGCAGGGCTCAAGCAATGTTACCTCAGTAATGTCCCCAGCTGATGACAAATCCTCATAGAGTCCCATGCTTTCTATAGAAACCTTCAGAGAAGAGACAGAATGAGAACAAGAAAACAAAGCAGTTTCTGCCGGGACAGGGGTGAGGAGTGGGCACGGAGGGGCAGCTTGCCTTGAGGTCGGCCAGCCGTGTCTTGGCCAATGAGATGTAGTCTGTGAGGAGGGAGCGGTACTTGCTGGGAACGAGGGGAGGGTGGAGAATGTGCACCTGAGGATAGATGGCAGAGTGCAGCACCATTAGTCTGGGAACTGCCTGGACTCCAGGGAGGCCACAATTCACTTCCAACATCCACAGTGCTGAGTAGAGAAACATGGCCCTTTACAGACTTACGAGTATGCAAAGCAAACCATTAGTAAAATTAAAACACAAGCCAGGTGCAGTGGCTCATTCCTGTAATCCCAGCACTTTGGGAGGCCAAGATGGGCGGATTACGAGGTCAGGAGATTGAGACCATCCTGGCTAACATGGTGAAACCCCATCTCTACTAAAAATACAAAAAATTAGCCGGGCGTGGTGGCCGGTGCCTGTAGTCCCAGCTACTCGGGAGGCTGAGGCAAGAGAAAGGCGTGAACCGGGGAGGCGGAGCTTGCAGTGAGCCGAGATCATGCCACTGCACTCCAGTCTAGGCGACAGAGCGAGACTCTGTATGCTTCCCCAGGTGAAAAACGAAGGAATTCTAATGTAGTTGGTCCTCCAAGTCCTGGGTGGCTCACTGGGGAAACCAGGGATGTACCATCCTAGCAGCAGCAGGAACTGGCTGGCCCACCTGCAGCTCCACGCCTTTGGCTTCCTGGTCAAAGGGGACAGAGGAGACACTGCATTTTTTTTTTTTTTTTTTTGGAGAGGGAGTTTTGCTGTTGCCCAGGCTGGAGTGCAGTGGCGCGGTCTCGGCTGCAACCTCCACCTCCCCGGTTCAAGCGATTCTCCTGCCTCAGCCTCCAAGTAGGTGGGATTACAGGCATGTGCCACCACACCAGGCTAATTTTGTATTTTTAGTAGAGATGGGGTTTCTCCATGTTGGTCAGGCTGGTGTCGAACTCCTGACCTCAAGTGATCTGCCCTCCTCAGCCTCCAAAAGTGCTGGGATTACAGGTGTGAGCCACCACGCCCGGCCAATTTTCTTTTTTTTTTTTTTTTTTTTTTGAGACGGAGTCTCGCTCTGTCGCCCAGGCTGGAGCGCAGTGGCCAGATCTCAGCTCACTGCAAGCTCCGCCCCCCGGGTTCACGCCATTCTCCTGCCTCAGCCTCCCTAGTAGCTGGGACTACAGGCGCCGCCACCTCGCCCGGCTAGTTTTTTGTATTTTTAAAGTAGAGACGGGGTTTCACCGTGTTAGCCAGGCTGGTCTCGATCTCCTGACCTCGTGATCCGCCCGCCTCGGCCTCCCAAAGTGCTGGGATTACAGGCGTGAGCCACCGCGCCCGGCCCAATTTTCTTAAAAGATGAGGGTCAGGCTGGGCACAGTGGCTCATGCCTGTAATCCCAGCACTTTGGGAGGCCAAGGCAGAAGGATCACTTGAGCTCAGTTCAAGACCAGCCTGGGCAACATAGCAAGTACTCCATTTGTACTAAAAAAAAGAAAAAACACCAGCCAGGTTTGCTGGTGTGCGCCTGGAGTCCCAACTACTCAGGAGGCTGAGGTGGGAGAATTGCTTGACCTGGGAGGTGTAGGCTACAGTGAGTTATGATGGCAACACTGCACTCCAGCCTGGGCAACAGAGTGAGACTGTCTCCAAAAAAAAAAAAAAAAAAAAAAAAAAAAGAGCCAAAATGAGTCCCTAACACCTCACTGCAGTACAGCTTCCTCCTCCTGCACCATTGGGCGCTGAGAATGTCTCTCCACATCACCACTCAGACCTGCTTGCTGTTTTGAGGGAGGAAGGGAAAAAGAACAGAGGACTTTAAAGAGAAGAAAATGAGCAGTGAAGGCCACACCCAACCGTGTTGAGCGGGTCTATCTACCCACCTCCTTGGCCTAGAGGAGAAAAGAGTTTCTGAGAGTTTGCCATTACTGGCACACATGCCCTCACTTTGTGTCCACACGGACACCCCCAGCTGCAATGTTTGTGTTGTTTCACCATAAACTGCTTGGGGAAGGGGAGGGGCCTGGCTGAGAGGCTCAGAGCAGATCTGCAGGAGGCTCTTGGGGAGGCCAAGGCAGTCCTCAGATTGAGTAGGTGAGCAGAAGCACCAGAAATCATGGATATGGCAGTCAGCTTCTCACCTGCAGGTACCGGGGGGACTCAAAAGGCACAAGGTCTGACAAGAACGTAAACAGGAAGACCAGTGCCTTCTTGCTGCAGCCATGGTAGCCTCGCGTGCTCCCAAAGGAGGCCTGTGTGGAGAGAAGAGCGTGAAGCCCAGGACAGCCAGGCGCGGCTGCACCACCTAGGCAGTGTCTGGGCTGCTTCTCTAGTCTGTCTCCTGAACAGAAAGGAAAAAAAAAACAACCAAAAGTCACTGTGGTTCACACATTTACAGATGGCGTGGCTGTGCTTTGCTTAAAGAGAAGATCTAAAAGTTATTCAAAGAAAAGCAGTTAAAAATAATTATCTATAACAAACACTGATGGTATCCTTTTGGGATCCTTGGGGTACAATTTGTTAAATGCCCTAAGAAGTGTTTATGCACAGCAAACAAACTGATTTTGTGGGATGAAGCCGCTTCTGAACACACTTTAACTTCTAACCTCATCCATCAGTGGACAGATCACTGCAAGAGAGGTGCATAAGGAAAACAGGCCAAGGAGGGCCACCCCTCAGACAGTGACACTGCAAGACCCCAGCAGAGCAAGCACGGAACATGAGCAAACCCTTCCAGGAACGAAGGGGGCTGCAGCAAGGTCCTGGGGGCTGCAGTCAGTCAGGGAGGGAAGGAAGATTTTAAATGGGCATGGCCCTGAACGCATCACAAGTGAACCTGCAGAGAGAATGTGTACCTCTGTGAAAACGGAGCCACTTACTGCAAAACCGCACGAGCTCCTGCTGCCCTGGCCCCGGGTGTGAGCACAGGAGATCTTGGTGGCCCCGTGTGAGAGCACAGGAGATCCTGGCGGCCCCGTGTGAGAGCACAGGAGATCCTGGCGGCCCCGTGTGAGCACAGGAGATCCTGGCGGCCCCGTGTGAGAGCACAGGAGATCCTGGCGGCCCCGTGTGAGCGCACAGGAGATCCTGGCGGCCCCGTGTGAGCGCACAGGAGATCCTGGCGGCCCCGTGTGAGAGCACAGGAGATCCTGGCGGCCCCGTGTGAGAGCACAGGAGATCCTGGCGGCCCCGTGTGAGCGCACAGGAGATCCTGGCGGCCCCGTGTGAGCGCACAGGAGATCCTGGTGGCCCCGTGTGAGCGCACAGGAGATCCTGGTGGCCCCGTGTGAGCGCACAGGAGATCCTGGTGGCCCCGTGTGAGCTCACAGGAGATCCTGGTGGCCCCGTGTGAGCTCACAGGAGATCCTGGTGGCCCCGTGTGAGCGCACAGGAGATCCTGGTGGCCCCGTGTGAGAGCACAGGAGATCCTGGTGGCCCCGTGTGAGAGCACAGGAGATCCTGGTGGCCCCGTGTGAGAGCACAGGAGATCCTGGTGGCCCCGTGTGAGAGCACAGGAGATCCTGGTGGCCCCGTGTGAGCTCACAGGAGATCCTGGTGGCCCCGTGTGAGAGCACAGGAGATCTTGGTGGCCCCGTGTGAGCACAGGAGATCCTGGTGGCCCCGTGTGAGCGCACAGGAGATCCTGGTGAAAGCTCAGCGAGTTAATATCCATCAGGAGGCCGGGCGCGGTGGCTCAAGCCTGTAATCCCAGCACTTTGGGAGGCCGAGACGGGCAGATCACGAGGTCAGGAGATCGAGACCATCCTGGCTAACACGGTGAAACCCCGTCTCTACTAAAAAAAATACAAAAAACTAGCCAGGCGAGGTGGTGGGCGCCTGTAGTCCCAGCTACTCAGGAGGCTGAGGCAGGAGAATGGCCAGAACCCGGGAGGCGGAGCTTGCAGTGAGCTGAGATCCGGCCACTGCACTCCAGCCTGGGCGACAGAGCGAGACTCCGTCTCAAAAAAAAATCCATCAGGAAACCTGAACTGCAACTGGAACTGAAGGCTCACCTTGGTCTTTCTGAAAGCGTGCAACATTGTGTACATTTTTTTTTTTTTGGAGACAGAGTCTGGCTCTGTTGCTCAGGCTGGAGTGCAATGGCGCAATCTTGACTCACTGCAACGTCTGCCCCCCAGATTTGAGGGATTCTCCTGCCTCCCTAGTAGCTGAGATTACAGGCATTTGCCACCACTCCCAGCTTTTTTTTTTTTCTTTTTGAGAGACAGTCTCGCTCTGTCACCCAGGCTGCAGTGCAGTGGCACAGTCAGGGTTCACTGCAACCCGCACCTCCCGGGTTCAAGCGATTCTTCTGCCTCAGCCTCCTGAGTAGCTGGATTATAGGCACCCATCACCACACCCAGTTAAATTTCGTATTTTTGGTACAGATGGGGTTTTGCCATGTTGCTAAGGGTGGTCTCCAACTACTGGGCTCAAGCGATCTGCCCGCCTCATCCTCCCACAGTGCTGGGATTTGCCTTCAAAAGTAAAAATTAAAATAGATGTTCAGGCCAGGTTCGGTGGCTCATGCCTGTAATCCCAGCACTTTGCGAGGCTAAGTGGAGCGGATCACGAAATCAAGAGATCGAGACCATCCTGGCCAACATGGTGAAACCCCATCTCTACTAAAATTACAAAAATTAGCCGGGTGTAGTGGTGTGCACCTGTAGTCCCAGCTGCTCGGGAGGTTGAGGCAGGAGAATCGCTGGAACCCAGGAGGCGGGAGTTGCAGTGAGTCGAGAACACGCCACTGCACTCCAGCCTGGTGACAGAGAGGGACTCCATCTCAAAAACAAAACAAAACAAAAACAAATGTTCAAAGACTGAATATGCATATATATATTTATCAAAACTCATCTAACTGTCTGGACATGGTGTTTCAGGCTATAATCCCAGTGCTTTGGAGGTTGAGGTGGGGGGATCGCTTAAGGCCAGGAATCTGAGACCAGCCTGGGCAACACAGTATGATGTATTTACAAAAAAAAAGTTTTTTAATTTGCTGAGTGTGGCGGCACACACCTGTAGTCCCAGTGACTCTGGAAGCTGAGGCAGGAGGACTGCTTGACCCCAGGAGGTCAAGGCTGCAGTGAGCTATGATCATGCCACTGCACTCTAGCCTGGGCAACAGAGCAACACTCAGTCTCTTAAAACACAAAAAGAGGCCGGGCGCGGTGGCTCAAGCCTGTAATCCCAGCACTTTGGGAGGCCGAGACGGGCAGATCACGAGGTCAGGAGATCGAGACCATCCTGGCTAACACAGTGAAACTCCGTCTCTACTAAAAAATACAAAAAATTAGCCAGGCGAGGTGGCGGGCGCCTGTAGTCCCAGCTACTCGGGAGGCTGAGGCAGGAGAATGGCGTGAACCCGGGAGGCAGAGCTTGCAGTGAGCTGAGATCCGGCCACTGCACTCCAGCCTGGGCAACAGAGCGAGACTCCGTCTCAAAAAAAAAAAAAAAAAAAACAAAAAAAAAACACACAAAAAGAAACAAAAAACCTCATTCAATGGTACACTTAAACTGGATACATTTTATTTCATTTCAACTGTATTTTGATAAAGTTGATTTGAAAAGGTAAAAGAAAAAGCAAACAAAACCAAACAAAAAAAAAAGCAAACAAAACCAAAACAGCACCATCAACACAGCACTCCAGAGTGTCCTCTCCCAACGGTCGCCGTGGGAACCGAGGAAGAGAGACCCTGGGAGACCCATGAACTTGTGACCTGAGCACCAGGTGGACCCAACTGTCGCCGTGGGAACCGAGGAACGAGAGACCCTGGAGACCCATGAACTTGTGACCCGAGCACCAGGGTGGACCCAACTGTCGCCGTGGGAACCGAGGAACGAGAGACCTGGGAGACCCGTGAACTCGTGACCTGAGCACCAGGTGGACTCTGGCACAAATCTCTCAGCACCTCACTAAGGACAGAGCAAATGCCTCTCCTCTTAGTTTAGTGGAAGCCCCAGGCCAACTCGGCAGAGCTGGGGAGAGCCTGAGGGCAGGTGAGAAGGAACTTTAAGGAATAAAAGTGAGTTGACACCACACCAATCCCCACCTTCTCCCAATACGAACAGATGCGGCTCAGCCTGCTGTGCAGCCTCACCTCCTCAGAAGGCCCCAGGGAGGAGCAGGCACTAGCAGTCATGATGGCTATGCAGGCACGTGGCTCTTTAAAATTTCAGGGAGCTGAGACTCCTACAAAGAGGCAACTACTTCACCAAGGTGGTGATGGCAGGCAAACTGAATCTTTTTTTTTTTTTTGAGACAGAGTCTTGCTCTGTCTCGCAGGCTGGAGTGTAGTAATGCAATTCCAGCTCATCACAGCCTCAACCACCTAGCCTCAAGCAATCATCCTGCCTCAGCCCGTAAGCATCTGGGACCACAGGTGCTTACCATCACACCCAGCTAATTGTTACATTCTATAGAGACGGAGGTGTTACTGTGCTGCCCAGGCTGATCTTGAACTCCTGGGCTCAAGCAATCTTCCTGCCTAGGCCTCCCAAAGTGCTGAGATTACAGGCATGAGCCACTGTACCTGGTCCGAACCCAAAACTTCTACAAAAAAGTAACCCTTCAAATGGAAACTTTACTTACAAGCACTAAAAGAGTAACCATGAGTGCCCTTCACAGTTGATGTCTCAAAGACACCCAACTCCCGACATGAACTGGGGGTTTGCACAGGGGTTGCCCAGGGATCCCTGAGGTCTCAGCTCAGACTCAGCAGTCTGAAATGGGCCCTGGGATCTGTATTTCCAAAGCCCCCTCCAGGCGAGTCTAATGCCCACTCAGGTTTGGGAACAGCTGCATAAACTTCTGTCAGAGAGAACACTGTGTGTGTTCCAAAGAAAAAGGAAGAGGCCAGGCACGGTGGCTCACGCCTGTAATCCCAGCACTTTGGAAGGCCGAGGTGGGTGGATCACGAGGTCAGAAGATCGAGACCATCCTGGCTAATATGGTGAAACCCCATCTCTACTAAAAATACAAAAAATTAGCCAGGCTTGGTGGCGGGCGCCTGTAGTCCCAGCTACACAGGAGGCTCAGGCAGGAGAATGGCGTGAACCCGGGAGGAGGAGCTTGCAGTGAGTGGAGATTGCGCCACTGCACTCCAGCCTGGGCAACAGAGTGAGACTTCGTCTCAAAAAAAAAAAAAAAAAAAAAAAAAAAGAAAAAGAAAAAGGAAGAATACATGATACCGCTGAAGAAGGGAAGTACTTGTTTCAGGACTTACATGAAAACTAGAGATGTAAGCCTGGGTGTGGTGGCTCCCACCTGTAATCCCAGCACTTTTGGAGGCTGAGGCAGGCGGTTCACTTGAGGTCAGGAGTTTGAGACCAGCCTGGCCAACATGATGAAACCCCATCTCTACTAAAAATTAGCCGGGTGTGGTGGCAAACACCTGTAACCCCAGCTACTCTGGGGGCTGAGGCGGGAGAATTGCTTGAACCTAGGAGGCAGAGGTTGCAGTGAGCCGAGATGGCACCACAGCACTCCAGCATGAGTGACAGAATGAGACTCCGTCTCAAAAAAAGAAAAGGAGGAAAGGCTGGGCGCGGTGGCTCATGCCTGTAATCTCAGCACTTTGGGAGGACAAGGCGGGTGGATCACGAGGTCAGGAGTTAGAGACCAGCCTGACCAACATGGTGAAACCCTGTCTCTACTAAAAATATGACGCCGGGCACGGTGGCTCACGCCTGTAATCCCAGCACTTTGGGAGGACAAGGCGGGTGGATCACGAGGTCAGGAGTTAGAGACCAGCCTGACCAACATGGTGAAACCCTGTCTCTACTAAAAATACAAATATGAGCCGGGCGTGGTAGCGCACGCCTGTAATCCCAGCTACTCAGGAGTTTAAGGCAGGAGAATTGCTTAAAACTGGGGGGAGGAGGTTGCAGTGAGCCGAGAAGGTGAGCTTTCTGCACCACTGCACTCCAGCCTCAGTGACACAGGAAGGCTCCGTGTCAAAAAAAAAAAAAAAAAAAAAAAAAAGGGAAAATAAGAGACACTGTATAATGTGCAAAAATCAACAGCCACGTCTGTGTCCCCCTTTCCTAATTTCACTAATTTTCTTTTCTTTTTGGGATGGAGTCTCCTTCTGTCACCCAGGCTGGAGTACAGTGGTGCAATTACAGCTCACTGCAGTCTTGATCTCCCAGGCTTAAGTAATCCTCACATCTCAGCCTCCTAACTAGGACCACAGGTATCTGCCACCACACCTGCATAGTTTTCTTTGTTTTTTTGTGTGTGTTTTTGGTGTTTCTTGGTGGAGATGAGGTCTCCCTATGGTGTCCAGGCTTGACTTCACTAATTTTCTTATAAAAGACAGTAGGAGGCTCCATCAAGTAAGTGAGACAGAAACCAGGGAAAGGGGCCAAGGCCCCAACAGGGAGGATCCAGGCCCCTCAGCACACACAGAGGAAGATCTGCTGAGGCCACTTGGCAAAGTTGACAGCAAGATTGTTTACTCTCATGACAGAGTGTCAGGTAGGGACAGCATGGTCTCCACTCCCAGGCCTTCTGGGAAGATCAGGTGTTAGGTAGCTGAGTGGCAGGTCACTTACCTTGAACCAGTCTGCATATGACTGGAACGCAGAGGGGCCCTCCAGTGCTGCCTGGCGCACAACCAGGAACGCAGTGACCATGCTGTCCAGCTGGCAGCTCTCGAATGCCTGGGCCATCAAACGCGCCACCCAGTCTAGTTAAGAACCATGACATAGTTACAGCAAGGCAAGGGCAGCCAGCAGAAAGACAATGTGAGTTGTGCTGGGTGATCAGGTATTCCAGTAGGAGAATGTGCATACCCAAACACCAAGTTCTAAAAGACTAGACAGCAATCACAGCATGTCAAGCACAAACCACTAGAGACTTGAATGAAGCAGCAGTGCACTCTGGCCTGTCAGAGCAGCAGTCAGTGCTTACGGAAGTGTCCAACGAGGACCATTCCATGGACATGAGGCACTACAGGTTCCGGGCAGGTAGGGAAGGGCTTCACTGAGAGGCTCACCCACAGTCAGCTGGGACTCTGCTGACAGCAGTGCTCAAATCACACCCCCACACACTCTGACCAGCACCACCGGCTCTCGTGAAGGCTCACCTCCAAGCAGCTGCTGCGCTTCTGGAAAGCAGACAACCAGTGCAGATACTAAGGAGAGCACTCGCTGCCAGTGAACCTCCTGCGTTTCCAGAACTTCTTGCAAATGGCCAACCAACTCCTCTGGACTCAGCATCACAAAGAGCTGAAATAAAAGTGTCCGCTCCCTTCAGTATCAAAGCAAACCAGTGTGGGACAGATGACCCCTCACCTCCCTCCCAGCCGGTAGCCACCGCAGCCCCCTCACTTCCCACTGCAAAGTAACACGTGGAGCTGTGACAGCTCAACAGTGACGTCTCTCCCCTCACCGCGGCGTCTCTCTCTCCCCTCACCGCGGCGTCCCTCCCCTCACCGCGGCGTCCCTCCCCTCACCGCGGCGTCCCTCCCCTCACCGCGGCGTCCCTCCCCTCACCGCGACGTCCCTCCCCTCACCCCTCCCCCCCCCCGCGTCCTCCCCCACCGCGCGTCCCTCCCCTCACCGCGACGTCGTCTCTCCCTCACCGCGCGTCCCTCCCCTCACCGCGGCGTCTCCCTCCCCTCCCCCTCACCGCGGCGTCCCTCCCTCACCGCGGCGTCCCTCCCCTCACCGCGGCGTCCCTCCCCTCCCCGCGACGTCCCTCCCCTCACCGCGACGTCCCTCCCCTCACCGCGGCGTCCCTCCCTCCCCTCACCGCGGCGTCCCTCCCTCCCCTCACCGCGGCGTCTCTCCCCTCACCGCGGCGTCTCTCCCCTCACCGCGCGTCTCTCCCCTCACCGCGGCGTCTCTCCCCTCACCGCGGCGTCTCCTCCCCTCACCGCGGCGTCCCTCCTCCCCTCACCGCGCGTCTCCCCCCTCACCGCGGCGTCCCTCCCCTCCCCCCCCCCCCCCCCCGCGCGGCTCCCCCCCCCCCCCCCCCCCCCCCCCCCCCCCCCCGCGGCGTCCCCCCCCCCTCCCGCGCGTCCCCCCCCCCCCCCCCCCCCCCCCCCCCCCTCCCCTCACCGCGGCGTCCCTCCCTCCCCTCACCGCGGCGTCCCTCCCCCCCTCACCGCGCGTCCTCCCCTCACCGCGACGTCTCTCCCCTCACCGCGACGTCTCTCCCCTCACCGCGACGTCTCTCCCCTCACCGTGACGTCTCCCCCTCACCGCGACGTCTCTCCCCTCACCGCGACGTCTCTCCCCTCACCGCGACGTCTCTCCCCTCACCGTGACGTCTCTCCCCTCACCGTGACGTCTCTCCCCTCACCGTGACGTCTCTCCCCTCACCGTGACGTCTCCCCCTCACCGCGGCGTCTCTCTCTCCCCTCACCGTGACGTCTCTCCCCTCACCGTGACGTCTCTCCCCTCACCGTGACGTCTCCCCCTCACCGTGCTCAGCACCGGTTGGAAAGAATCCTCCTTATCTCAAGGAGGAGGTGCTCAGCCCAACGGACAAGTTCAGTCTCCTGAACCGACGGTGGCCTCAATGAGGACAGCCATGTCTCACTAGACATCCCTGAACCTCCCGATGTGCCGTCCTCGGCAGGCAGCGTGACACGGACTCGGCAGATCTCAATCCCCCACCACGAGCTCGGCAGCAGGTCTCACACCACCTCCACTCACCCTGCGGTACAGTGCAGTGAGCAGAGGGTGCGTCCGCGCAAAGCTCCACTCTCTCTGCATCTGAACAGCATCAGATGCTGCGTGGGGAGAAAGAGACAAAAACTTCAAGTCAGAGATCAAGAAGTTGTGGGTTTTGTTTTTGGACAGGGTCTCACTATCACCCAGGCTGGAGTGCAGTGCTCACCACAGCCTCAACCTCCCTGGTTCGAGCAATCCACCTGCCTCAGTCTCCCAAGTAGCTGCGACCACAGGCGTGTGCCACCATAACCCAGATACTTTTTTATTTTTTTAAAATTTTTTGAGATGGAGTCTCGCGGTGTTGCACAACCTGGAGTGCAGTGTCACAATCTCCACTCACTGCAAGCTCCACCTCCTGGGTCCAAGTGATTCTCCTGCCTCAGCCCCCCGAGTATCTGGGACTACAGGCGCCTGCCACCACACCCTGCTAATTTTTGTATTTTTAGTAGAGACGGGGTTTCACTATGTTGGCCAGGCTGGTCTCGAACTCCTGACCTCATGATCCGCCCGCCTCAGCCTCCCAAAGTGCTGGGATTACAGGCGTGAGCCACTGCTCCTGGTCAAAAAGTTGTATTTCAAAGCTTCAGTGTGAAAACAGATATTAATATGTACTTTTTCAATTATTAAAGTTCACCATCTCCCTGTTTGTTGCCTATTTGTTCTATCATCAATTCTGTTTCTCAAGCCCAGTCAGTTACTTGTAATGCTTTGTCATATTCACAATCAATATTTCCCAACGGACCAACTGCATTTCAACCTTCCTGCTTCTAAACTGTCAATAAGGCTGGGAGCGGCGGCTCACGCCTGTAATCCCAGCACTTTGGGAGGCCAAGGTGGGTGGATCAAGAGGCCTAGACCAGCCTGGCCAAGATGGTGAAACCCTGTCTCTACTCAAAATACAAAAAGAAGCCGGGCATGGTGGCAGGCACCTCTAATTCCAGCTACTCGGGAGGTTCGGGCAGGGAACTGCTTGAACCTGGGAGGCGGAGGTTGCAGTGAGCCAAGATCGCGCCACCACGCTCCAGCGTGGGTGACAGAGCAAGACTCTGTCTCAAAAGCAAAAAAATGAATACGTAAAATAAAATAAACTGCCAATAAACCAATCATGGTGGGGATAAAATAACTGTCAACAACCCAATTATGGTGGGGATGCTGTTCAAAGGAAGCTCAGCTCGGCCAAGTGATGACAAAGCCCCGAGCACCTCACAGCACCTGTCGGGAGCCATCCATGCATCCCTCGTCCTCCACCTCTCACCCACTTCCTGCCTGAGCATCTACCCTGGGGATATGCCAGACACAGAGAAAGCTCAAAGTGTCCATCTTGGCCCCACTCGTAAGAGTGGAATCTCGGAAACAGTCTGTCATACATGGGTGACAGGACACCTACTGGGCAGACGATGCCCAGGCCATCAAACGTGACACCCAGTCTAGTTGAGAACCATCACACAGTCCCAGCAAGGCAAGGGCAGCCAGCAGAAAGATAATGTGAGTTGTGCTGGGTGATCAGGTATTCCAGCAGAAGGTGCATACCCAAACACCAAGTTTTAAAAGACTAGACAGCAGCTGGGCACAGTGGCTCATGCCTGTAATCCCAGCACTTTGGGAGGCCGAGGCGGGTGGATTACCTGAGGTTAGGAGTTCAAGACCAGCGTGGCCAACATGGTCAAATCCCTCTCTACTAAAAATACAAAATTTAGCCAGGCATGGTGGCACACGCCTGTAATCCCAGCTACTTGGGAGGCTGAACCAGGAGAATGTTTGAACCCGGGAGGTGGAGGCTGCAGTGAGCCGAGATCACACAACTGCACTCCAGCCTGGGCAACAGAGCGAAACTCCGTCTCCAATAAAGAAATAAATAAAAAGATACTTCTAATTTAGGCTGGGTGCGGTGGCTCACACCTGTAATGCCAACACCTCAACACTTTGGGAGGCCGAGCTGGGTGGAGCACCTGAGGTCAGGAGTTTGAGACCAGCCTGTCCAACATGGTGAAATGCCACCTCTACTAAAAATACAAAAAATTAGTCGGGTATGGTGGCTGGTGCCTGTAGTCCCAGCTACTTGGGAGGGTGAGATACGAGAATTGCTTGAACCTGGGAGGCGGAGATTGCAGTGAGCTGAGATTGTGTCACTGCACCCCAGCCTGGGAAAGTAAGACTCCGACTCAAAAAAAAAAAAAAAAAAAAAAAAAGAGGTATTTCTATTTTAGTGACAATTATTTTGTCCACTCATAGTTCTGAATTTTCTTATAAGAATCTGTTCCTTTCAGATGAAAGGATATTCAGTAACAATCTCAGGCACCTCAGGACCCAATCTCTGCTTGAGGTCCCAGAGCTCCTGGCATCTCCCGTCAGCATTACCAAGGCAACAGCGCAACAACAATCCCCAAACTGGGCAGCAACTGAGCAGCCTCCGCTCGGGGCCCACCTTTCAGCAGAGGGCTGTGAGTGAGTATCTGAGTCAACGTGTGACTGAAGAACCTCTTCGGAGAATCTGTGGAGATGACACTGCCGAGCATGTGTCCACTGAACACGCCGAACCTGCCAATGCAGCAGAAAGAGGGTTCAGGAAAGGGAAGGTGCCCTGCACGCCACTCATCGATCCCAGCACAAACTGTGGCTCAGGCTCGCCCCTTCTTTTTCTTTTTTTTTTTTTTTAGACAGCGTTTCCCTCTGTCGGAGTTTCCCTCTGTCACCCAGGCTGGAGTGCAGTGGTGCGATCTCGGCTCACTGAAAGCTCCGCCTCCAGGGTTCACACCATTCTCCTGCCTCAGTCTCCTGAGTAGCTGGGACTACAGGCGCCTGCTACCATGCCCAGCTAATTTTTTTTTTTTTTTTTGTATTTTTAGTAGAGACAGGGTTTCACATGTTAGCCAGGATGGTCTTGATCTCCTGACCTCATGATCTGCCCGCCTCGGCCTCCCAAAGTGCTGGGATTACAGGCGTGAGTCACTGCGCCTGGCCCAGGCTTGCCCTTTATTTATTTACTTATTTATTTATTTATTTTTTTTTTTGAGATGGAGTCTCGCTCTGTCGCCCAGGCCGGATCTCAGCTCACTGCAAGCTCCGCTTCCCGGGTTCCCGCCATTCTCCGGCCTCAGCCTCCCGAGTAGCTGGGACTACAGGCGCCCGCCACCTCGCCCGGCTAGTTTTTGTATTTCTTAGTAGAGACGGGGTTTCACCGTGTTAGCCAGGATGGTCTCGATCTCCTGACCTCGTGATCTGCCCGTCTCGGCCTCCCAAAGTGCTGGGATTACAGGCTTGAGCCACCGCGCCCGGCCTCGCCGTTTCTTTTTTTTTTTTTTTTTTTTTTGAGACAGAGTCTCGCTTAGTCGCCCAGGCTAGAGTGCAATGGCGCGATCTCGGCTCACTGCAAGCTCCGCCTCCCGGGTTCACGCCATTCTCCTGCCTCAGCCTCCCGAGTAGCTGGGACTACAGGCGCCCGCCGCCTCGCCTGGTTAATTTTTTGCATTTTTAGTAGAGACGGGGTTTCACCGTGTTAGCCAGGATGGTCTCGATCTCCTGACCTCGTGATCCGCCCGCCTCGGCCTCCCAAAGTGCAGGGATTACAGGCGTGAGCCACCGCGCCCGGCCCTCGCCCTTTCTTTAAGGAAGGAAGGGGCTTTCTTGGCCAGGCCACTATAACCATGGATGTGAAACTGAATCCAAGGAGGTAGCAATTCAACGATAAAGGAGACAAGGCAATGGCGAAGCCCACGGAGCAGAGCAGCGGAAGCAAGCAGAAGGAAACAGGTTGGGAAGGGCAGGCTGCACCGCACCCAGGAGTGGAGCAGCAGAAGCCAACCCCACAGGGCCTCAGCGGCACTCTCTGCAAAACGGAACTCCCCCAGAGGGTCGTGCCAAGCCTGCGAGGAGAAGAGCCCAGCACACCAGGGCCTCAAACACTGCAGTCACAACAGGGGCTGAGGCCAGCTCTGTCCATGAAGATGAGGAAGGAATGGATGGGACTACGGTTTCCTGGGCCATCTGTGTGAGAGAACAGGACGTTCTAGGGGGGAATGGGGTCACAGAGCCAGGTGGCAAGAGCACTTGAGGTCTATTAGCCTGCTATACCCCAGTAGGCCCATACAGACCACCAAAGCCCAGCCCAGACCCCCTGAGGCTTTACAACCTGCAACCAGCAAGGGGTACTTTAAGCCGACTCCCCAGGTAAGAAAATCAAGGGTCCAGCTGGGCACGGTGGCTCATGCCTGTAATCCCAGAACTTTAGAAGGCCCAGGTGGGTGTATCACTTGAGGTCACGAGTTCGAGACCAGCCTGACCAATACAATGAAACCCCGTGTCTACTAAAATATACAAAATACAAAATTACAGGCTCGTGCTAGGTATGGTGATGCACACCTGTAATCCCAGCTACTCAGGAGGCTGAGGCAGGAGAATCGATTGAACCTGGGAGGCAGAGGTTGCGGTGAGCAGAGATCACACCATTGCATTCGAGCCTGGGTAACATGAGCAAAACTCTGTCTCAAAAATAAATTATTGGCAACTAATTACAAAATTTAAAAAGCAGCAGGTCAGTGGTTGTTATCTGCCGCTCAGGACATCAGTGTGAGTAATCTTATCATGCAGATTATTTTAAAAAGCCCTTGCCACAGACTAAACTGTATCCCCACAAAGTTCCTCTGTTGAAGCCCAGCCTCTCCAGGTGGGTGCTGAGAAGGCCTAGGTGATGATGAGATAACCGCCCGGAGAAGACACCAGAGGGCTTGCTCTCCCCCTCTCTACCTCATGAGGACACAGAAAAAGGAGGTCTCCTGCAAGCCAGGAAGAGGGTCCTCACCAGAACCCAACCTCGGGGGCACCCTGACCTCCAACTTCCAGCCTCCACCGCTGTGAAACACACCTGCATCCACACTGCAGTCTCTGGCACTTTGTCACAGCAGCCTAAGCTAACTGATGCACACAAACATTCAGAAAATCACACAGTGCTTTATTCACTGTTCCACTAAAAGTACCAAATGGTACAACACATTTAATTGAGCAGTTAAACAGTTACTTGTGAGGGATGCAAAATAAGGAGCAAACTAATTAAAGAATAAGAAGGTTGACAAGGCCTGGAAACGGTGGGGAATTCTACTGATTTCTTACAAGGCCTGGAAACGGTGGGGAATTCTACGGGTTTCTCAAGACTTCACTTCAAGGTCCCCTGACCACATTAGAGGGAAGCAAACCCCAGAGCCCCATTTCCACCAAACCCCGACGTCCACCTTCCACCCAGCCCCACTCCTCAGCTTCCGCCTCCCCACCTATAGAGGTCTCCGCACATCTCCACAGGGCCGTGGAGAGAAAAAGCAAATAGGCCCAAGCTTTGCCTACTGGTGAATCTGAGCAGGACCTGTGGAGGGCAGGCAGCGGGAGTCTGTAGAGGCGCGGCTGCCGTGTGTTCTGGAAATGTGGGGGGCTGAGAGGCAGGGCAAGCTCTAGAGCCGGGACCACACCCAGGGGAGGAGGAGCAAGGGGAGACTCCACAAAGGGGAGGAGGTCACAGTGAGCGGGACAAAGCACTGGTACAGGACTTCCAGAGGCGGAACAGGATCCTGCAGCGGGCACACCTTCCGACCTCATCCTCACGGGGAAAAGGCTGACCGGAGCATTCCCAGGGCTTTCCCACGGTCGCCTCCTCCTCACGCACGTTATCGTAACCGGCAGAGGAAGTGTGCTCAGGAGTGGGCTGCCGAAGCTCTGGAAGTGTTTAAAATGTCTTGGCTCTTTAATTTGGCAGGAACCCCCCTGCAGCACACTCAGGCAGGCCACCCTCAAGAACATACCAGCACCTCACGGTCTTGTGAGTGGAGGACTCCTCTTGTACTCCAGCAGCCAAAGCGTCAAGTGCAACTGACGACAGAGCCAGGAACAGAAAACAGATGTCAGCATACAGTGGCAGCCCCCCAGAAACAATCCCCAAGTGCTTTCGGACATGGGACCCACTTCCAGTCCTCCAGAGGGCCCACATCCATCAAGACGTCTACAATCTGGAAGCCATTAATCAAAACACAGACAATAAAACGCTTCCCTGTTACCCACACATTAACATGGTATCCCTTCACAGCTCTGAAAATTAAATCTAAAGCCGCTAGGAACTGGAAACCAGAGTAAGAATGGGAAGGTAAATCCACACCAAATTACAACCAAAACAAGGGCATTCCAGTACCAGGACTCTACACAGTGAAACATACGGGGGAGAAACACCTCAAATGGAAAGGCAGAAAACGGACAGACTTGCTAATAAGCAAACTAAGTCATTTACAGTCTGGGCCACAGGGCAATTAACTTACAAATCAGCATTCTCTGCAGTACATCAACCGCGACCTGTCAGAATAGAATGTGAATTACCATCACGTGGTACTTTTCTGTAATTTGTGTGATACCTGCATCACACAAGGAATTATTACTTGTTACTCTAAGAAACGGACTTTACAAATTAAAAACCTTCATAGGTCTAGAAAGTATCCCAACAATGAAGGGACCCAGACAGAGTCAGAAGGCTGAACTTTCTGGAATTACCCTAAGGCTGCTCTCAGCATGGCCTGAGGCTGTGAGCCTAGGACTGGGCAGGACACTGGCTTTCGCAGGCACAGAGTTTTGCTGCAGTACTTCAGTGGAGAGAGGAAGCACACGCCTTGAATCTGGGCTATGGAACTAACGACTTTCACCCTTGATGCCTCTAGAGCCAGAAGACGGTGAGAAGGTGCCACTGTCCATTTCCCTTCTTCACATCTCCTGGGCCTAAAGCACACCGCTACTCAGGGAACAACTCATGGTAACAATAAAACAGACTTCCTGAAACAAAGCCCACAGACTGCAGTATAGAAATGTCAGGCCGGGCGCGGTGGCTCAAGCCTGTAATCCCAGCACTTTGGGAGGCCGAGACAGGCGGATCACGAGGTCAGGAGATCGAGACCATCCTGGCTAACACGGTGAAACCCCGTCTCTACTAAAAAAATACAAAAAACTAGCCGGGCGAGGTGGCGGGCGCCTGTAGTCCCAGCTACACAGGAGGCTGAGGCAGGAGAATGGCGTAAACCCGGGAGGTGGAGCTTGCAGTGAGCTGAGATCCGGCCACTGCGCTCCAGCCCCGACGACAGAGCGAGACTCCGTCTAAAAAAAAAAAAAAAAAAAAAAAAAAAAAGAAATGTCAGCCACTGGCTCAGGAACCTCCAAAAGGGAATGAAAATTTGGGACGTATCCAAAGCAATCTACAGATTCAATGCAATCCCTACCAAAATACCAATAACATTCTTCACAGAAATAGAAAAAAAGATTCTAAAATCCACATGGAACCAAGAAAGAACAGAGATAACCAAAGCAATCCTGAGGAAAAAGAACAAAGCTAAAAAAAAATCACACCGCCTGAGCTCAAACCATTCTACAAGACTACAGAAATGAAAAGAGCATGAGGTTGATACACACACACACACAGACCCACGGAACAGGACAGAGAACCCAGAACTAGGCCGGCATGGTGGCTCGTGCCTGTAATCCCAACACTTTGGGAAGTCGAGGTTGGTGGATCACCTGAGGTCAGAGTTCTAGACCAGCCTGAAAAACAAGGTGAAACTCTGTCTCTACTAAAAATACAAAAAAATGGCCAGGGGCAGTGGCTCACGCCTGTAATCCCAGCACTTTGGGAGGCCGAGGCGGGCGTATCACGAGGTCAGGAGATCTAGACCAGCCTGAACAACAAGGTGAAACCCTGTCTCTACTAAAAATACAAAAAAGATTATCCAGGCGTGGTGGCGGATGCCTATAGTCCCAGCTACTTGGGAGGCTGAGGCAGGAGAATGGCGTGAACCCAGGAGGTGGAGCTTACAGTGAACCGAGATGGCACCACTGCACTCCAGCCTGGGTGACAGAGCAAGACTCTATCTCAAAAAAACGAAAAAAAAAAAAGGCCAGCACAGTGGCTCATGCCTGTAATCCCAACACTCTGAGAGGCCGAGGCGGACAGGTCATGAGGTCAGAAGTTCAAGACCAGCCTGACCAACATGGTGAAATCCCATCTCTACTAAACATAGAAAAACTAGCCGGGTGTGGTGGCACCTGCAGTCCCAGCTATGCAGAAGGCTGAGGCAGGAGAATCGCTTGAACCTGGGAGGTAGAGGTTGCAGTAAACCGAGGTCGTGCCGCGGCACTCCAGCCTGGGCAACGGAGTGAAACTTCGTCTCAAAAAAAACTGAAAATAAGGCCGGGCGCGGTGGCTCAAGCCTGTAATCCCAGCACTTTGGGAGGCCGAGACGGGCGGATCACAAGGTCAGGAGATCGAGACCAGCCTGGCTAAATACGGTGAAACCCCGTCTCTACTAAAAAATACAAAAAAACTAGCCGGGTGAGGTGGCGGGCACCTGTAGTCCCAGCTACTCGGGAGGCTGAGGCAGGAGAATGGCATAGACCCGGGAGGCGGAGCTTGCAGTGAGCTGAGATGCGGCCACTGCACTCCAGCCTGGGCGACAGAGCGAGACTCCGTCTCAAAAAAAAAAAAAAAAAAACTGAAAATAAAAACTAAAAAGCTTCAGCACAGCAAAGGAAACAATACAGAAAACCTGTTAAATGGGAGAAAATATTTGCCAGCTATTCATCCAACAAGGAACTAATATCCAGAATATATAAGGAACTCAAACAACTCAGCAGGGAAAACAAAAATAATCCCATTCAAAAAGTGGACAAAGGGCCGGGCGCAGTGGCTCACGCCTGTAATCCCAACACTTTGAGAGGTCAAGGTGGGTGGATCATGAGGTCAGGAGATCCAGACCATCCTGGCTAACACAGTGAAACCCCGTCTCTACTAAAAATACAAAAAATTAGCCAGGTTAGGTGACAGGCGCCTAGCCCACAAAAGAGTGAGACTCTGTCTCAAAAAAAAAAAAAAAAAAAAAAAAGAGTGGACAAAGAACATGATTAAACATATTCTTTTTTTTTTTTTTTGAGATGGAGTATCATTCTTGGTGCCCAGGCTGGAGTGCAGTGGTGCGATCTTGGCTCACTGAATCCTCCTCCTCCTGAGTTCAAGCAATTCTCCTGCCTCAGCCTCCCTAGTAGCTGGGGTTACAGGCATGCGCCACCACGCCCAGCTAATTTTTGCATTTTTAGCAGAGATGGCGTTTTATCATGTTGGCCAGGCTGTTCTCGAACTCCTGACCTCAGGTGATCCACCCGTCTTGGCCTCCCAAAGTGCTGGGATTACAGGTGTGAGCCATCATGCCCGGCCTAAACATTTTCAAAAAACATGCAAATGGCCACCAAGTGTATGAAAAAAATGGCCATTATCAGCCAGGTGCGGTGGCTCACGCCTCTAATACTAGCACTTTGGAAGGCTGGGGTGGGTGGATCACCTGAGGTCAGAAGTTTGAGACCAGCCTGACCAACATGGAGAAACCCTATCTCTACTAAAAATACAAAATTAGCCAGGCATGGTGGCACATGCCTGTCTGTAATCCCAGCTACTTGGGAGGCTGAGGCAGGAGAATCGTTAGAACCCAGGAGGCGGAGGGAAGCTGTGGTGAGCCGAGATCACGCCATTGCACTCCAGGCTGGGCAACAAGAGCGAAACTCAGCCTCAAAAAAAAAAAAAAAAAAAAAAAAAAGACGATGAAAAAATAGGCCAGGCACAGCCGGGCGCGGTGGCTCAAGCCTGTAATCCCAGCACTTTGGGAGGCCGAGACGGGCGGATCACGAGGTCAGGAGATCGAGACCATCCTGGCTAACACGGTGAAACCCCGTCTCTACTAAAAAATACAAAAAAAAAAACTAGCCGGGCGAAGTGGCGGGCGCCTGTAGTCCCAGCTACTTGGGAGGCTGAGGCAGGAGAATGGCGTGAACCCGGGAGGCGGAGCTTGCAGTGAGCTGAGATCCGGCCACTGCACTCCAGCCTGGGAGACAGAGCATGACTCCGTCTCAAAAAAAAAAAAAAAAAAAAATAGGCCAGGCACAGTGGCTCACACCTGTAATCCCAACACTTTGGGAGGCCGAGGTGGGTGGATCACAAGGTCAGGAGTTCAACACCAGCCTGGCCAAGATGGCAAAATCCCGTCTCTACTAATAACAAAAAATTAGCCAGGAGCGGTGGCAGGTGCCTGTAATCCCAACTACTCGGGAGGCTGAAGCAGGAGAATCACTTGAACTCAGAGGGCAGAGGTTACAGTGAGCCAAGATTGCGCCACCACACTCCACCCTGGGTGACAGAGCGAGACTCCGTCTAAAAAAATAATAATAATAAATAAATAAATAAATAAAAATAAGAAAAGGCCAGGCACAGTGTTTACGCCTGTAATCCCAGCACTTTGTGAGGCTGAGACGGGTGGATCACGAGGTCAGGAGATCGAGACCATTCTGGCTGACACGGTGAAACCCCATCTCTACTAAAAATACAAAAAATTAGCTGGGCATGGTGGCGGGCGCCTGTAGTCCCAACTACTCAGGAGGCTGAGGCAGGCGAATGGTGTGAACCCGGGAGGCGGAGCTTGCAGTGAGCCCAGATCGAGCCACTGAACTCCAGCCTGGGCAACAGAGAGAGACTCTGTCTCAAAAAAAAAAAAAAAAAAAAACAAAAGGGCCGGGCGCGGTGGCTCAAGCCTGTAATCCCAGCACTTTGGGAGGCCGAGGCGGGCGGATCTGTCGCCCAGGCTGGAGTGCAGTGGCGCAATCTCAGCTCACCGCAAGCTCTGCCTCCAGGTTTCACGCCATTCTCCTGCCTCAGCCTCCCGAGTGGCTGGGGCCACAGGTGCCTGCCACCACGACTGGTTAATTTTTTGTATTTTTTTTTTTTTTTTTTTTTTTAGTAGAGAAGCGGTTTCACCGTGTTAGCCAGGATGGTCCCGATCTCCGGACCTTGTGATCCGCCCGCCTCGGCCTCCCAAAGTGCTGGGATTGCAGGCGTGAGCCTCAGCGCCCGGCCGGCTATTCTCTTTTTTTAAAGTGAAATCCTGTCATTTGCGGCAACAGGAATGGAACTGAAGGCCATTATGTGAAGTGACATAAGCCAGGCACAGAAGGACAAGTATTGCACGTTATCACTCGTATGTGGGAGCTGAAAAGCGGATCTTGTGGAGGTGGAGTAGAATGAGAGATACCAGAGATGAGAAGGGTATATGTGGTGGGGAAATGACGAGAGTTGGTCAACGGGTACAAACACACAGCTAGACAGAAGTTCTCATGTTCCACAGCACAGTGAGGCGGCAACAGTTAACAACTGATTGTATATTTCAAAATAACCGTAATATTTGAAATGTTGACAACACACAGAAAGGATACACACCGGAGGTGATGGATACTCTATATAAAGACTTGATCATTACACTCCATGCACATAAGAGTATCACATGTACCCCATAAATACTGCAAACCGCATGTTTCAAAAGAGAGACACATAGATATATTTCAACAGTTGGAATAAGGACAAGCTGCAGTCTATTTTCATGAGGCCGATTCTCCAAACTCTTCACTTGACTTTTCCTCCTACCTGCGGCATTTTTTCAGGCTCCACAGTTCTTCTTAGATCTGAGTTTTTCTGAAATCCCCTCAAAACAAACATTTGCACAAAATCTGAAAAACCACAAAACCAAAGTATTTATGAACATCGTGGTCTCCAAGCAACTGTCAACGGCACAGACCATCCACTTCAGAGGAGCATACGGCTTGGGCCCACCAGGACCCCTGTGAGCAGCTCCTAGCCTGAGAGGAACCTTACAGAAGTTACTGCTCACCTGACCACAGCCACACTAGCATTCACAAGACCCAATCAGAACCCTTAGATGAGCCAGATGCCTTCCTGTTGCAGTTCTATTTGAAAGGGAACAAATTTATAGGAAGATTTTTTTCCTTTCTTGTTTTGTGAGACGGAGTCTCCCTCTGTCGCCTGGGCTTGAGTGCAATGGCGCGATCGCTCTCACTGCAACCTCCGCCTCCCGGGTTCAAGCAATTCTCTGCCTCAGCCTCCCAAGTAGCTGAGATTACAGGTGCCTGCCACCACGCCCAGCTAATTTTTGTATTGTTAGTAGAGACGGGGTTTCACCCTCTTGGCCAGGTTGGCCTTGAACTCCTGGCCTCGTGATCCACCCGCCTTGGCCTCCCAAAGTGCTGGGATTATAGGCATGACTCACTAAACCCAGCCCAATTTTCTTCGCTTAAATAAAAGTAGTTTCCAAGGAAGGTCTCACGGATTCTCTCGCCCACCAATCTCCAAGACTAGAGGACTAGAGGGACCCAGAAGCATCCTATTCTCAGGAATGTGATGGGCGAGGAAAGGGAATCTCAGCTTTTTAAAAATTAAGATCAAAAGGACTGAAATCCGAAATATTTTCTAACTTTGATTTAAACTTAACCTATCTGAGACCAGGTCACAGTAGCTCAGGAATGCTAAGGCGCTCATGCCACCAAAAAGCTTTAGGAAAAAGGAAAAACCCACAAGCTACCTGTACGGATCAGTTTCTCATCAATTTTTTTTTTTTGAGACAGAATCTGGCTCTGTCGCCCAGGCTGGAGTGCAGTGGCGCGATCTCAGCTCACTTGCAAGCTCTGCCTCCCAGGTTCACGCCATTCTCCTGCCTCAGCCTCCCGAGTAGCTGGGACTACAGGCACCCGCCACCACACCCAGCTAATTTTTGTATTTTTTAGTAGAGACGGGGTTTTACCGTGTTAGCCAGGATGGTCTCGATCCCCTGACCTCGTGATCCACCCATCTCAGCCTCCCAAAGTGCTGGGATTACAGGTGTGAGCCACCAAACCCAGCCTAATTTTTATTAGTAGGCGTCATTTGTAGTGGGATGGGTCTCCCAGCAGGTGTCCCTGAGAACCCAAATATCCCAGAGAGGATATGAAATCTCACCAAGGAAAAGAGTCTCATCACTCAAACACAGCAGGCAAAGAGCCGGAAATTGAGCTTAAATGCACCTTCGAGATGGGGGTGGGGCAGCTCTCTAGGGCTGTCCTGCCGCCATCCGGGAGTGCACTGAGTGTACGTCCTCGTCAGGCTGGACTGGTCCGAGCCATTCTCGGTCTCTCAGCACCTTCTTAGTTTATGGGGGAACATTACAGTCCCAAGTTTTTCTCGTAATATCATTCCTCAGGAAGGCCAGGCATGGTGGCTCACGCCTATAATCCCAGCACTTTGGGGGGCCAAGGCGGGTGGATCACGAGGTCAGGAGTTCAAGACCAGCCTGGCCAACCTAATGAAACCCCGTCTCTACAAAAAATAAAAAAAAAAGTTAGCCAGGCATGGTGCCGCATGCCTGCAGTCCCAGCTACTCACGAGGCTGAGGCAGGAGAATCACTTGAACCTGGGAGGCGGAGCTTGCAGTGAGCCAAGATCATGCCACTGCACTCCAGCCTGGGCAGCAGCAGGAGACTGTCTCAAAAAAAAAAAAAAAAAAAAAAAAGGAATTACTGGCAAAGCAGGGGCCTGCTGCTTCAGAGGGCAGCAGCAGCTGTGGTCACTCTATGGGAAAGGTGCATGGAAACACTTAAACACATGTCAATGGGCCAACTTACTATTTCCACACCAGTCAAGTTCAATGTGAAACCACAACAGGCTAAGACTGGGAGCCGTGTCCATGGGGACCCTCTCCCCATGGCCACAGGGAGAGAGGCTGTTCTGTCTCCCAGAGCACTTGAGAGCAAAAGGCATTATCACAGATCAAAATGAGTCTTACCCAAAAACCCGCGTCTTGTCATGAACGTACCAGAAAGCATGGCCCTGGCGACGTCGGCATGCTGGCAGGATGCTTCTATCTGTTCACAAAGGCAGCACAGATTCCTGAAGAGCCATGCTCCCACGGCATGCATGTCGGGATGGCTGGAGACACACACAGACAGACCAATGGCTCAACTCAGTCCCATCATCAGGGGATTCAGCTGAGCCATATGTCTCAATTTCTTTTTTTGAGACAGTTTTTTGCTGTCACCCAGGCTGGAGTGCAGCGATACAATCACAGTCACTGCACCCTCAACTTCCCAGGCTCAAGCAATCCTTCCATCTCAGCCTCCTGAGTAGTTGGGACAACAGGTGCGGACCACTACGCCCAGCTGGAGGTCTTACTACTTTGCCCAGGCTGGACTCACACTCCCGGGCTCAGGAGTCCCACACCTTGCCCTCCCCAAGTGCTGGATGACTGGTGTGAGTCGCCGCACCCGGAACGGCTGGTGTGAGGCACCTCGCCCAGGCTCAAGTTATTTTCTAATTTCCCTTTCGACTTCTTTGACCCATTATGTTGTTCAACTTCCAAATATTGTGGATTTTCCCAATTCCCTTATGTTGCTGATTCTAATTAAATTCATTTGTGGTTAGAGAACATATTTTGAATGATTTCAACCCTTCTAAATGTATTCCTATTTGTTTTATGGCCTGAATCTTTTTTTTTTTTCTTGAGACAGCTTCACTCTTGTCATCCAGGCTGGAGTGCAATGGCACAATCTCCGCTCACTACAACCTCCATCTCCTGGATTCAACCAATTCTCCTGCCTCAGCCTCCTGAACAGCTGGCATTACAGGCACCTGCCACCATGCCCGGCTAATTTTTGTAATTTTAGTAGAGACGTGGTTTCACCATGTTGGACAGGCTGGTCTTGAACTCCTGACCTCAGGTGATCCGCCTGCCTTGACCTCCCAAAGTGCTGGGATTACAGGCGTGAGCCACCGCAACTGGCCTTGGCCTAAACCTTATGCTCTATCCTGGGGACTGTTCCATTTAAACTTACGAATACGCATTCTGCTACTCGGTGGAGTATTCCACAGTCAGTCAGGTCAGCTGGTTTGTAGCATTCAACTTCTACATCATTCTTTTTTTTTGAGACGGAGTCTTGCTCCGTCGCCCAGGCTGGAGTGCAGTGGTGCGATCTCGGCTCACTGCAAGCTCCGCCTCCTGGGTTCACGCCACTCTCCTGCCTCAGCCTCCCGTGTAGCTGGGACTACAGGCGCCTGCCACCACGCCCCGCTAATTTTTTGTATTTTTAGAAGAGACGGGGTTTCACTGTGTTAGCCAGGATGGTCTCGATCTCCTGACCTCGTGATCCACCCGCCTCGGCCTCCCAAAGTGCTGGGATCACAGATGTGAGCCACCGTGCCCGGCCTGAGCCACTGCGCCCAGCCTGTATCATTCTTAATCTGACTTGTTCTATCCATTACTGAAAGGGGGGTATTGAAATCTCTAATGATTATTGCTGGAATGTCTATTTCTCCCTTTAATTCTGGCCATTTTTGCTTCATAGATTTTGGTGCTCTGAGATTAGGTGCGTATATCCTAGGCAGCAGGTTTTTCTTTCTTTTTTTTTTTGAGATGAAATTTTGCTCTAGGCCAAGGCAGGCATATTCAAGGTCAGGAGTTCAAGACCAGCCTAGCCAACATGGAGAAACCCCATCTCTACTAAACATACAAAAATTAGCCGGGCGTGGTGGCGGGTAACCTGTAATCCCAGCTACTCGGGAGACTGAGGCAGAAGAATCGCTTAAAACCAGAAGGCGTAGGTTGCAGTGTTCCGAGACCACACCACTGCACTCCAGCCCGGGGAACAAGAGCAAAACTCCATTTCAAAAAAATGAAATAAAAAATATTATTCCGGTTGGGCATGGTGGCCCATGCCTGTAATCCAAGAACTGTCAAGAAATCAAGACCATCCTGGCCAACATGGTGAAACCCTGTCTCTACTAAAGATACAAAAATTAGCTGCATGTGGTGGCACACACCTACAGTCCCAGCTACTCAGGAGGCTGAGGCAGAATTGCTCGAACCTGGGAGGTGGAGGTTGCAGTGAGCCCAGATCACACCACTACACTCCAGCCTGGTGACAGAGTGGGTCTCCACCTCAAAACGAAAAAAAAGGCCAGGCAAGGTGGTTCACGCCTGTAATCCCAGCACTTTGGGAGGCCAAGGCAGGTGGATCACCTGAGGTCAAGACTTTGAGACCAGCCTGGCTAACATGGCGAAACCCCATCTCAATTAAAAATAACAAAAATTGCCAGGCACAGTGGCTCCCGCCTGTAATCTCAGCACTTTGGGAGGCCAAGGCGGGCAGATCACAAAGTCAGGAGATCAAGATCCTGGCTAACACGGTGAAACCCTGTCTCTACTAAAAATACCAACATTGGCCAGGCACAGTGGCTCACATCTGTAATCCCAGCACTTTGGGAGGCCGAGGCGGGCGAATCACGAGGTCAGGAGATCGAGACCATCCTGCCTAACATGGTGAAATCCCGTCTCTGCTAAAAATACAAAACAATTAGCCGGGTATGGTGGCGGGTGCCTTTAGTCCCAGCTACTCCAGAGGCTGAGGCAGGAGAATGGCGTGAACCCAGGAGGTGGAGCTTGCAGTGAGCCGAGATCGTGCCACTGCACTCCAGCCTGGGAGACAGAACAAGACTCCGTCTCAAAAAAAAAAAAAAAAAACAAATACAAATACAAATATTAGCCGGGTATGGTGGCGGGCATCTGTAGTCCCAGCTACTTGGGAGGCTGAGGCAGGAGAATGGCACGAACCCGGGAGGCAGAGGTTGCAGTGAGTCGACATTGTGCCACTGCACTCCAGCCTGGGCGACAGAACCAGACTCCATCTCTAAAAAAAATAATAAATAGTAACAAAAACCAGCTGGGTGAGGAGGTGGGCGCCTGTATTCCCAGCGACTTGGGAGGCTGAGGCAGAAGAATCGCTTGAAACCAGGACGCGGAGGTTGCAGTGAGCCGAGATTGTGCCACAGCACTCCAGCCTGGGCAACAAGAGTGACACTCTGTCTCAGAAAAAAAAAAAAAAACATAAAAAAGAAAAAAAACACACACACAAAAAAACACAGATGTTCTCTTGAAATAATGAAACAACAGTTCCTCCAGGTCTAGTCTAGTATAAATATGCAATGCAATCTAGTCTAGTATAAATTATATTTCAAAGCCAAAAATGAAACCCATCTGATTTTGGGCTTATGAAATATAATTTATACTAGACTAGATTGCAAAAACAGTAACACCGAATCATCGTTAGTACGCTACCTTTCCAGCAGCTCTTCCAGGCTCACGATGCCTTGTACATGAAGATGCCACACCACTTCAAGCAACAAAGAATTCTGGGAAAAAAAAAAAACAGTAGTTTGAGTCCTTTATGCGTGCATTTTCCTACAAAATGTTCAGCCTTGCCGGGCGCGGTGGCTCACGCCTGTAATCCCAGCACTTTGGGAGGCCGAGGCGGGCGGATCACAAGGTCAGGAGATCGAGACCACGGTGAAACCCCGTCTCTACTAAAAATACAAAAAATTAGCCGGGCGCAGTTGTGGGCGCCTGTAGTCCCAGCTACTCGGGAGGCTGAGGCAGGAGAATGGCGTGAACCCGGGAGGCGGAGCTTGCAGTGAGCCGAGATCGCGCCACTGCACTCCAGCCTGGGCGACAGAGCGAGACTCCGTCTCAAAAAAAAAAGAAAAAAAAAGAAATACATCGTTTTTTACAAAACTGTCCTTGTTTTCAAACCCCCTGGCCTTTGGGCACGCACATACCATTGCCCAACACTTGCTTCTCCTTCCCTTTTCCTACTGCTTCAGCCGGGGCTCCAGTGGAGCCTACTTCCAACTCTTTCTCCACACTGCAGCCAACACAGTATTACAAACACCTGACATGACAATCGCTCCTTCAGAAGCCTTCACTGGCTCCTCGTAGCTGCCACGACAAAGGTCAGCCTTCAGTGTGCCCTGTGCGTGTCCCTTGTCTTTCTCACTCAACCCTCTCCCATTTGATAACCCTCCATGTAGCTCAGACCCTGTGCCACTCACTGAACACTGTGTCCCAGTCACAGTGCCCTGATCTCCCTGTGGCCTCCCCTTCTCATCCCCCTAACTCACACTCTTCAGTCTGTGCAGGAAGGCTTCCCTAACTCTCCAATCTGATAGGCATGTCTATCTTCTTCGTAAACCTGTGAGCACCTGTAGCATCGCACTTCTTGTGGATTTAGTGGCTTGTTTCCCCAGCTAGATGACAATGAGAGCAGGGACCAAAGCAGTAACTGAAAAATCTAATGAACCCTATAATGTATGCTGGATAAAAGAATGGGAAAGGCTGGACAGTGGGTCACGCCTGTAATCCCAGCACTTTGGGAGGCCAAGATGGGCAGATCACCTGAGGCCAGGAATTGAAGACCAACCTGGCCAACATGGTGAAACCTCATCTCTACTAAAGATACAAAAATTAACTGGGCATGGTGGCACGTGCCTGTAATCCCAGCTACTCAGGGGGCTGAGGCAGGACAATCGCTTGTACCTGGGAGGCAGAGGTTGCACTGAGCCAAGATCGCTCCACTGCACTCCAGCCTGGGCAGCAGAGCAATACCCTGTCTCAAAAATATAAAAAAAAACCCAAAACACCAGGCGCAGTGGCTCACACCTGTAATCACAGCACTTTGGGAGGCCGAGGTGGGCAGATCATGAGGTCAGGATACTTGAGACCACCCTGGCTAACACAGTAAAACTCCATCTCTACTAAAAATACAAAAAATTAGCTGGGTGTGGTGGTGGGCGCCTGTAGTCCCAAGTACTCAGCAGGCTGAGGCAAGACAATCACTTGAACCTAGGAGGCAGAGGTTGCAGTGAGCCAAGATGGCGCCACTGCATTCCAGCCTGGGCGAGAGAGCAAGACTTCATCTCAAAAAAAAAAAAGAAAAAAAAAAAAGAAGAAGAAAAAAGAATGGGAAAAAAATGACGAACCAAGGTGAATAAATGATCACCTTGGTTCTTTGCTTTTTCTGTGTATTTACTAATTTCGTTTAGTACTACCAAATGTTTTGCATTCTTTCCATTCATCGAAAGTCTATAATTCTACTAAGTTCAAAATGCTTCAAAAAAGAGCAGGTAAGAATCATTTGTATATTTTATCATTAGGCTGGGCATGGTGGCTCATCCCTGCAATCCCAGCACTTTGGGAGGCCCAAGAGGGAGGACTGCTTGATGCCAGGAGTCCAAGACCTGCCTGGGCAATATAGCAAGACCCTGTCTCTGAAAAAAAATTACATACTTTTTTTTTTTAATAGTTTACTATACTGCCCTGGAAAATTCTTAATAATAATAAACCCAAGAAGGCTAAACATGTTTTATAATATATTTTATTCTAATAAACTAGTTACTAATGATAGGTAAATAGTGACAAAAATGGTAATTGAAGGTACTTTCTTTCCAATCCACAGATGATTTCTAAACCCTTTTTCATCCACTCTCTGTAATTAATGAGAAGCTCGGCAGAATTCCCGAGAAAACCCAGGTACTCTGTTGCCTCCATCTCGATCAACAGAACATTGCCTGGAACACTGGAGAGCCAGAGTTGCAATCTCAAATTTACCTGTATTTTCCATAATTCTTGACAGAAGGAAAGTCGGGAGAACATACTGTGTGCCAGTAAATACTGAGCAAACTCTAACAGGGAAGACAGCTTCTTCTGAAAAGACAGATTACATTTTTTAAAAAACAGATTACCTGAAACAATATTAAAGAAATGTCCTGTTTTCCCAACCAGCTTAAAAGTAACAATGGGCAGGTCTCCTCATCCTGGCTGGTGTCTTACTCTCTGCTCCACAGTCAGCAGCACAGGGTGACTGGTCTCCGCTGCAGCTGTGCAGACCTGTCCCACGCTGGAGGCAACCATCCCGGCTGAGAGAACACCCACGGGAACCCCCAGCCTTGAGGCCTGATCCTGCAAAGTAGAGCCTTAAACACAAAACAAAACCACAGCTTTCTCTTAACACATGAGACAAAATCTAAAACCAAAGACTTGCTGTTTCAAATGCCTTATTTTTGGCCGGGTGCGGTGGCTCACGCCTGTAATCCCAGCACTTCGGGAGGCCGAGGCGGGCAGATCACGAGGTCAGGAGATCGAGACCATCCTGGTTAACATGGTGAAACCCCGTCTCTACTAAAAATACAAAAAATTAGCCAGGCGTGGTGGCGGTGCCTGTAGTCCCAGCTACTCGGGAGGCTGAGGCAGGAGAATGGCGGGAACCCGGGAGACAGAGCTTGCAGTGAGCTGAGATCATGCCACTCACTCCAGCCTGGGCCACAGAGCGAGACTCTGTCTCAAAAAAATAAATAAATAAATAAAAATAAAAAAATAAAATGCCTTATTTTAAGATGCAGCACACGCACAAAAAATGCCTTTTAAAGGGGGAAAATAGATACAAAGGGAAAAACGTGAGATAAAAATTAGAATTTGATGACCCAAGCAGCGCACAATAAAACTGGTGGCAACACCCGAACCCAGAGTTACGCATTCGTTCCCACGACACAAAAGAAGCAAGGTAAAGAATACATTCTGACCAAGAACTTTATCATCTTTTTCCAAAGGAGCACAATCGAGAACTCCAGCAGGCTCTTTCAATTACATTGTTTTTCCAATTACTTCAGAGATAACCCTGCTCCTGTTGACTCACATTGATGGTTGTGTGAAAATCAGGCAGGGATTTCCCAGTGCTCTGACATGTACCTGGTAGGCAGGTACAGTCACAGCTGTGCTCAGTCCACAGGCCACCAAGTGGAACCTCACTAACAGCCTGCAGCAGCCACCATTCTCCCGAGCAGCCACTGGTCTGCGTTCAATACAGTGAGAAATGGTCAGCAACCTGGAAGCAGGCAATGCCCATAAGCTATTTTCTAATTTATTTGCCTTCCAAAATTTTTTCTTTTTCGTTTTTTTGCAATGGTGTCTTGCACTGTCGCCCAGGCTGGAGTGCAACAGCGCCATCTCGGCTCACTGCAACCTCCACTTCCCAGGTTCAAGCAATTCTCCTGCCTCGGCCTCCAACACAGCTGGGATTACAGACATGCATCACTATGCTCAGTTAATTTTTTATATTTTTAGTAGAGATGGGGTTTCACTATGTTGGCCAGGCTGGTCTCCAACTCCTGACCTCATAATCTGCCCACCTTGGCCTCCCAAACTGCTGGGATTACAGGTGTGAGCCACCACGCCAAGCCAAAACTAATTGCTTAAAAAAACTGGGCCGGGTGCGGTGGTTCACGCCGCAATCCCAGCACTTTGGGAGGCTGAGGCGGGCGGATCACGATGTCAGGAGATCGAGACCATCCTGGCTAACACGGTGAATCCCCGTCTCTACTAAAAATACAAAAACAAAATTAGCCAGGTGTAGTGGTAGATGTCTGTAGTTCCAGCTACTCGGGAGGCTGAGGCAGAGAATGGTGTGAACCTGGGAGGCGGAGTTTGCAGTGAGCCGAGGTCGCACCACTGCACTGCAGCCTGGGCGACAGAGCCAGACTCCGTCTCAAAAAAAAAAACAACAACAACAACAACAACAAAAAACTGGAGGCCAGGCTCGGTGGCTCACGCCTGTAATCCAAGCACTTTGGGAAGCCGAGGCGGGTGGATCACCTGAGGTCGGGAGTTTGAGACCAGCCTGACCAACATGGTAAAACCCTCTCTCTACTAGAAATACAAAATTAGCCAGGCATGGTGGTGCATGCCTGTAATCCCAGGTACTCGGGAGGCTGAGGCAGGAGAATCGCTTTAACTCGGGAGGCAGAGGTTGCAGTGAGTCGAGATCACGCCACTGCACTCCAGCCTGGACGAGAGCAAAACTCCATCTCAAAAAAAAACACAAAAAACTGGAGACTGCAATACGTGCCTGTTTTTGTAATGTACTGAATCTAAAAACACATTATCAACACATAAGTTAAAACATTTACAGGCCGGGGACGGTGGCTCATGCCTGTAATCCCAACAGTACGGGAGGCCAAGGAGGGTGGATCACGAGGCCAGGAGTTCGAGACCAGCCTGGCCAAGACGGTGAAACCCCGTCTCTACTAAAAATACAAAAATTAGGTGGACGCAGCGGCGGGCACCAGTAATCCCAGCTACTCGGGAGGCTGAGGCAAGAGACTTGCTTGAACCCAGGAGGCAGAGGATGAAGTGAGCCGAGACTGCGCCACTACACTCCAACCTGGGCAACAGAGCAAGACTTGGTCTCAAAAAAAAAAAAAAAAAAAAATTTACAATAATTATAGAAGCTTAAAATTATAATGTGAGAAATCATCAACTGTTGATGAAATTCTCGGTAGAAAAGTAGACAGATCGGGCACAGTGGCTCAGGCCTGCAATCCCAACACCGTGGGAGGCTGAGGTGAACGGATGGCTTGAGCTCAGGAGTTTGAGACCAGTCTGGGCAACTGGCAAAACGCTGTCTCTACAAAAAAATTAGCCAGGCATGGTGGTGCACACCTGTAGTCCCAGCTACTCAAGAGGTTGGGGTGGGAGGATCACTTGAGCCCAGGAGGTCAAGACTGCAGTGAACCGTGATTGCACTCCAGCGTGGGCAACAGAATGTTTTTTTTGTTTTGTTTTGTTTTTGTTTTTTGAGACGGAGTCTCACTCTGTCGCCCAGGCTGGAGTGCAGTGGCGCGATCTCGGCTCACTGCAAGCTCCGCCTCCTGGGTTTACGCCATTCTCCTGCCTCGGCTTCCTGAGTAGCTGGGACTACAGGCGCCCACCACCGCGCCCGGCTAATTTTTTGTATTTTTAGTAGAGACGGGGTTTCACCGTGGTCTCAATCTCCTGACCTTGTGATCCGCCCGCCTCGGCCTCCCAAAGTGCTGGGATTACAGGCGTGAGCCACCGCGCCCGGCCTTTTTTTTTTTTAAAAAAAGCAGACAATTCCTTTTTTTTTTTTTTAAGACGTAGTTTTGTTCTTGTTGCCCAGGCTGGTGTGCAATGGAGGGGTCTCAGCTCACTGCAACCTCCGCCTCCCAAGTTCAAGTAACTCTCCTGCCTCAGCCTCCTGAGTAGCTGGGACTATAGGCACCTGCCACCACACCAAGCTAATTTTTGTATTTTTAGTAGAGACAGGGTTTCACCACGTTGGTCAAGCTGGTCTCAAATCCCGACCTCAGGTAATTTGCACGCCTGAGCCTCCCAAAGTGCTGGGATTACAGGCGTGAGCCACTGTGCCCGGCCAACCATGCCAATTTCTAGTCGTTTGTTTCCAATGTATCTCCACGGGAAAGTCTGTTTTTATCTACAAGGCTTTTACTGTGCGTGTGTGTGTGTGTGTGTGTGTGTGTGTGTGTGCGCGCAGAAAAAAACAAACTGAAAAATTAATGAATCAAAGGTTTATCTGTGCGGCTAGTCTGGATCCTTGGAATAATATGTAATTTGTGAAATTCAAATATAATTGTGACAGTGAAAATCCGTATCATTTGCCAATGACATTCAGTGTTCAGTGGTCAAGGGAGCGTTATTACTGAAGGTTATTTTATTTTATTTTTTATTTTTTTTTTTTTGAGACGGAGTCTCGCTTTGTCACCCAGGCTAGAGTGCAGTGGCCGGATCTCAGCTCACTGCAAACTCCGCCTCCTAGGTTCATGCCATTCTCCTGCCTCAGACTCCCACGTAGCTGGGACTACAGGCGCCCGCCACCACGCCCGGCTAGTTTTTTGTATGTTTCAGTAGAGACGGCGTTTCACCGTGTTAACCAGGATGGTCTCGATCTCCTGACCTCGTGATCCACCCGTCTCGGCCTCCCAAAGTGCTGGGATTACAGGCTTGAGCCACCGCGCCCGGCCTATTTTATTTATTTTTTATTTTTTTTTTGAGACGGAGTCTTGCTCTGTCGCCCAGGCTGGAGTGCAGTCGCGGGATCTCAGCTCACTGCAAGCTCCACCTCCCGGGTTCACGCCATTCTCCTGCCTCAGCCTCTCGAGTAGCTGGGACTACAGGCGCCCACCACCGCGCCTGGCTAATTTTTTGTATTTTTTAGTAGAGACGGGGTTTCACCGTGTTAGCCAGGATGGTCTCGATCTCCTGACCTCGTGATCCGCCCATCTCGGCCTCCCAAAGTGCTGGGATTACAGGGTTGAGCCACCGCGACCGGCCTGAAGGTTATTTTAATAGAAACAAGTCATTACATAACAAAGACGTGAAGGATCAGAAAATAACTTAACTGTTGTTGACCCAGAACTTTCCCCATCTCCCACTCTCAAACTGGGGAGAGAAGGAGGTACCTAGAAAATTGCCTTCCCGTCTACTCTCCTGGGCACACCACAACCGGTCTCAACGAGCAAGGGGCAATCCCTGTTGCTGCTATATCCCATGTTTTTCCAAGGGACACTCTGGGTCCTACTGCTTCTGAGTTGCAGGTTGACTCAAACGCTGCTTTTAAACACAGCATCATAAGATGCCCAAGCACAAGTCACAAAAACATCACATAGAATTTGTGACCACACAAAGTGGAAATCCATCATCTGAGGAAATTTAAATTTCTACTTAATTTAGCAAACCATAGTTCCTATATAAAAACTCTTCTGCAATTCAAAATAGAGAAAATGAAGCTGTAACTTACCTATAAAGGAACTAGAATGATTAGCATAGATCTCAGAACTGTCACAGTCAATCAATTTGCTGAGAGACAATTTTTTACACGGTGGACCTTCTACCTAGAATCCAAAACAATGAACTCCATTTAAAAAGTTCAAGTTCCAGGCCGGGCGCAGTGGCTCACGCCTGTAAACCCAGAACTTTGGGAGGCTGAGGTGGGCCGATCACGAGGTCAAGACCAGCCTGACCAACATAACGAAACCCTGTCTCTACTAAAAATACAAAAATTAGCCGGGCATGGTGGTGTGCACCTGTAGTCCCAGTCACTCAGGAGGCTGAGGCAGGAGAACTGCTTCAACCCGGGAGGTGGAGGCTGCAGTGAGCCGAGATCGCCCCACTGCACATCAGCTTGGACAACAGTGTCAGACTCTGTCTCAAAAAAAAAAAAAAAAAAAAATTCAAGCTCTGTGCATAAACACAAGCTGTGTGTAAGTAATGCTTCCCTACTGGGCTTTTTTTTTTTTTTTTTTTTTGAGACGAAGTCCCCCAGGCTGGAGTGCAGAGGCGGGATCTCCCTCATTGCAACCTCGGGCACATTACAGGTGCCCGCCACCACACCCGACTACTTTTTATATTTTAAGTAGAGACAGGGTTTCACCATGTTGGTCAGGCTGGTCTTGGACTCCTGACCTCAAGTGATCCACTCGCTTCGGCCTCCCAAAGTGCTGGGATTACAGGCGTGAGCCACCACACCGGGCTTTTTTTTTTTTTTTTTTTTTTTTTTTGAGACAGTCTCGCTCTGTAAACCAGACCGGATTACAAGTGGCGTGATTTCCGCTCACTGCAATTTCTGCCTCCCGGGTCCAGGTTCAACCAATTCTCCCGCCTCAGCTTCCCGAGTAGCTGGGATTACAGGCTCCCGCCACCACATCCAGCTACTTTTTGTATTTTTAGTAGAGACGGGGATTTCACCATGCTGGCCAGGCTGGTCTTGAACTCCTGACCTAGGATGATACACCCGCCTCGGCCTCCCCAAATGCTGGGATTACAGCCCTGAGCCACCGCGCCCGGCCTGTTTTTTTTGTTGTTGTTTTGTTTTTAATAAAAGAGGCGGGTTCTCACCCTGTTGCCCAGGCTGTTCCAGAACTCCTGGGCTCAGGCCACCCTTCCCCTCTGCGGGCCAGGCCACCGCGCCCGCCGCCTCGCGTGTTTTCTTAGGAAAGCTGTGCCGTGGCTGGGCTCAAAAACCCCGAACCTAAATCTGCCCGCAGACGGACCCCAGCTTCCTCTTACCTCAAGCAACAGGGCAGTCAGGTCCTGGTGGCTTCGCAGGAGGCGCACGGCTGAGTCCTTTAATTTCTGTGCCCTTTCAGGATTGCATTTCTGCCTCTTGAGCCTTCCCGCTATGGAGAGAAGTCGGTTCCAAACCATCACAGCCCCGTTTACACCCGGGGTCCCGGGCCCGACGCGCAGGACGCCGCGGGGAAACCCACCAGGGACACCCTCCCAAGAGCGGCCGCGGCTCCTCCCCAGGGCGCAGGTGTCGGGAAACTAAGGGAAACGGCGCCAGCGCGGACGCCGCGGAAGACGGCCCAAGAGGGCCCGAGTCAGGGGAGCCCGAGAAGGCTGGCGAGGGGCGGCCTCTGCGCTGAGGGGACCCACGCCGCCCACCCCAGGCCCGGCTCCGGCAGGGCGGCCGGCGGAGGCGGCGTTGGGGAACCCAGGGGGCGCCCCGCGGGCAGGGCCGGAGGGCGTCGGCCCAGGCGCAGGAGGGGCCGGGTCGGGGTCGGGGTCGGGGTCGGGGCCGGGTCCGAGGCAGCCGCGCCGCCCCATCCTGGCGCCCGCCCCGCGCAACCCCCCGGGCGCGGCCTCCCGGGATCAGACCGGCGGAGGTTCGGGCGGGAAGGGATTGGGCGACCGGCGAAACCGTCCCGGGACCGGTGCTGCCCACTCCCGCGGCCTGCCGCGCCCGCCTACCCAGCAGCTCGGCCCAGGACCTCCGGCGGCCCCCTGGGCCCTGGCCCGAGGCGGAGTTCGGGACCTGCAAGCCGGCCATGGAGTCAGCGCCTAGAGCCCTGGCGGCGGCGCCCTGCGCCCGAGCCCGCGCTGCCTTCTTATTGGCTGCGGCCAGGCGCGCGCGCCCGTTGGCTGGCGGCGCGCCCCTCAGGTCGAGGCCTCGCGTGGCGGCCATGTTGGTCGTGGCGGAGGCGCCTGCGCGGTGATGTCCGGCTTGGGTTCGGCTGTGCGGCCGCGGTGTAGTCCGCTAGGGCGTCTCGCGCAGGGAGGCTGCGGCCCCTCAGGCGTGGTTCCTGCCGGGAATGACTGGGGTTGGTCCTGAAGCGACCACCTGGCCAACCAAGCCGAGGCAGGCGCAGAGCCCCGCGGGGAGCGCGGAGCCGCGTGCGCCTCTGAGCTCGGGGCAGCCGCTGTTCCTCCTCCCGGCGGCCGAACGGTCCCCGCGCTGGGCGGCGTTTCGGCAGCCGGAGACCGCGCGGTGGCCGCGCCTGTGCTCCCAGCGCTTTGGGAGGCCGAGGCTGGAGGGTCGCTTGAGCCCAGGAGTTCCAGACCAGCCTGGGGAACAGAGCGAGACCCCATCACTTTTCTTTGTTTTTGTTTGTTTTTTGTTTTTCCTTTTTTTGAGACGGAGTCTCCCTCTGTCTCCCGGGCTGCAATGCAGTGGCGCGATCTCGGATCCTCAAGTGATTCTCCTGCCTCAGCCTCCCGAGTAGCTGGGATTGTAGGTGCGCGACACCACGCCTGGCTGATTTTTGTTATTTTTAGTAGAGACGGGGTTTTCTTTTAACCAGCCTGGGCGGCAGAGCGAGACCCTGTCTCAAAACAAAACCCAACATAAGAATTGGTAAAAGCGAGTGCCGGCCGGGCGCGGTAGCTCAAGCCTGTAATCCCAGCACTTCGGGAGGCCGAGACCGGCGGATCACGAGGTCAGGAGATCGAGACCATCCTGGCTAACACGGTGAAACCCCGTCTCCACTAAAAATACAAAAAATTAGCCGGGCGTGGTGGCGGCGCCTGTGGTCCCAGCTCCTCGGGAGGCTGAGGCAGGAGAATGGCGGGAACCCGGGAGGCGGAGCTTGCAATGAGCCGAGATGGCGCCACCGCACTCCAGCCTGGGCCACAGAGCGAGACTCCGTCTAAAAAAAAGAAAAAAGAAAAAGGAAGCCGGGCGCGGTGGCTCAAGCCTGTAATCCCAGCACTTTGGGAGGCCGAGACGGGCGGATCACGAGGTCGGGAGATCGAGACCATCCTGGCTAACACGGTGAAACCCCGTCTCTACTAAAAATACAAAAAAACTAGCCGGGCGAGGTGGTGGGCGCCTGTAGTCCCAGCTACTCGGGAGGCTGAGGCAGGAGAATGGCGTGAACCCGGGAGGCGGAGCTTGCAGTGAGCTGAGATCCGGCCACTGCACTCCAGCCTGGGCGACCCAGCGAGACTCCGTCTCAAAAAAAAAAAAAAAAGAAAAGAAAAAGGAGCGAGTGCCCAGGGGAAGCTAAGGTGCCTCAAAGCCCTGGGGAAGTAGAGGCTCTGGAGACCCGTCCCCATCCCCCCGCAGTGGCCGCGGTCCCCAGCAGGCGCCTTTATTGTGTTGATTGCTTCGATGACGTTCAGCACCACAAATGCTCTTTGTCAGCCGAGGCACTGAGTGGGGCCTTGGATTCACCAGCGGAGAATGGAGCAGGAATGAGAATTCAGAGTCCATGAAACCCCCACAACGACTCCTGCACGGCCCTACTCGGACACTTCGCAATCCATGGTGAGTACTCAGGGAACAGCCTGAAATCACGCTGCCGCACTCTAGCCTGGGCAACAGAGCAAGACCCTGTCTCAGAAACAAAAACAAAAAAAAGACAAAGCAATTAAGAGAACTAGACTCAGAGGTGACTGAGAAATTGAAACAGGCTGGAAATTTAAAATAACTATGATTAATATGTGGAGGTCTCTCGTATGAAGGGTGAACAATATGCATGAGGAGGAAACTCATCAGATTGTAAGAAGGAAAGAACACGGTAACAGGTGATGCTTCTGATGGGTCGGTAGTATCATCAACACAGCTGAGAAAAATAGGAATTACTCACATTGGAAAACAAAGAGGAAAAGAGGTTTTTTGTGTTTTGTTTTTTTTTTTAAAAAGAGCATCCAAAAACTGTGGGAAAATATCAAATGATACAATATGCATGTAATAGGACTCCCAAAAGAAGAAGAAAGAACAAATTAGAAAAAATGTTTGAAGAGAAAATTACCAACAATTTTCCCAAAATAACAAAAGACAACAAAATGCAGACCTGAGCTCAGAGCACACACAAAACTTGATAAATATGAGCCCCTGCTTCACACATGCACTGTGTTCAAACTGTGGAAATCAGAGAGAAAACCATGAAGATGGCCGGAAAAGAAAGATACGTTAAATACAATTAACAAAGGTAAGAATTCCAGCCTGGGCAATATGGCAAGACTCCATCTCTACAAAAAATACAAGAAGTAGCCCAGTGTGCTGACATAAGCCTGTAGTCCCAGCTACTTGGGAGGCTGAGGTGAGAGGATCACTTGAGCCCAGGAGGCTAAAGTTGCAGGGAACCATGATCGTGCCACTACACTCCAGCCTGGATGACACAGTGATACCCTGTCTCAAAAAAAAAAAAAAAAAAAAAAGGGGCAGGGGCACCTGATACAGTGGCTCACACCTGTAATCCCAGCATTTTGGGGGGCCGAGGTTAGTGGATCACCTGAGGTCAGGAGTTCGAGACTAGCCTGGCCAACATGGAGAAATCTGATCTCTACTAAAAATACAAAAATTGGCCAGGTGTGGTGGCTCATGTCTGTAATCCCAGCACTTTGTGAGGCTGAGGCCAGCAGATCACCTGAGGTTGGGAGTTCAAGACCAGCCTGACCAACATGGAGAAATCCCCTCTCTACTAAAAATACAAATTAGCCGACTGTGGTGGTACATACCTGTAATCCCAGCTACTCTGGAGGCTGAGGCAGGAGAATCGCTTGAACCCAGGAAGCAGAGGTTGTGGTGAGCCGAGATCGCGCCATTGCACTCCAGCCTGGGCAACAAGAGCAAAACTGTCTTGGCAGGGTGCAGTGGCTCACGCCTGTAATCCTAGCACTTTGGGAGGCCGAGGCGGGTGGATGACAAACTCAGGAGATTGATACCATCCTGGCTAACACGGTGAAACCCCATCTCTACTAAAAATACAAAAAATTAGCCGGGCATGGTTGCAGGCACCTGTAGTTCCAGCTGCTCGGGAGGCTGGGGTGGGAGAATGGCGTGAACCCGAGGAGGAGCTTGCAGTGAGCTGAGATTGCACCACTGCACTCCAGCCTGGGCGACAAGAGCGAAACTCCATCTCCAGAAAAAAAAGTTCACCTGTCCTTTGATCTGGCACATCTTTTGTAATGGCCTGTTCTGCCTCTACTTTGCCACACAGCAGTGTGGAGAGAGTTATCCCTATCAGTTATAAGGAACTTCCGCATTCTTTTTTTTTTTTTTTTTTTTTTTTTGAGACGGAGTCTGGCTCTGTCACCCAGGCTGGAGTGCAGTGGCGCGATCTCGGCTCACTGCAAGCTCCGCCTCCCGGGTTTACGCCATTCTCCTGCCTCAGCCTCCTGAGTAGCTGGGACCACAGGCGCCCGCCACCGCGCCCGGCTAATTTTTTGTATTTTTTTTTTTTTTTTTTTTGAGACATCTCGCTCTGTCGCCCAGGCTGGAGTGCAGTGGCGCGATCTCGGCTCACTGCAAGCTCCGCCTCCTGGGTTTACGCCATTCTTCTGCCTCAGCCTCCTGAGTAGCTGGGACTACAGGCGCCCGCCACCGCGCCCGGCTAATTTTTTGTATTTTTAGTAGAGACGGGGTTTCACCGTGGTCTCGATCTCCTGACCTTGTGATCCGCCCGCCTCGGCCTCCCAAAGTGCTGGGATTACAGGCGTGAGCCACCGCGCCCGGCAGTTTTTTGTATTTTTTAGTAGAGACGGGGTTTCACCGTGTTAGCCAGGATGGTCTCGATCTCCTGACCTCGTGATCCGCCCGTCTCGGCCTCCCAAAGTGCTGGGATTACAGGCTTGAGCCACCGCGCCCGGCCGAACTTCCGCATTCTTTTTCTTTTTTTTTTTTTTTTCCCGAGACGGAGTCTCACTCTGTCGCCCAGGCTGGACTGCAGTGGCAAGATCTCTGCTCATTGCGCCCACCGCCTTCCAGGTTCAAGCGATTCTCCCACCTCAGCCTCCAAAGTAGCTGGGATTACAGGTGCCTGCCACTACGCCTGGCTAATTTTTGTATTTTTAGTGGAGACAAAGTTTCGCCATGTTGGCCAGGCTGGTCTCAAACTCCTTACCTCAGGTGATCCGCCTACCTTGGCCTCCCAAAGTGCTGGGATTACAGGCATGAGCCACCGTGGCCGGCCTTTTTTTTTTTTCCCGAGATGGAGTCTTGCTCTGTAGCCCAGGCTGGAGTGCAGTGGCCGGATCTTGGCTCACTGCAAGCTCCACCTCCCGGGTTTACACCATTCTCCTGCCTCAGCCTCCCAAGTAGATGGGACTACAGGCGCCTGCCACCTTGCCCAGCTAGTTTTTTTGTGTTTTTTAGTAGAGATGGGGTTTCACCACATTAGCCAGGATGGTCTCGATCTCCTGACCTCGTGATCTGCCCATCTCGGCCTCCCAAAGTGCTGGGATTACACGCTTGAGCCACCGCGCCTGGCCTCCAGCCTTTTTTTTTTTTTTTGAGACAGGGTCTCACTCTGCCACCAAGGCTAGAGTGGCGCAATCTCATCTCACTACAAACTCTGCCTCCCAGGCTCGTGGTCCTCTTGCCTCAGCCTCCCAAAGTGCTGGGACAACAGGTGTGAGGCGCCACGCCCAGTCTATTTCTGTCATTTTACAACATTCAGGCCCCTGGGCAGGCACTGGAGGTGCTTTCACCATCTGAGACAATGTTTGCTGTCGAATGTGGGGAGGAGCTTGTCCACCTCATGTTCACGCAGGAACTAGTGTCTAAGTGACACATCTCAGCATGTCCCTTTCATTCTTTTTGTTTTGTTTTTGTTTTTGAGACACAGTTTCACTCTTGTCACCCAGGCTGG